AGTTACCTGTCAATGGATCATTTGCACCAAAATAGCATACAGTGACTAAGAATCGATCTACCATATGACCCAGCAATCTCTCTACTGGGTATTTACCCCAAAGACTTGAAAACCCATATCCAAAAAGATATTTGCACACCAATGTTCACAGCAGCATTATTCACAGTGGCCAGGACATGCAAGCAAGCGAAGTGTCCCACGATGGATGACTGGCTAAAGAAGCTGTGGTACATATATACAATGAAATATTACTCAGCCATAAGAAGAGATAAAACACTGCCATTTGCAACAACATGGATAGACTCTGAGATAATCATACTAAGCGAAATAAGCCAGACAGAAAAAGTTGAAAATCACATGATATCACTTATATGTGGGATATAAACCTAAAAGCAACAAATGATTTGGGTGGAGGGAGGAGAGAGATAGGGTAAAGAGGGGTCAAATATATGGTGACAGAAAGAAATCTAACTATAGGAGGTAAACACACAGTGTAAACATATATATGTGCCTTATTGTTAAAGTGTACCACTGAAACTTATTGGATTTCGTTAACCAATTTCGCCATAAAAAAAAAAATATTTTAAAAAATAGCACACAGTGTGATTTTAAAAGACAATCACAAGATTTCTACCAATTGTCGGACAGTGCTGATCTGATTGCTCCCTCAAAAAAGTGGTTGAATAAAATATAACAAAAATAGAGATCAAATTTTAAAAAATATATAAACATCCAGATGCCAGAAATGAAGCAAGAACACAAGGCTAAAATGATTGCTAGTTTAAGCCCGTGAATTTTGGAGTGGTTTGGCAAAGGCTGATTGATGAACCAGCTAAAATGTAATTCGCATACAAGGATAAAATAGTCACATCTTTAAACAAAATACAGGTTTCTCTTTTATAGATAACTCTGAAAGAACTACTAATAAATATCCTTCAGGAAGAAGGAAGTTGAACCCAAAAGGCAGTACTTGGGTGATGGAAATTAATAAATGTATTGGTAAACTAAATAAATATTGACCATGTAAAGTATGATGACAATGACTGATTTGTGTATTAAACAGGACGTGGGAACTAAAATATCAAACAGCAAATTATATGGGAGAAGAAAGAGGTGTGATCAGAGCTAAGGTTCCTAGAAATCTTGGAGTTCAGAAAGAGGAAAGAAATACTGAGGAACTTTAAAAGTTCACTCTCCAATATGGTGCCCACTAGCTGATTTCTAATGGGTTAAGTTTGAATTCATTAGAAATCGACACAATTCAAAATCCGGTTCCTTCACGTGAAGGGCTCGAAGGGCTTGGCAGTCATCTTTCTCTTCTCAACAACAAGAAAAAGCGAAGCAAACTGAAAATCGATGACGTACTTGGAACCATCGGAGACTGAGGTTTCAGGGCAAACCACAGTCCTGAGATCTGGAATAACGAGCTTACAAAGGCATTGAGAGACCTACTGTTTTTGTAATTCAGACAATGGCCTGTGTTTATTCAAGTTCCCACTCAAATATGGCTTTCTTACATATAAGAGCTGGTGTCATTCCCAGATGTGGAATATGCGTTCCCCCAAATCAAAATAAACTAAGCAAAAGTCAGACTCCTTGGATGGTCCTAAGGAAGGGTAGTGAAAGCAGGTTATTTTTGGTGGCTTGCAGAATATCTCAGCTGGCTTCCTTTTCAAGACAATAGAGAAGAAAGTGTTTGAAAAAACAGTAACTGAGCACAAGTCTTCTTTAGCATGCTGTATTTTTTTTTTTTTTTTTGGTATGGTTGAAACCATGTCCAGAACTGCTGAGGCTATGGGTGGTCCCTTTATTTAAGCTTCAACAGTCTACCATTAGTCTCCATGAGCTTTAAGCCTCTTTTATGGGTCACAGAGGGTTACTATTCAGATAATTCACTGGCACCAGCACTCAGTGCTTCAGCTTTTAACATGTCGATAATTAAAGTGGTAATCTCTTTTTCATACCAGGTACAGTAAGTCCTCAATATAGTAAGTTGTTGATAGGTCCTGAGACTTTAAATGAAAGGACTATAATGAAACCAGTTTTACCATAGGCTAATCGATACACACAAGAGTGAAGTTTCTATAGCATCTCATCAATGTTATAATGACATTGAACAAAACTATATTAATTGAGGGCCTGCTATGTTATATATTGTTTTAAATTTTCTGTGTGAGTTCGGGCGGTTCTATTGGTTCCCATTTCGCGTGTCAAATTAGGACTGGCCAAAGGGCAGACTTTCGTGCCTTCTGTTTATAGTATTAGGTAGGGGAAGCAATCTCTAGTCTGATATAAGATCCATTCTAGTAGTACATTCAGGTAAAGGAGATCTGACCACCTCATGTAAACTTTGTTCAAAAATCCCAACTTTCATCTCATCTTTCTCCCTAACCCCATCAACTTCTGCATCTCCATACCCTCTCAATCTAAATTTAGCTGCCATTAAGGCTTCACCAGCAGGTTTCAAATCATAGTGCACTGGGCTCTTGTGTCAAGGAGACCCAGAAAAGTCCTTCCCCTCATACCCTAACCTGGCCATTTTATCAACACATATACATATGGCCTTGGTTTATTATGTAATAAAGGGTATGATAAAGGATTCAGACGGATAACCAGATAAAGAGATATGTAGGGTGAGGTCCAGAAAGGTCTCAAACACAAGAGCCTTTGTACCTGTGGAGTTAGGGTGCACCCCTACCCCCAGCACATGAACATGTTCACCAACCCAGAAGCTCTCTGAACCCAGTACTTTTGATATTTTATGGAGACCATCAAGTAGGCATGATGAGATATTAACTCAATGTTCAACTCTTCTCTCCTCTCTGGAGAATGGGAAGTGAAGCTAAGAGTATCAGGTTTCTAATCCTGGCTTGGTCATCCTGGTGACTGGCCCTGTTCCAGGAGCCACCAGAGGCATCTCATTAGAACAAAAGATATTCCTATCACCCAACAAATTCCAAGAGATTTAGGAGCTCTGTGTCGGATGCTCCTATTTCTCAGGAAATGACAAGGGTTTTAGGAGCTGTGTGTCGGGAATCAGGGACAAAGACGAAATAGTAGAAGGAACCAGGAGCAGAGACATATGTATTTCTTTCATACAAATGACTACAGAGAACCACAACCACAGCCAAGATCAGCTTACCTGGAGCAGACGCCACTAGAGCCATTAGCTGATAGGAACGAACCCTTAAGTGGTAATTTCAATAAATTGCTGGGAGCTGAGCATGGACTAGGTGATAGTGAGCCGCTCCTGGAGTCACTGGTGTGAAGGGGGCCAGAAGCAGGCGGGGTAAGTGGAGGAAGGTGCTGGAAGGGCACACCTGCTGACAGAGCTCTAGAACCAAGACAGAGGACAAGCGAGGAACTATTCTGACTTCTCTCTTCTTCCATCCTTGCATTTCTGGTTGCTACTTCCTATTGGGTTGCTCAGTCCCAATAGGAAGATTTGTTGCTTGAGTTTTAGAAGTAATTTAAATAAATTCAACTCTCACTATGAGTTCACTTTTATAGGACACTAAAGACTCCTAAATAAATAATAAACTATAGATCATTTATCACAGATTTTGAAATGCTCCAGATGTAATTAAGATGTATGTAAAATATACAGATAAAATATTTAATTGTATTAAAACCTTATAAAATAGATAAAAGATTAAAGCACAAAAATAAATGAATAAAGAATACAAATAATTAACACAAAATGAAATGCAAACATATGAAGCTTCAACCTCACTGTAAGTTTAAAAGTAAAGTAAAACAATTTCAATATCTTATCAGCAAATATGCACATATACCTAATTAGGAAATTATATGGACAATAATGATTCCAACTCTATAAAGAATGCAATAAAAAAAGATGAAAATAGTTAAATATTTTTGGTATGGAGATATTATAGTCATTCTCTTATTCAACTTTATTCAATTTCTGTATTTTTCCCCATTATACAAATTTCCTTCAGTGAGCATAACAATTTTTTTAAAGTTATAGAACATCACCCCAAAATTTTTTGAGAATACTGCTTGGTTTTCAAAATTTTTTCTGGTGATAGTCAAAATGAAATATCTATTGCTTAAGGAAAAAAATATGTAAAGCTGACAAAATTTTAAAAATGATTACAAAAGACGTATGTGAGCCTGTGTGCATGTGTGTGTATGTGTGTGTGTGTGGATATACACACACGTGCATACACTTACATAAGATAAATAACTGTAAATGGTGATGAGGGATTAGTACCCCCTGTCAATCCCTGTTAATATGTTAAACTTAATTTAACATATTCAAAATATAAAAAATCTGAAAAAATGCTGCTAGGACTCCCACTGTTTTCAAAAGGTGTATTTGAACCGCTTTTCCAATGCATGCGCTTTGCTTGTTCATTTGTGAGCCAAGGGTCTCCTAACCCTGGGAATTTCAAGACGATTTCTGAAAAGCTTTCAGAGGAAGACTCTTGGGTTGTATTTGGGAGTTAAAGCAAACTTATGAGCCTGATGTTATCACAAAATAGTGTCAGCAATCGCAGAGCTTCTGGCTGTGGACGACACCCCTTGCATACTTCACCAAGGGAATTTTTTAGTAAATGTCATATTTTAAGAATCGTGCTTCAAAAAAGTTCCAAATTTGTAGTTTTACTTTCTCAACACCCAATGCCTAGCTCTTCAATAAGTTCACTAATACTCTGTAGTGCTTTTATCACAGATGTTCTATCACCCCTAAATTTGAGGGGAGGAAGTCTATGGCCATGCCACCCTGAACAAGCCGGATCCCATCTGATCTTGGAAGCTAAGCAGGGTTGGGCCTGGTTAGTACTTGGGTGGGAGACCACCTAGGAAGACCAGGTGCTGTAGGCGTAAAAAACAAAAAATAAAGGATTGTAAGCTGACAAGGTCCTTGCAATCTGTGAAGTCAACCAAGGGTGCCTCGCATAAATAAATAAGTAAATAAGTAAGTAAGTAAGTAAGTAAATAAATAAATAAATAGATGTGAGGGGGAGAATAATTTAAAATTTATTCATTTATTGACTAAAATATACAAAATATATCTAATATTGATGTTAACAATTTTTAAAATTATACATAATGCACATTATCACATATAACGTAAGCTTATATGACATCGACAAGAAATGATTAGGCCTGAGGTTTTATGGGTCGTCTGAATGAGAGAGGAGTTTCCATTTCATGGTTGTATCAACCTCTTCATCAAAATCTCCCACCTCCTGCTCCTTAGAAAGCTCTACGAATACCTAGACAAGAGACAGAAAAGAAGGAATAAAATTATCAAGTTGTTGTCTTCCAAATAAACAGGAAAAATACTTGTCACTTTCACGTAAAATTTACAGAGATGACACAAAACCATCAAAGCTGACTCACCTTCTCCAATGTGCACTGGGAGAGGCTGTATTCTTCCAGGTTAAAGTTCTGTTTTACTGGGAAAAAAAAAAGGACTAGTAGTAGATGCTTACAATTTATTACCGAGAATTTTTTTAAAGTCATACAAGATAAAAATGCAAATCATTAATATAGCTAGCATACAGAGCTGAATAAACACTTGCTAGAAGAATGAAATAATGAAAAGTCAGTGAGTTAAATACATATCGAATCGATCTTGATTTTAGAACTTTGTCATATCACATTTTGACGATATGTGTTTCATTACTTAGTATATGTGTTTTGGGGAGATATAAGGTCCTGAGGAACTGTATAACTGACTGATACATTCTGGCACGTGAGGAAGACTTCAATCTCACTCCATTCCCTTTAAAGGGACTTCCGTGTGATTGTGCTCCGGCCAGTCCACATTCCGTACCAGCTCTCTGGTGGGCTTCCCCAGCAGGAGTCTACATGAGAGTGGCCACCAGCTTTACATATTCATGTGTTCACAGTTCACTAGTTACACACTGAGAATTTTCTAAGTGGGGGAGCCACCCTGAGGTGCCAGGGAGCTGTAAAGAAACAGCTATAAAGAAACAGCAAATCGAAAAACTCCTGCCTTTGTGTAGTTTGCATTCTAGTGGGAAGAATACGGGCATCAAATAAGTAAGCACTTAAATATATACCAAAGTAAATGACGATAGCTACTACGGAGAAAAAGGAAATCAGGTAAGGAAAACAGGAAGTGCTGGGTGCTCTTTCACAGGACGGCCACAGTAACAAGGTAATAACCGAGCAGAAACCTGAAAGCAGTGAGGAAGCAGCTTGGATATTCAGGAAGGAGACTTCCGGGAAGAAGGAGTAGCACGTGCAAAGTCCTGAGGCAGGACTGTGCATGTCTGATAGCATTTAGGACGAGCCTGGAAGTCCGGGCGTCGAGAGTGGAAGGTGAAGCCAGAGATTTATATGACCTCAAGCACCATGAGCCAGGTGCCATTCTAGGCTCTTTCTTTACAAATGAGCTCACTGAACCCTCCTAATAACCCTGCCAAGTGGGCACGGATGTCATCCCTTGTTTTAGAGATGAGCCAACTAGACATGCAGGGATTGAGTAATTAACTTTGTCCAACGCCTCCTCGCTAGTAAGCAGCAATGCAGGGATAGGAACCAGAGAGGCTGGTGCTGCAGTCTGAGCTCTTGGCCACCATGCTGTGTTCAGAAATTCCACCATGATGGTCTGCTGCTGGGAATGACCCAGTTAAGAGTGGAAAAATGATGCCGAAAAGAGGAAACGGGCCATTTCAAGTGGCAAGAAGAGTTAGGTACAAATGCGGGGAATGGCCTTAGCGGAAGACTCAGATAATTCATGTGTCATTAACAGGAAGGTGGAACACGCAGCACAGACGCAGGGAGGTTTCCTGTTGCCTTTATTTTATCACTGAAATAAAAAGCAAGGGCATCAACTGAGGGAGAAAAGCAGGTAGCAGATGGATACATAAGAAGAGGATGACGTTATAATTTAGGGTGCTTGGTGTGAACGGACTGTGCCCACATAAGCAAGGCAGATGGGACGAAAGGCTTAATGTCACGAATTCAGTCAACCTAGTCGAGCACAATGGTGTGTTTTCTGTAGCTTCCAGCTCCTCTGGAGACTAACCTGTTTCCCGAGGGTTGGATTAACCAAAATTGGGATTAAATCCCACCATTATCTACGATTAGAATTCTTAAAATCATATCCTACAGGGCCTATCTTTAAACATTTATCACACGATTATCTCTCATTAAATTATGACCTAAGTCTGAATTAATTCTTTATAAGTTTTATTTTAAAATGGTCATTCTTACCTGCCTCTAATTTGTGAAAGGCCTGAGAAAGAGGGTGAACATCCGCCACGGGCAGTTTATAGGTCAAGAAGGAAGAATACCTGGGAATGGGAAAATGTAACATTTGACCCTGAGTTTCAAGGGGGAAAAATGACCATCAAAATAAATATTGGTACTTTCAACAATTTTTTGAAATAAAAGTAATGCAAGTTAATGTATGGCTTACATATGAAATAAATGAAATAATTTATCAATGGACAATTCTTAAAATGGCATTGGCAGCTGGCTGTTGGAGATAGTTCTCCAAGAAATAATCCAGCATAATTAAATTTATGCTTGGTTTATGTAAACCTTTTTCTTGTTGAACTCAGATATTCTGAATTAATCCCTTTGATTAGTTCAAATAAGGTTGGGACTAATCTTAATTTAATATTCATCTTTGTCACCAGAAAGCTAAGGAACGAGAGATATGAGTTTGGGAGAGAGGGATATAATAGTAGAGGAATTCGAAATGCTTTAACTGAAAACTTCTCTGACCTCCTGAGGAGAGAAAAGCCAAGACTGATTTTTGGCATCTTGTTTCCACGTGCTACTTCTGGCTGTATGACCTCATGTCCTATTCTCAGTTCCTTCCCAAACGGAAGTTTGATGCTCCCAGGTGGCCCTGAAGCTGCCCAGCCCTGCAGGACTGGCCCTCTTTGGTCCAGCCCCTGCCCCCAGTCTTATTATTCATGATCTTCCCACCTATATCAAAACTGTTTCTCAGATTTGTGATGCCAAAGGTCTAGGAAGAGGACTGAGTTATATGCCCTGGTACATTCAATAGATGATGCCATTATATTTATACTGTGCTAAAATGGAAACAGTAGTTTTATGTTCTGCTTCTTTGGGTTACTTATCCACCCAAGGAATTTCAAATTCAGTTTCTGCTCAACCTCTTTGCCTTTCTGCCATTAACACACATATATACACAGACACACACATACGTATATGTACACACCCACACCCACACACACACACACACATGCACCTTTCTAGTCTCCATTTTGAAGCATGAAAACTTCATTAAAGGAAGACTCTGATTATCTCAGCTGCTATTTGGTTTCTATGTGGGGGATCCACCTTAAATAGTTATTTCTTTTAAATTATTAATATTTACATCTTTTAAATATTTACAGGGAGGCCCAGGGAGGGTACCACGGGCTTGACTGCAGTCTCATGTGGGTTCAAGTCATCATAAATTCCTTCTCCGCAACTTTCTCAAGTCCTCCCCCCACAGAACTGGGGTCAGCCTGGGATGGCTGAGGACACCCACGTAGGGTGTTCCCAGGCTTCCCTGGGGAACACAGCTTCCTGTGTAGCTCCCAAATCACATAATCTGGAAGATTCAACAAGTCAATTTTTAAGATCCCTAACTTTTATTATGAAGTCAAATCACCCCAACGTTCTCATAGTGCAGAAAAGGAACCACTGAGTGGGTAAAGCCAATAGGTTTCTCCATGATCAAAAGATCCTTTTACCTTTCCTGCTGTGCAGCCTGTGGGAAAAGCTTCAGAATCTCAGTGTGCACCAAATTCACTTGAGAAGTTTCTTTCACTTTTAGTTCTAGATTGTAATCCTTGCCAAGTTTGCTTTTCAGGTGCTGGATGGAGCCAATGCATCTGTGGGCAAGAAGGAAGCCATGTTGGAACAAATATTGTCCCTGAAATTTTTTAGGTTATTCACAAATTTCAAATGTATAGGATAGGGCGTCTCTGAGGGAGCTGAGAGGAAGAACTCCAGTTGCTACGGTGATTGCGTCCTTTTCATAGGGAATCTCACATCGAGGGTCAAGTGCAGGCTCTGGTAAGATACCCACCTCAGTCGTCCAGATACCATGATGGCGAGGCGGTCACAAATGGCCTCGGCCTCAGCCAGGTAATGGGTCGTCAGGAGGGCCCCCTTCTCTGTGTTTTTAATGGCTGTCTGGATCATCTGCCTGAAGTGAGCCCAAAATCAGCACCATTAAGAAAAAAAAGCATAGGAAAAAAGGAGATGGAGGGGAAATTTTATAGACAAAATACAGTTTATAAATCATATTTAGATCCCGATTCAAAAACAAAACAGGGAATGTAACTATTGACTAGCTTTTTGATAACATAAAGGAAAATTTTTAATATTTTTAGGTGTGCTAATGGTATTCTGGTTAAGTTATTTAAAAACACCCTCTATATCTTTTGTAGAAACTAACTGAAATATTTACACATAAAAGACATGCTGCCTAGTATTTGCTTCAAATTAATTAGGGAGTGGAGAAAGGAAGTGGGTGGAGGTACAGATGAAGAAAGATTGACCTTATATGGATAACTGTTAAAACTAGGTGATGGGTATAATGGGTTCATAAATGATTTCTTTACATTTGTATAAGATTTCCACAACAAAGTTCTTTTTAAAAGCTGGAAAAATATCGGACAGTCACAAATATGAAACCAGATTGAAGGATTTTATAAGTCCAAATGGAAAGTCCTAGATATGAAAGGAAAAAGAATTTAAAAACTAAGAATAACTGAATAAAAACATTGACAGACTAGGTAAAAGGGAGAAAAAAGAAAATGGGGAAATTGTGTCAGTAATTTCTAAGGAAACAGAGACATCTCAATAATTAAAGACAAAATAAAGCACAGCCCACATTGCGAGATCTAAAACAAAATACTTAGAGGTTTTTTGTTTTGCTTTTTAAAAATACGAATACCACATGAATATGATGCATTATTAGAGAATCTATTTGTTAAATATCTGTTTTCCTAATAATATGGATTATCTCCACTAAGCTGGGAACCAATGCATTTGACTTGTAAGGTCAGTTTAAAAATGCAACTTTTACATCAAGCTTATACTTCTGGCTCTAAGAGTTATAATTCTCACCACATCTGCTGCTGTCCTGCTGGATCCATGCTTGTAGATGGTTCATCCAGAAGGAGGATAGATGAATTTCCCAGGATGCTCAGCACAAAACTCAACTGCAATGCAGAGAAACAGCCCTATTTGCTGCCACCACCACGTCTGCCCTCAGAATAATGTCACGCCCCATGCATACCTTTCTAGTGGCTCCTGCCGTTAATTTCTGCGCTGGAACATTCAGTTGTTCATGCAGTTTGAAAGAATCCACCAATCTGATGGAAAACAAGATAAGATCAGGTTGAGAGAGGATTTAGGGAAAATGTCACTGCACAGAAGAGAAACAGCATCAAAGGGAAGCTTGGTGCTACTGTTCTCAAAACTCTTAATGCCAACGACCAAAGGATAAAAACACTTTATTTTGGGACCTGAAAGATTCTTCATCTCATAAAACATTTTTAAAAATAACTAAAATTCCGAATTTGGAACTGAAATGGATGATTATTCATTCCCTTGTCAATTATTTCACGCAATTATTTTTTTAAAGATCTCTCCATCAGGGATGCAAGAAACAGCTCTTGTCCCCCTTCCCTGCTCTACTACTGACACTATCTGAAAAGGTGGAGACATCACTTCTACTGTCTATTCTTTATTAGTGAATTCATCATCAATGTACAGCCTCCCTGCCTTTGGACACAAAGGAATCGCATGACCTCTCTGTACCGTGAAATGGCGACCGTGGCATCCGCTTTCCTCAGGCCTTTCACAGCTGCAAACACCTCCAGATGTTCCCTCACCGTCAGGCTGGGCCACAGCACGTTCTCCTGAGGACAGTACCCCAGGAACTTGACCATGCCGTCTCCCTGATTATTCGAAACTGAACAACATCCTTTCAATTCCACCTAAGAAAGTAAACTGGTTTAGAAATGCATATGGTCTTGTCTCCCATCATGCAATTATTCAAGAAACTGGCATATGGCTAATAAATGCTGACATTTTTTGAGCATCAGGAAATATTATAAAAATTGCTTCTTATACTTCTTATTAAAAACTATTTAAACTACTAAAAGTACAGTCTGACAAAGATATAACCTATGTTTATCATGAAATTTCTATTTTAGGAGTGGAAACTGTTTCTTCATGTTTCCCTACCTCTCCAGCTGTTGGCTTCGTGATTCCAGATATCATTCTAATAGATGAACTTTTACCAGCGCCATTGGGTCCTAGCAATCCCAGTATTTCACCTGAAAGAGAATCACTGTCAATGTCGGAAGTGAAATATCGATTAACGTGAAACTGTTCCTTCAATAATCTTCTTCAATAACCCCTCAGTGCCATCTAAAATTATAACATATATGCAATCTATGTCACCAAAACATGTCATTTAACGCCTACAATTATGTAAAAATGTTAGTGAAAAGCTTATGGATTTGATGTCAATACATCTGTCCTTTATTTTCCAGATTACTTTTTTAATGAAAAATGAGCCCAGGTTGTTTTCTGTAGTAGATGATTAATGTGCTGAGTACAGAGATAAGTGATTCCTAAACTTGGGAAGTCAGGGATGTTTTTCTCCATCCGAAATTCCACCACCTGTGTCTAAGCCCCCATGATCTTTCCTCTGAACTGATATAAAAGCCTCTTTAACTAATCCACAATCCAAATTTATGAACAAACAATAGCCAATGTGTATGTTTTTCAAAATATATGAATTAAATGGTGATGAATCGCTGGCTAAAAACCCTCCCGTAGCATTCCAACAACTTGGTACAAAATCTAAACTCTTTGCTGCATTTCACAAAGCTGTACCCAATCTGGCGCTGCTGGCTTCTCTGACTCCTCGCCCCACGGCCCTGCCTCCTCTGCCTGCGGTGCTCTTTCCTCTTCATGCTCACTTAGTTGGCTCCCTCTATCACCGGGGTCATGGCTTAACTGTCGATGTTCAAGGGCAGCCTTCCCTAACCCCAAGAGAATGCAGCCCCAAGTCACACACTTCATTTCGCACATTTGAATGTTCCACATAAGACTTGCCTATGTGACCTCTAATAATTTCTTTGATAAGTTATTTTTGTTTATTGACCCCTCTTAGGCTATAAAATCCATGGGGAGGGAAACTTGCTTATTTCTTTCATAATTATTTTTTTCAGAGCCTAAAACAGTCCTTGGAACACTCAAATAATATTTGTAGAATGAACGGATGCTTCAGCAGAGCAGGTACGATAGTGCCTGTAACACAGATGTTCAGTGGGTGTTTCTAAAATTAATGGTGAATAAAAAGGTGATTCTTCCTAACCTTTCTTAACACAGAAGGAGATATTTCTTGCTGCTATTTTCTTCTTCCTCTTTGAAAAGCAATTTTTCTTCTGGCCTGCATACTCTTTGTGTAGACAGCTAGCAATTACGATGGGTTTCTGGAATAGATGACAACGTGATTTTCCTTTTAAACTTCAGAGACTTTATATTCCTATGTTCTCCCTGCTGGAACCTTTTACGCCCTATGTCATAAACCAAACCACATTCTGAGTTGAGGGTAATCCTATTGCTTGTTCCGAATGTCACATGCGTTCACTGCTGTTTCCTGCTTCTAAATGGAGTGAGAGAAACAGAGTAATTTCATGGAAGCCAACTCATTGCCTTCCTAGAAGTATCTAATCTCACAGCAACGTCACAATGTATAAGTCAAATAAAAGAATAACCCTTCAAATCTTAACCTCTATTTAGGATTTTTACAACGTATCTCACATAAATTTCTAAACTCCTGAAACTTTGGGTTCTGAAACTATAGTTCTACTTATCGAAGTTCATTTTTGTCAAAAGGAAAATAGAACCATTATGTTTTGCCTTCTTCGATTTTCCAGGACACTCCAAAGAAGTGCCTGCGTATTTAAGAATTACGAAGCTGCGCCAAACTCCAAACTTTCAAAACGAAAACCAGCACATCGACCTCTATTCTTGATGGATCCCGAACAGTTCCATTAACAAGCACTCTGCCACTTGGTTTTCTACCTCCTCCATGTTTGAAGTGGTCAGGGCGGTTGCCGTTCTTATTCTTTCTGCTTGGACATCTTCATCTTCATCGACAGGTTCCTCTGGATTCGGCCGAGCCTCTCTGCTTGGAGGGGAAATTCTGTGGAGAAAATGAAATGAGTGGCGTGTGATTTCCCTATTTGTCAAAGATGGACAGAAAAAAATCAGCCTCCCTGTGATTTGACCACTGTCCTTTCCTTTCACTGAACTGGTGATGAGGGTAGCCCCGTGAGTGTTGCTGCGCTTTTGCCAAGAATTCTCATTCCAGTAGCCAGAATTTCTCAATGGCGTCGTCATTCTTTCAGTTAGCGTCTGCTGGCAAGTACTGCTGCTTCTTTAAAAAGCATGTCGCCTACATTTTCTCTGTTCACATTGAGCCTGTCTAATTACTCTCAACATTTGCTTTGGTATCTTTTGCTGCTGGCCCCGCTTGTGAGGCACTGTGCTGCTCTGCCCGTTTTATCCCATCTGTTCTAAGATGGATAATCATCTTGGATGGGGGCATGGCGTATCTGAGTACTCATTAAATTTCTGAGGGACTGAAAGCTTTCCTTAGCTGGTTAATGTTGGAGCTCTGCCTGGGAGTCTTCTGTCCTGGCCCTAAGCCCACAATCCGCTGACCTTCATGAAAATCAGCATGCTGTTTACACTGTAGAGATAAATCTGTATTAACAGGTCGATAGTGCAGCCACTCTCTAGGAATATTAAAATGTCATATTAAGTATGAAATTAAGCTTTATCCCTACCTGAAAACAGGATCCTTTTGCATGATTTTCTGCCCACACTTTACTTCCATGCATCTTAGGACAAAAATGAATAGCAAAGCCTGAAAGTAAGGCTAGGAACAAAGGAAAACAAGAGTTATATTTAGGTGTAAGTTCACAGGTATTTAAACATTTGAATTAAACTGGTGGCCTTTTGTCTTTAGGTGAAATAGATGTGGATCGTTTTTACAAATCGGGGAAGAAATCCAGCGAGACAGTGACAATCAGCTTAGTGGAACCTGCTTCCTTCCACCTTCTTACAACTCACATGCAGTCTGCTGGCTAATTCTACCTGTTCTACCTTCAAAATTATCTGGAACCCAGTTAGTTCTCACCCCTGCCTGTGCTACCCCTACCCGGGCCCAGGTCATTAGAATTTCTCATCATAATATGCGACGCCTTGCTATCTGGTCTCCCTCCTCTCTCTTGGCTCCAAACGTCTATTTCAACACAGTTAGTAGAGCTACTCTTTCAAAACTAAGTCCTACCATATCACTTTGCTTAAAATCCTCCAATGACTCCTCAGGAACTCAAAGCAAAAGTCCTTATAGTGACCTGCACTTTACCCTGCTCCTTCTGCGACATTCTCGTACCACTCTTCTCTTCGGTCACTCTGCTACAACCAGACTGGCCTCCTGGCCGACCCTGCAACAAGCCAGGGTTTCTCCTGACCCTCCCGCTGGGATGCTCTTCTCTAAGCTGTCTTGACAGCTTGCTCCCCTGCCTCCTTCACGTCTTTATTTCTCAGCCAGGCCTTCTCTGACCACCCATCTGACATGGTGTATATTATTTACTTAGTTTATTATCTGTCTCCTTTCACCAAACAATAAACTCCACGAGGGCAGGGACATCTTTCAATATTTGCTCCTATGTCTGGAAAGCTACTGACACTTTATATTCAAAGACATTAGCTTTCTTCAGTCTAAATATATCAACATAATCATTTCCCCTTTCATTTTCATTATTTAACCTTTGCTTTTTAATCTCTAATTCAAAGGGTTTAAGTTATACTGCATCTGTATTTTGTACAAGCTGTCTCAAATTTGGAGGGGGCAGTGAACAGGATAAACATAAAACTAATTTTATATTAAATTTAATTTTTTTTTTTAAATTTATATTGAATTTAATTTATAGATTTATACCATCCATTCATACATATAAAAATTAACTCTAGGATTTAGAATTGCGTATGAATGTACTTGTTTATTCTAAGACTATATTAAAAACACTTTTAAAGTTGCCACATTTCAGACAAGATTGAATAGTTATTATAGTAAGTGATAGCTATTTAAAAAAATAGGTAGTGAGTTAGAAAAACCTTCTTACTATTAGGCATACTAGAAAGTCAACTGCATTCAGGTCGTAATTTGGGTCTTGATATTTTGTTTGGTGCTCGAGGTCTCTCTACAAAGGCAAAAAAAAAAAGGAGTCTAAATAAAAATTCATCAGCTTTATGATTTGCATTTAAATAATATGGGATTACATGTTGAATATTTCCCTGAAGTTTGATTCCACTTTGTGCACTGGTAACAAGCAATTCTCTGCAGAGAAGAGAGGGGACCCCCCTACTCAACTCTAAATGTCTCTCATTGAGCAGGTAACATATGTCTGTCTCTTCCAATCCTTTTTTTTTTTTTTTTAAATAATTCGGTTTAATGTTTGCTGAAAGTCTACTGAAAGAATAATAGAGAGTGGTGTCTGCATCATGAAAAATTCTAGGGATCAACAGCATTTGTCTTAAAGAGCCATCACAAATCTTTTCAGGGATCCTTCCTACCACAATAATTAGTCCTGCTGTGTTATTCTTTCTTCATCAATAAATACATTCAGAAAGTAACTCATTCCTCCCAAATAATGTGTGACAGATCTAGGTTAATGTAGTTCACTTTACAAGACGGCTTATATTTTAGGAGTGAAATGTTTTTAATTAAGCAAAGGGATACATTTTCAATTGAGAATTCCAGGCATTGCTCTGCCAATGGAAATGTGTTTTTGCAGATGGAAGGCTTTCCCAGGTTCCCAAGAACACAAACAACTAGGGAAGCCCTCTACTTTCTTTAAAGCCACTTTGTTCAGCTGATGCAGGTGCCTAACAGTATGTTCCTGACTGAGCTCTTCTGCTCATCTGACTTTTTCTTTCCATTTGAATCATATTCCGTTTATTTAATGCCTTCTGGTCTTTTTTTGCTTTGATGCCTTTGCTTCCCCCTACGAGCATGCTTCCCTTCCCTGCCACTCTCTCACTAATTAATTCTTACTCATTCTTCAGGACTGTTTAAATATTGCTTTCCCTAGAAGAATTCTCTGACATTAGCTGTGCTTGGAACTCTGCCCCTCTCTTTTGCAACCTTTGAGCCCCCTGCACTGACTTGTTTGAGGTTGGTCTTTGCCTCCACTAAGCTCTGTGAAAGGAAGAACTGTGCTACCTTGTCCATCAGGTGTCCCTGATTACTAACACGGCACCTAACACAGATCAGTGTTTACTATATATTTTTGAATAAATGAATGATTGAATGAATGAATGGAATTGTACACGAGTGTATTCTTCACAATGAATAATGAATATCCATTAAACTAGACAACATTTTTCAATCTCACATTAGTTTAGAATTGCATTTAACAATGCTTACGTCTTACGAAGTGCATATGGCAAAGCTTTTATAACAGATTTTTGAGGTTAAATTTTCATGCCATAAAATTCACCCATTTTAAGTGTACAATTCCAGGATTTTTAGTAAATTTACAGAGTTATGAGAGCATCACCACAATGCAACTTAAAACATTTCCATCACCCCACACTGACACTTCATATGCATTTGCTGTTACTCCCCATCCCATATCCAGTCCCAGAAAACCCATAGCCTAATTTCTGTCTTTATAGAGTTAAGCAAAGCATTTTATTTATTTATTTTTTAATTAAAAAAAATTTTTTTAAATTATTTTTAGGCGAGGCAACCCTTGGTTGACTTCACAGATTGCAAGGACCTTGTCAGCTTACAATCCCTTATTTTTTATTTTTTATGCCTACAGCACCTGGTCTTCCTAGGTGGTCTCCCATCCAAGTACTAACCAGGCCCAACCCTGTTTAGCTTCTGAGATCAGACGAGATCGGGCTTGTTCAGGGTGGCATGGCCGTAGACTAGGCAAAGCATTTTAATAGGTTGTATATTCAAAATTAATGAAGCAGTTGATAATATTTCTTACCTCTGCCAAGAAAACTAGAAATCCATTCAAGGTAAATGGGGGAAATAATACCATGCCAAAAATCAGGATGGGTAAGTTTAAATGACTTAAAATGATGTCAAAGAAGTTGGCTGAGATCTACAAGGCAAATTGAAATATATTACAATATATACTCAGTCCATTGATATTTGAGAAAATATTTAAGACATAGGTGTTCTTATGATATAAATCCGAATTTTCCTACCTGCAGACACACCCCTTTTTCAGAGAGAAGAGAAAGGATGAGCTTTGTTAATGAGAATATATGACCTTTAGCTCCCACACAGAAAATTCTTTGAAAAATCTGGAGATTTAGGTGAAAGCTAAAATGACCAGACTTCCTGAGGATGCTTTAAGTGCAATCTAACACAATAGGATAAAGAGAAAAATTACCTTTTTATAGCTAATGTAACAATATCGTTAATGTATAAAAACCTATATACATTGAAAAGTTATATGGTCGATTATAAAAAAAAAATCCATGCTGCCTCTCACCTAGACTAAAGCTTTTCTGTCATCCCTGCTCCATTATTTCCCCATTCCAAACAAATAACTTTTCTGAGATTGTGCATTCTGACTGTAATGGACTCATTTCTGTTAGATTACTGGTAAATGTGGGGGAGGAAATAAAGATAAATTTTTATTGTTCTAAGGATCACTTTTTCAGTCAACAAGTATGTATTGAGCACTTTATTGAAGCTTGCTTGGTCTTATTGTGTTAATTATAATAAAACTAGTAAAAATCATACTAAATTCACCGAATATTACACCAATGCCAGGCATTAAGAATTTAGCATGCATTGTTTAATCATCACAACAACTCTATCTTGTAGTTATTCTTCTTATCCTTCCCTTTATGAATGGAAATCTAGGGTCCAAAGACATTAAATAATATACTCACTACACAGTTAGTGAGTGACAAAGCTGGAATTCAAAACTCTGTGTGGGTGTGACTGCCAAGTCTCTATGTCAGAAAGCTACACTGTTTTTGAGAAATTGTTATATAAGGGAATGTGTGGTTACTACCTGAATTTACGGTTTGGGGGGAATATGTAATCCACATATAAAAAACGATTGGGAATAGAACCAAATAACTTATAATCAAGTATTCAGTAAGAGCACAATAAACATTTTAGATGGCAAACCCAAAAGATTTTTCTCATTTTACAACAACCAATGCAATCCCTTTGCAAAGGTATTGCACAATTGCTCACGTTTACATATTTCTCTTCTCTTAGTTTCCATGACATCACACTTTTCTATTTTTTCTCTCATCTCATCTTTGACAGCTGTGAGTCCTTCAGTCCGCTTAACTGACTCTACTTATCCTACCAGACCTCCAAGTTTCTACCTAGTGAGTCGGTCTTTTCTTTCTTTCTCATCCACTGGAACGAGACGGGATGCCGAAATGCAGCCAAGGAAATACTCTATGGTGCAGTGTGCTAAGATGTGCTCCTTCCTGAACCTCCACCACTGGGCTGAAGGAAGGGGACTGCCTTACCATATCCAGGGAGTGCCACACCTTGGAGGTACAAAAGTCCACTGGACTCTAGAAAAAAATTAACTCTTAACTGCGACTTCACTGAATGACAGAAAGACAATGCCTATCCTGTCATTCCAAATATACCCAAGGTCACAAAAGGACATCTGCCCTGACCATTAACATATGATACATTTTTATATATGATCCTGTGAGTTATAAAAAAAATGACCTCAGTCCTAAGACTTACACGATTTAAAGCTATACTAACTGCATGATGAAAGACCAATTTTCATTGTACATGTCCTCAATATATATTTTGAATGAAATTGTAAGTTCTTTGTATCAGGCATAAAGTTATTACAAACCGCTTGGGGTCTCTGTGAAGATGTATGATTTGGTCTACTAAAATTAAGATGCTGATCAACACAGACTTTAAGTTCGTATTGTCAACCTTGCTATCATCTTGTATTTTTTGACATGAGGAATGACATAAGGTCTGAGACCTCAGTTTTGTTCCTGAGTCTGTCACTAGTTTTTGTGTGACCTTAAACAAGTTACTTAATCATTTTTCCCCTCTGTAAACTGAGGTGAATTATCCTAGATGATCTTGAAATGTTTTCAAACCTAACACTTCAATATTCCAAATGTAGCTTCTTTTCTATGGTATAAAAGTGAAATCAACAGACAAGTACACTAAAATAGATAAATATGAAAAAGAAGAAAAACTCAAATTTATAAACACTTATACTGTAATACTATGATGTAATTATTTTTACATTTTTGAACAAAAAATCTTTATTGTATAAAATTTACTTTGCCTCTGCGATACTGCCTTATTTTAATCTATAATAATTCAAAAATACTTTGCAGCAAAGGAAAAAAGACATCCAATCATATATGGATATATTTTGATTTGAAAAATAGTGTTTCAGAGTCACATGTTCGATTCTCTGCTGTGGACCTTTACTTGCTATAGTTTGTGCGCCTCATACCTTAATCATCACATTAGTCCACAAACCTAATAGAAAAGGTGTTCTACATTATCATGGCTTTTTCTAGAAATAATAAAGTCAAATTTCTTCATTGTTCATATATACACTTGCAGCTGAGTAATTATGCAAGAGACATTCATCATGATAACACAGATTCTATTTCCCTTTCTACCATGTATTGTAAGAACTTTGCCCGTATTAGGGAAAAGGTCTCCACCCTCTAAGCCAACAGATGAAAGCGACTGTTCTGAAAGATTATTGCATATCAAGTTCTGGGAGGTCTGTCATATTCCGTCAAATTGATGCACTTTGAAAGGATTTGGCTGAGATAATTCTGTCCACATCGTTTTCCAACCCAAAACTTCACTACAGAGTCTATACCCATGAGATGAGCTCCTTACCTGCTCTGCTTTTCCGCTGAAAGCTGAAGGATAAGGGACTTGGAAATGGTTCTATTGTTGGTACTGAGTGCTCCCTTATCTCAGACATTATCAAGTCTACGCAAATGGGATGAACTGTGAGTATCAGGTAAACCAGGGGCTGATTTTTCACATGACACAAAGCAGAAGTGCACTTATCTGGACGTGTATGTGCCCCAGCCTGGAATGGCTTCTATTTGAGAGCCAACACAAAGAGTGAAAAAGACATAAAGAAATAGGAACCATGACATTAGGCTGCTGATTACTTAGGACTGAAGGACAATAAGCGTGAAGAGTGTCTACGAGAGAACTCATTAGGATATTTCTAGCCTCACTCAGGTTGTCAGTACAAGCCTGTCAACAGCTATATTGGCCAATAAGCCTGATATTGCTTGAAAATGAGCTCCAAAAAAGACTTCATTTAGAGTTGAAACTATTTGAAAACAAGAAGTATGGACACAAATTCTTTGTTCATCTTTGCTGGACATATACAAGTGTTGGCTGAAAAGAAATCAACTATTGGACTCTTCTACTGACATCTGTACTGCTCACCCAGCACCTGGGTTGGCATTGGTTAAAGGCAATAATCTGCTAACTGAACAAAAATGTTCTCATGAAAAGTATGAATGGAAGGACTTTTGACACACCAGGCCTTGGAAGACTCACAGCCAGTCTACCAAGTGAGGCATCTCTGTAGTTCTTTCTGTAACTTCTGTGCTTGGACTGAGTTGTGCTGATGGTAGTTAAGAGGGATAGCGATAGACACTACCTACTTCATACTGAGAAATACAATCTAGAGAAGCTAAATCAGAGTACTGTACACTGAGAAGGGATAAGTTAACAGTTAGCTGCTGACCTGAACAGTCTAAGACTAATTTCTTGCAGTCAGTGGGTGATGTCAGATGTATTTTCTTAGCAGATGGCCTCTGGTTGGGTTCCTCTTGTGGTTTCAGGAATCCCACTCCAAGAATTGGGAGCCGTGTTTGCAAGACAAACATTCAACCACCATTTGAGGATATCTGCTTAAAGGCACATCAGTGCTGGGATTAGGCACCCTGGGCGTCTAGAGTCTTGGTAAACATTTCTATCCAAGTTTTCAGTAATCTTGGATTTTCAATAATCATTCATTCTTATTTACTAATACATTCTCTGTCACAGGAATAAAAATATCTTTGATGTCTGAAATTATTAGCATCTGTGGTTAAAAGACATCTTCTGAAAGACTGTAGAAATAGATTGTGGTGTTAAATATTATAAAGCTAATTTTTGTTCTAGTGTCTCCAGGAAGCCCTGTATTCTGAAGGATCCATAAGCTCAATAGTAGTGTCTTGAACTTCAGGTTATCTGTTGGGTACCCCATACACTCTCGTTAAAGGGTTCTACATAAATTCCGTAGGAATGTTACCAAATCAGTAACAAGCTACAGAACCTCTCCTTTTTATGGAATAATTTTAAGGAATTACTTTTTCCATTGCTTAAGTCAAAAGTGACTATATTTAATGTTACATTGAAAGTTTAAAAAAGAACTCTATGTTTGTATTTACATATACTTACAAAAAAGAAGCAAAATGACCAAAGGCCACTATTTTTTCTCTTCTTGCGAAAAATAAATGATATTACATATGTGAAAAAGACAAGAGAAGCTGCATAACCAATCGAAATTACAACCTGAAAATAATATAAATAATAATAAAGTCAAAAAATGAAATATTAACTGACGAAAATATTAAATTATAAATAACTTTAAAATATTTTATTGTACATGCACTTTGCATGTTTTTTGAGTTATGACAAAATAAAAGTGAAAATATCTTGATTGGTTATACATCAAATGTGAAAATTTATCATGAATTACTTTATAAGATATTGTCTATGTAATACATTACTTACCAATGCAAACACTATTCGACTTGTGATATAAATGTTCGCCATGTTTGCTATGCAGAAAATTAAATACATTAAAAAGAGAATAAGAATGAAGAGGTTAATATCCACCAGTGCCTGTCCACACCAGTAAGCAGAAGGGTACAGGCCTGAAATCCATAGCTGGGATTTAGCTCTCTTCTGATGAAAAAACACAGGATATACATAGATTCGATTAAAATCCAAATCCAAAACAAACAAGTTGGAAGATATTTCGAACATAAATCTAATCTAAGCTAGAGCTTTTAAAAGCTTCTACTAATTTTAATTACACATATACTGTTCAGGAACCTGAGTTCTAGAAAGCCACTTCCGTAAAGGTGACCACTTTGAACATGAGCATGGTTTTATTTGGTAGGTTTGATTCACAATGCCCATTTAACTCATGCATCATACAAAGAAGAGCAGATCTCATAATTGCCAAGGAATCTCCTTCAAAAGACATATTATTTTGCGACCTGAAGGATAATACATTCCCTATTCTCCAAATATGCGCTGGGAGAGTTATTGGCTCAGAATGGTGAAGGATGACTCATCTAAATCTTATTTAACTGTTTGCCTTGGATAACGGACACAATCAAATACAAATATAACAACAACAACAACAAAAACTGTGTTCCCCACAGTAGAAAGTCTTAGATCTGGTCTTTGATTTCAACATCCATGATTTCTTCTTTGCAGTTAGGAAATAATGAGTTGAGAGCTTTATAATATCCCTCTTTGAAGGTTTAGATTAACTTGAATCCCTGTAAAATTATTATACTTTTCTTGTAATTTTGAAGTGAAAAGATGTGTTTTTAGAAGTAAATTTTCTGACTTGACAGAAATAATACTAAATTAAACATACATTTAAATGTTTTCCTCACGGGAAAACATTTTAAACACATAGCATTTAACATACAATTACTGAAGTAGCTAAAGTTTCCTTTTTTTTTTTTTTGCCCCCCTTTTCTTACTTTGTAATCGCTGACACTGCTCATGGCGATGTAAGGAGAAACGCTGCACAGAGTGAGAAGTAAAAACAAGGAGGCTTCTGGCAGCCCTGTCCAGAAAAATACATAATTCTGCAAACATAAAAGGTACTTTAAACTAGTGAATTAAAACAAAATTAAATAAATACAGAAAACCATAAAGAAATGTGCTTTTTGAAATATCGAAGAATCAAAATAAAAGTGTACATCTAGTTCATCAACATCTATGCATGGAGGTGGGAGAGGGGAAATGATTTCTGATCATGAGGCTTCAACTCCTAGTGGAAAAAAAGAGAAATAAAAAACTCAAGACCCACTTCAGGGTATATATGAAAAAGAATTGGAAGCAGTGAGTCTCAAAGAGGTATCTGCCCAGACAGGTTTACAGCAGCGCTGTTCACAATACTCAAGAGCTGGAAGCAACCCAAGTATCCATGGACAAATAAATGGATGAACAAAATGTAGTAGACACATACACGGACTAGTATTCAGCCTTGAAAAGGAATAAAATCCTGGCACATACTACAACATGGATGAACTCTGAGGACAACTGTCCACTTTGAGGATAGTTACAAAAATACAAATGCTATATGATTGCCCTTATATGAGGTTTTAAAAGTCGTCTGATTTTGTAAAAACAGAAAGTAAAATGGTGACTGCCAGGGTCCGGGGAAGGAAGTAATGAAGAGTTCTTATTTAATTGGTGTAGAGTTTTAGTTCTACAAGATGAAAAAGTTCTGGAGATCTGTTTTCACAACAATGTGAATATACTTGACATTTCTGAACTATACACTTAGAAGTGGTTAAGACGGTAAATTTTATATTTTGTGTTTTTTACCACAACACAAAAAAATAAATAAATCAGGAATTACAACCCTAGAGAAACAGATTATTCAGACCTGAATGGCGTGCCTTTCTCAGCATACCTCGTGTGGACACGTAAAGACTTTGGCAGCTGGGGCGATGTGCTCTGAAGCACAGACATAAAAAGACAAGTCGATGCCACTGAGCCCATCTTCAAGGAGATGAACTTTATACCACCCCCAATTCGTGTCTGCCTGAGGCTCGGCTCAACCTCAGGTAGGGCACAGGACTGCCTCCTGTGCAGTAGCCTGTCTCAAAACAATTCCACAATTCTTAAACTTTACTTAAGGCTTTGCAGGCTATATCTAGAAAATTTTCACCAGGTGGGGAAATGCATACTGTCTTCGTAAAGAGGGCTGACAGAAGAATCTGTGTGTCTCTGGGGGTGCTAAGAGTAACCACAGGGCCTTGGTTTGCTTCGATCTTGAACAAACAGGTGATGACACGAAGACACTAAAGGACCAAGAGGGGGTAACACCTATCTCTTTCTACTACAAGCTGGTTCCACTTTCTTGAGAGTTCCCTTTAGAGACCTGCACTCTTGAACCATCCCTATTCTGATGGTCAGTGGTGGCTTCAACCCACAAAAGTATATGTCCATCACTGACCTCTGCAGTATAGTCCATACATCTGCTCTTGTGTGTACCCCCAGCACCACTAATGCAATGCAGCCAAAACTGAACTGGATCCCTTTGTCACAAAATAGGCTTCCCTTTTCAAAAGCTCCATTTCTAGTCCTGTTTCCTGCTCTTCCAACCTCCTGGTTTGAAAGAGTTGGAGTCAGCTGTGAGATCCCTCTTGGGTATCGATTAGGCTCTAACCAGAAAACCATAACCACTTTCAATACTTAAAATAGAGTGAAATTAATCATGCAATGGTTACAGGGGTGAAAAGAGCAGAGACGGCAACAAGGATGATGACGTGAGATGCCACTGTCATTTCTGGGTTGGAGGGATGAAGGAAGGAAGCGATGTGACTAGAGCTCAGGTGCAGGATCCTTTTGCTCTCCTGGATCCTGCCACTGCCTCCAGTTTTCTAAATCCACACTAGAGCCAGCTGACAAAGAATCCTGAAAATGCGGCCTGTGTGTATCAGACACACTTGTAATGTGGAGCAACTATGGGTAGGTGAAGGAATTCATCAGAAAGCATATAGCCCAAGAACTGGCAAATTCTCTTTTGTATCAGTCAATCTACTACCTATTTAGTCAAGGAAGGGTCTGCCAACAAATTATATTAGATTTATAAGATAAGACTATAAAGCAGGGTTACAAGTGCTCTTGATTTCCAATTCAGTGTACATACACACACACACAAGCACACACACTCTCACTCTCTCTAACAAACTCCTGCACTCAAGTAAGTATTAGAAGATTCCCTGGGAGGTTATGACATAATATGGAAAAGTATTCCCCTATGAGAATTTTCTGATCATAATGAGAAATAATCTGTTTAAAATGTTAGGCAAAAATTAATTTTTTAGGATTAACAAGTAATTATAAATATTTAGAAGCTAAAATGGAAAACACAGGTTGGTTGTCAAATTCCTAATTGTTTGGAATGAGTAAATACAATACTTACAAAAGGATATGAGCCTCTCTCAGTTCGAATATATTGTGTATGATTAAACATTCGAAGTAACCCATTGCTGATGATATTCATAAGAATAGGGAAACAGTGCAGTCTCTTGGTATTGCATACGACTGAAAATCTATAATCCTGCAAACAAAACACAGACAAATAAAACAATGTTAATTCTAAACCATTAAAGAAGAAAATGGTTTTATATGTAAGATCCTAACGGTGCCACATTCTAGTTGTGTGACCATCTTCAAGTTAACTGACCTCTGAGCTTCAGCATCCTTATCTGTAAAAGGGTATAATAAATGGGTTGTTAAACAGTTTAAATAAGATAATGTATATTAGGCCATAGCACAGCAGATGGCACAGTCAGCAATGTAAAATTTATTAATATTACTAATTTTAGATAAGGAAATTTCAGTTGATGGGATTCAAAACGTGGCCCTAATATAATGCTGTCAGTTTACAGTGAGCAAACAAAGGAACAATGATTTTCTAGATAGGAGAGAAGCATGGGATTTATAAAATGTTCATAGTTATACTGCCAATGAATCATTTTCACCCTTTCTAAGACGATGTTTATGTTCTTCATGTTTATGAAAATATTCATGCATTCATCAAGAGGCTCAATAATGTTTAAGTATTACCAATAGTTTATATAATAAATATCTTAGATACGTAACAAGTAAAACAACAGCTAAGCAATGTAGTTTCTCCCAGTTGGCACGAAGAGATTATTTAGTTTAGGTAGAACTGAATTCAATGATACATCTTCAAAGGCTTTTGTTTTTCATTTCCCTTCTGGCAAGAAATGAAGAGACAGTTTCATTTAAATTTATTCCCTGCTTTTCTCTGGAATTTAAGTAAGACTCAGAGTATACTTGTGATTAGGATGTATTTTCAAAGTCTTGTTCCTGGAAGGATCTTTATTGCTTGTGTTCTTTATCCAAATTGAAACTTGTTAAGACAGTAGGCTGAGAACACTTTCCTCGGAGACTTCAGGTGGCTATTATAGTATTTAATATATTTTCTCAATATATAAGAAGATTGTTTGGATAGTTAGCCATTGAATAGGATCCCTTAAATTCATAATTATATTGGTTGGTAACTATAAATTTTAATATTTTATTAAGTCTGACTAATGCAATTATATTTAGCTACTTTCAAATGTAAAATTCATCTAATTCAAAGGTTAAGATAGAAAATGTTTTATAAAAACTTATTCAAACGTCACAGATTATTTAATAATGACCCAAAATGTTTTCAAGTGAAGTTGCTGTATACCAGCTGGGTTGACTTTTTATAGTTTTAAAACAGCTAAAATGTAGAACTTTATTAATTTTTTCATAAAAGCAAAAACAAGAAGCAAGAGACAAATATACCTTCTGTTCACCAGAAACTATGATAGCTCCATTGTATGACAGGTCATCAGTGCTATTTCTATTTTTGAAGTTATCTACTTCCAAAAGTATATTTTGATGCTTCACTGACTGTATAAAATCTTCAATATTTGATTCTAGAATGAAATCAACAGAGGCCATATAAAGCAAGAACACGTCATTTTTTAAAAAAATAAACCACAATTTAAAGGTAATATTTATAGTATGTAAAGGGATGTCATTTCGGGCATCACAATAACACTGGCCCATGAAAGAGAACCCACTCGGTCATCTTCTATTTATTGAATCTTACTCTGTGATGAGTTAGCTTTATGATATGGTTTAATGCAAGTTAATATGTAACCATTAAGACTAGATAATTCTATTTTATGACCCCTTGTTAAAAAAATACATTTGGACTCAATCATTTGTGGCAATATACAATAATAATATGAGAAGCACTTCAAATTGGCTAGCCTAAAATGGCCAATAATAACACTCTTCTCACTCTCTTATTTTTCAAATAACAGAAAAGTAAATATATGTAGGTGTATGCATAAAATATGAGTGTATTTTACATCTATTTTATATTTTTACATATATATTACATGCACATATATTACATAAATATATTTTTTCTTAGGAAATGAAAAATGAAGAGTGCCACTATCAGACAAAGGTTTTTGATATGTGCCTGAAGAAGAAAGCAGATGAGATGGTTTGACAGAGAAATAAGAGCTGAGAAAAACCCCCAGCCCAGCACACATGGGCACAAACAACCGTTAAGGTAAAACCAGTTTCCAGGATCTCTACTTGAGAGTGCACAAAGTCAAGGTGGGTAGATAGGTTCTGCAGCCACGGCCATGACCATCAACTGGTTAACCACGCCTGGAACAAGGAGGCCACGGGCCCCTCTCCATGGTCCACACAGAGCAGGTGGAGGCTGCAAGTCCCTAAATTCAGGATACAAGTCCCTAAATTCACTTTCCAAGAGAGACTATTTGGGCAAAACAGCATGGCAAGACCTCTAGTAACTCCAGACAACTAAAAGGACAGGATGTAATGGAAAAAGGAAAAAGAATTCTAGGTTTTTCTCATTTGGACTTTGAAATGTGAGTCCAAACTAAGAACAGAGAGGGTTCTAGCATCAGAAGAACAGGAAGAAGCTCCAGATGAATTAGGATTCCCACATTCACCTGGGCAAACAGGAATCCTCCAGTTTAAAGATGAACATCTTACCAACGATCATCTGATTTTCAGACAAAAGGAACAAGATGGCATAGAAACTCCAAAAATAAATCACAGAATAACTAACAACCGAGTAGAGAGAAGAAAATAAATAAATAAGTAACACAAGCGTACGGTTCTCAGAGTAACTAGAGAGGAAAACACCTACATGAGAAAACAACAGGCGGAAAGGTAAAGAGGCAATTCCAGATCTCGGAAATCAAATATACAACTAGAAGCACTTTCAGGTATAAGGTAGTAGAATGAATAAAATTTACTTTCTGACATCCAAATGGAAAACAAGAAGAAGAATGAGAAACAGAAATGAGAAGACCACCTTGGTTTAAAGAGGAGACACCTATAACCCCGCGTCACAAATATCTATGAAAATCAGAGTGGGTGGCAGAACTCTTCAAGAGACGACTCCTACTCTGAATATTTTTGTAACATTGCAGGCAGAAACATAAAATAAGCAGTAGGTGTAAGCAGTTAGACTAAACCAATTGCTAATCTTTTAGGAGAACAGGAGCACAGGTACCAAAATGTCTTAGGAAATCTTCCTAGGTCCTGCTGGAGGCCTACAATGTCAATCAGTGTGCATAATATTTAGGGTATAGGTTAAGCTGTCATAACAGAGATCTCAAAATTGAGTGGTTCAACCGATACAGAAGTTTGTTTCTCTCTCACATACTAGCTCAAGGTCATCAGGTGGATAAGCAGCTCTACTCGATCAGGTTATGTCGTGACCCAGACCCTTCTATCTTGTCCCACCATCCCCATAATCTCTAAAATCAGAGCAAATATGCACAGTTCTTCAGAAATTGATTTCTATACATGAAGTCTAAATACACATTTTCTTCTCTTACAATTTGTTCCCCCCACCTACATAAAAATAACTTATTTCTGGGTTTAAATTTTCTTTTTCTGTTCACCTGTATTGTTGATGATCAACAGGCTGGTAAGAGAGTCTTGGGGAAGTTGTCCCGGAGAGAGGAAATACAATTCAGGTTTAAATTCCCAATCACTCCTTTGAACTAACACAGCATCATATATTGTTTCCACAATCAAAGGGAACAGTGAAATTCCAAATACCAATAGTCTACCAATAAAGAAAAAGCACCATATGAGTCTACAGCAATTTTATTTATTCAGTCAGACATTTCATAAATATCTGTTGAGTACCAACTCTGATGGTAAGTGCTAAAGTTTTGAAAGTCATACCTTAGCATGCCATACAGTACTAAAAGGCATTGCTATACAAACACCAGGCTAGCAAACAAACTGTGAAAACTAAACAGACCTGTGTATACGTATGGCTAATGAAGTGCTAACGCACAGGCATTCGCCCTGACAGTAAAATCCAGTGCTGCATTTATCCATTCTCTGGCAGGAAGGTCGGGTATTAAATTCTGGTTTAAATTATCTTCTGGTTTAACTCTTTCTTGAAACTCCCTATCTAACAAAAACACAATGCCCTGATACTCACAGGGTCCGAAGCGCTTTCTTTCCACGTTTTAACTTTAAGAAACGGAGCCGTGCTATTGCACAGACCTGCATTCTCCAGAGTTCCAAGTCACTCACAGCCTTCCGCATTTCAGAGAAAGAAGAGGAAACTGGCTCCATTTCATGTAGGCTTTCTGTGTCTCTTCTCATCTCTGCTTGTTCAAAATCTGTACACACACACTTGCATCATTAATGCTGTCCTTAGGTCATCACAGTTTTCTCTTTTTAGTAATATTAAAAATCATTTTAGAATGTTGTGGTTACAAAACAAATGATATAAGCAAAAATTATGTTTATCATATCCACATTCAATAAACTCAGTGATAAAATACACTGAATTTATACCAAAAGAAGAATTTAGTAAAGGGTCATCTTATTATGTCCAGTCTTTGAAAAGGCATAGAAAGTCTCATATATAACACTATCTGAGGGATTTCAAGAAATCTTCTCCATAAGAATAGCCAGTCACTGATGCCTAAATGTCTACTATTAAGCTATCAGTAAATTAGAACAACAGGTAAAAGACTACCGACTCTGAAACCACCAGACCTGTACCTGATTGCCAAATACATGACTTACAAATGGCATAATTTGAGGCAAATTACTTAACTGCTCTTATGTCTGATTTTCTCATATGTAAATGGTGCCAATGACACTTGGAGAATGGTCATTGTAGGAAGGCAATGCAGTATATCCACACATTGATTAAAGTGTCTGGTATAAACGCTCCATAAATGACAGTTTTTACTATTATCATCCACTAAAAAACACAGGAGATGAGTCTAAGCATTTCTTCCATTTAGACCTTAGTGGGATTTCGTATTGCACAAGCTAAGACTTCATGACCTTGATGGAGAGCCTTTCACATCCTCAAATTATGCAAGAAGCAGTGAGCATCTGAGAATAGGAGAAATCTACTAAAATAGGAAGCAAATAGTTTCCAAAGAGAAATGTGGTATATTCCAAGAAGGGATCTGTGCTCAGACCAGTAATGATGTTAGCAAGCCATGACAGCCCTTCCCAGACAGCGAAGTCAAATGTGGAATTAGTCACTTTCTTTAGTGTGAATGATGTGTAAGATGTTATAAATACTAAAGTGACACATGGTACTTTTGGAAAATGGTTGTATATGACTATACAAATGGATTTACCTTGCTCCACAGTTGATTTTCCTTCCACTTTCATGAACACTTCATTCAGAGTTGACGTGGAAATGTCATAACTCACCACACCCTGGCCAGAACCCTTATCAAGATCACTGAAAAGGTCTACGGTGACAGATAGGAATAGATACATTTAAAATACCACATCGATAACTTAACCTAGAAAAAGATCACTTAAAAGATGACGCAGAATATTGTTCAGAAAATTTATGTCTTTGCAGTATCAGAGTAAGCAAAAGCAAACTTTCACTGGAACGCTCTCCCTCCCTGAAATAAATACATCGGACCTCTCCCTCTATCCTCAAATCATCTGCAGTCTATCATCTAATCTCAGCTCATGAACTTCCTATAAGCTTCTTGAGGAAATAAGAGCAGTCAGAAAGAGCACCATCATCTCACTGCCACACCACAAGTCAACGTGTACTTCTACCCATATTCTGGGTCTTCCTTCTATAGAGGTGGAAGACTTGTAGCTGCTTTTACCAAAGGTTATCTCTTTGACATGTGTTCTGAATTCTATCCCCTTTGGGCATCTTGAGAACTTTCCAAAGTAATCTGTTCTCTCTCCCTAGCTCTGTCCCTCCCAGCCCCCGCCCCCTCTCTCTGCAACTCAGACATTCAAAGCTGTTAACTATTCCCTCCTACTAGAAACATTTTCTTCCTTGAGTTAATAAGAACATATTCTCCTGTATTTCCTTCATCAGGACTCTTGATTTCTACCACCTCTGACTCCTCCTCTACTTTCTCCCGAGGGCCCAGTACTAGATCGCTTTCTGTCTCCATACACTCTAATCCCATGCCTTTGCATTAAATCCATCTATATGCTAATAATTCTCAAATTCAATTCTCACTTTGTTCTCTGATTTCCAAAATCTTAAACCATCTATATCCTTGGCTATTTGACAACTCCACTTAGAAGTTTAAAAGTATCTCAAAGTCAATATTTCCAAAATAGAACATTAACTCCTTCTTCTCCATTCTACCCAACTGTTCTTCCCATCATTTCAAAGTAAATGACACCACTTTCTAGCCAGTGATTCAAGCCAAAATTCTAGAAGTTCCCTTTGCTTGTTCACTTTTCCTCATGCTCCACAGACTGGCCATCAGCCAGATTCTTTAGATTTATCTCCAAATATGATTCAAATCCATCCACTTTCATTTTCTTTCAACTGGTACTACGGTAGCTCAATGACCATCATCTTTCATCTACACCTCTGAAATGATCAGACGGCTGGTCTCCCAGGGTGCGCTCTTGTTCCTCTATAGCCAGAGTGGCCTTTTATATCCAGAGAATGAAAATATAAGTCACATCACATCAATTTCCCATTTAATGACTTTTGGTGGTTTCTCAATACTTTTAAAAAAAATTCAAAGACCACACCACAGCCTCTAAAGCTCTACCTTAGTGAGTCTCGATATTCCCTACAGCCTCATCCCATTCCCACTTGCCACTGTCCTCCCTCACTCACCGACTCCAGACACTCCCTTTTCCCCTCTGCTCGGAATGCTTTTGAGCATTTTCTTCTTACGGCATTCTGACTCTTTTCATATAAACTCCAACCTGACATCAGTCATCTCTCTAATCCATAATGTCTTGTTTATTATTTCATTACAGAACTAACACCATTGGTTTATTGCATGCATCTGCTTCTCCCGCCCAGTGCAATGTAGGTTCTATATGGGTAGGAACTCATAAGTCTTATTTAATTCTCTATCTCTAGAACCTTGAGCAGTGTTTTATATATAATAGATCCAATAAACATTTATTTTATATCTCTTCCATGGTGGATGCTTGGATGAGGATGCAAGCTCCTTTGAGAAGCTTCTCATGTGCCACTTTCTACACTAGGTGGGGTGATGGGCCAGCAAAATTACTGAGAGGAACCGGATGAGTACCGAGGTTGTAACAGCACTGTGTTTCCCCATGGCCCACACATGGCATGCAGAGGACCTGGGAGTCCCCTTATTTCCTATAAGGACATAAATATGTCATTGGACTTGCAAAGACCTGGATAAGGAAGCTGCCATGGGCTCACACATCAACACCAGGGACTTTGGGTAACAGATATTCTTGTGATGGTATCAGCAATATAACTTACTATTCCCCTTTTCCTACCAAAAAAGAAGGTGGGCTAATTGCATCTCATTGCACATTAGTCCAAGAACAGAATAACATAGTATGGCCCACCTTCCAGGCTACTACGAACACAGAGAAAGCTACCGTATTTGCAGGTGAGACTAAATCTAATTCCTGAGCATTTGCCTAATCATCACTGGAATCATCCAAAAGTCTATTTAAATCAGGCTTATAGGGAGTTCGAGTTTAATAAACTAAATGCTTCAATAGAAAGGAAGCTGTTTAAAACAGAAAAGACTGAGAGACACATTTCCCCACAGCACCCATCCCACAGAACAGTCGTGAGGACTAAATGAGCTGACGCACATGGAACTATTAGAAGAATGCATGACTCACAGTAAGCACTGTATGAAGAGCTAGTGGTTATTGGGATTACTCATCAAATGAAGCCTAGGTTGGTACTGCTACCTGGCAGACTAGACCCAAAGTGAACTCTTGTAGAATAAACAAACTACATTTTTCTCTATGAAATAAATACATACCTAATTAAAGTGCAGAAGGAGACTTGTGGCAGACAGCTTGATGCCTCGCCCCCATCTTTTCTGCACTCACCCATGCCCAGCAAATCCACTTATTAAGAATACCTGCCTGAAGGTATTTTTTTTCTGGGCTCTGAAGTATGCCAAGCTCATGTTGAACACAAGCCAGATCGGTCAGAAAATTAATGCTCCCAGAAGCATCTCTTAACCACTGATGGATAGGGAGTAGCCAATAAACACCCCAGGTTTCTCATCCCTCTGGTGATATAACTCTGAGCCCCCTCCTTACTGAGTTACTTATTTCTCCCAGTGGTATTGCACCTCAGTCGCTTGTTGCAATAACCTGCTCGATAATGCAAACTTCTCTGGCTTCCTTCCTTTCCCTTCCCTTCCCTTGCTCATGTCCCCATTCCCTACTGGTGCTTCTAGGCATCAATTACCCAACGAATTGCACTAAAATCCTCGTCTCAAGTTCTGCTTCTTAGGGAACCCAACCTAAAACGAAATCCAAGTCCATTAAACAATGAAAGTTATAATAATAATGTGAATACTTGTTCCCAAATTTCATTCCATTGTAATCATATTTAAGTTACCTGGAAATTTATCTGTCCTTTCCACAGGCAAAGTATACACAAGTTTTTCTTTGCTTTCTGTTTTTAATTTAGCATCAGGGATGTGATGATTAATAAAGGATGTTATTTTTTCTGGATCACATATTTCATTTCTGTACAAACTAATGTTTAAAAGAAAAGACAATTCATTTGTGTTTTTGCCAGTGCTATCACAAAAGAAGAGCTTTTATTGAATACCTAGCCTTTGAGTACCACTATTCTTGGCTTTAGGAAACAAACGAAATGAGTAAATAATTCTAATACTAACAATGCCATTGGTTTGAAAAATCTTCTGATCTATACAGAGAAGGTGTATAAACTCAAAACAACTACAAATATATAAACAAATACATAATGGAATTGAAACTATATGTCAAGCAGGAAGATAAATAGAGGGAGGTGAGATTATTTGGCAGAAGAACCTCCTTAGGGAAAATAATTACTACACCGGACCATGCAGATATCAGAAATTAGTGGCTAATAGGGAAATTTGGCCAACATGCATGTTTTGTTTGGCCAGAGTCTTTGTTTTTGTCCTAATTCTTTTTGCCTGAACACACTTTCTTGTTAGACACAGTCGTTTTGAGACTCTGCTACCAGATTTGCAGCCACTTTTGATACTAGCTTCTGAAATTATTTGATTTTGTGCTCTTTGGAAAAATGAAAATACAGAATTGTATTGATCAGTTGAGGAAAGTGGAGGGTGGGGAAAGTGGTACAGGTTTAGGCTGCACGGAACAGCGACCTGGAAAGTGGTCCATGAAATAGCCCTGCTGTGATCTGTCAGCTTGGGCTTATAATTTTGAAATTTTGCTTATCACAATGATGTTGAAATATAGGAAAAGCATTCAGGAAGCAATAATCAACACAGCACGGCAGGGATAAGCATAAGGCCAATTCTCTCTCATATTAGTCTACCTTTTTATACACCAGTATTGAAAATATAGATAGATAGATATATATCCAATCTATCTCCATAGCCTTTACCTTAAGTGATATCCAAGACCCCATTTTCTCTTCAGAAAGTCAGAAGAGCCTGCACACTTCAATCTTCCATTGGACATGATCACTTTTCTATCTGAGTAAAAAGAAGCAAGAAAGGATGATAGGAGTCATTTCTTCCCTCTCTAGAAGATAAAGATGAGGAGCAAAAGCTCAGATTTCCAAAGGAGAAGTGTTCTGTGGAGTATTACTATAGCTAATGTCCATTTAAAAATCTGAAATATGCTTTAAGTCTACGGCCATACCACCCTGAACGCGTCCGATCTCATCTGAAATACACATTAAAATTGATGCATTTAAAATAAACTGATGAATTCCCATTCATTTTAGTGCCCACTAATATTAAAAAAACAAACAAACAACAACAACAAAAAAACCTAAAAACTACCTGGGTGCATTTTCTACTCTGGATGCTAAGAAATGAGTGGATATTTTTCAAATAAATATATGTTAAAGATTTGGATGTTTAAATTAATCAAAAGCTGATCTGGAAAATATCGCATTTTTTCATTAGTGGTCAAAATCCAGCAAATAAACAGTTGGCGAGGAATTCTGCAGTGGGACTAGACTCCTGTCATCCTCCAGATTGCTATGTAATATAGGCACACCAAGGCATTGGGAGCAGGGCTCTTGCCCTGGGAATAAATATTTCCCAAATCCTTTATTGTAATACTGAGAGAACACCAACAATTACCAGCCAGGATGTCAGCCTCATCCATGAAGTTGGTACTCAAGAGAGTCACACGGTCTGCTTTGCGTTCCTTGAGAAAACTCCATACTCGATGTCTTGAAAATGGATCCAACCCAGCAGTTGGTTCATCCAGCAGCAAAACCTACACAGGATGATGATATATAAGGTATGTCTCTCTCCCATGTTAACTGTTTCCAGAAAATAGTATGGATAACAATAAAAACCAAAAAAAAATAATAACCATCCGTCCATTTATGTCCAACAGACTTACCTCCACAGTCACACAGAGAAGATTCTCTCTTTATACATTACAGTGAAAGCATTGCTACTTTTAGTGGTGAAAGGGTTTGACTTTTCACTGATATTCAATCTGCATTCCTCCACATGTACAATCACACTTACTTGAGGATCTCCTAAAACGGCAATCCCAAGTGTCAGCTTTCTTTTCTGTCCTTCACTTAAATGTTTAGCAAGGTTATCCTGAATGTTTTGTATGTCCAACTCCAATAAAATTCTTTGTACCTATATGAGAAAATATACAAAGCTTAAAATCCAACATGATTCATATTGTGCAAGTTTAACTGTTTATTGCCACAGTAGATATTTTTATAGGACCTCAATGTCTAAATTTTATTCATAACAGGACAGATAAGTCACGAAGAGGAATTCTGTGATCGTGATTTAACTTGGCAAATAGTTGGCAGTTTAGTTAATCTAAGAATGCATTTACCTCTTGTTCCACTTCCTGTGGCAGAATCCCTTTTATTTTAGCAAACAGCCTGAGGTTTTCCTTCACAGTGAGCATGTCAAATTGAATACTGAATTGAGGACAAACACCAGTAATCTTCCTGATTTCCTCCAAGTCTTGCATTTCAGAGAGATTTTTATTGTAGATGGTAACTGATCCTGAGAACAGAAGTGAAAAATAACTTAAAATTGGCAAGATAATATATTTTATTAATGCTTGGAGATCTTATTCAGGGAAATGAATAAGATCATGGCTGTAATTTATTAATAATTAATAATTCTTTCTACAGGCCCAGAGTAGTGTATATTTCCCCTAGAATATTGCATAGCAATGGAATAAACATAATAATTTTCATAAAAATTTGGGAAATATAAAATATATTTGAAATGATACAGTTCTGGTAAATAACTTTAGATAAACAAACATTATTTTCTCTTAAGCAGTCAAATATAAACCTTAAAGAGAGAAAGGCTACCTGTGACCTCATTCTATTATCAGACATCTTGCCTGTGAAACATTTTTTTTGCTCACCTTCTGTTGGAACAGACAACCCATTAAGGATGTTTAGCAACAAAGATTTGCCAGCTCCACTATGACCCAGAATTGCTGTAATTTGACCTTCATATATGTCAAGTAGCAAGCCTGTTTTTAGAATAAAATATTAACATTATTACTAAGAGGGCATTAGACAGGGCTGGTTCAAAAAATAGAACAAGAAAATTTATCTTAGTTGTATATTTTGAAGCATTTTGATATTTTAAAATATATAACATTCAATATTTTTTTAGGTTGCTAAAATAACATGCTTTCTGCGGAATATTTGAGAAACAAATACGGTCTCTTGGAAAATAAAATTAAGCATAATTCTAAATATTAATGTAATACACGTACTTGTTGGGTATATACATGTACATTTAAGAATATGTAAATGTATTTACGAACTTTGATCATACTCTCTTCTGTTCCAGCCTATCTCTTCAAATATTAAACAATAAACATTTTCCATGGCATTAATTGCCTTCTAAAATATATTCACCAAAAATTTATATTTCTCCCATGCCCATTTTTCTATTCTTTTGTTATAAACTTCTTACATTTACATGTCAGTAGAAAAATCATTTAGTCAAGAATCCATTTTTTGTTTGTTTGTTTGCCCTAAAACCAAGTGAAAATCAAACTTTATTATGGAAAGTTACAGGACAAAGTAAAATAAAATTCTTAAGAATTTTACTTGTAAAAATAATTTACATACCTCCTAAAAATCATTATTAATAAAAGCAAGATGTCCTCTATAAAACATAGCCACTAATTTTGATGCTTAAATATTTGTTATAGAAAACTATATTTGCTAGAATATTTAGTATCAGATATGTTCATTCATTCAAACTATAAACCACGTTTGTCATGGGATACTGACTTGTGGAATTTAATTCATTGTCAATGGTATTACTCACCTTGCTTTAGTTAATCTCACCAGTAAATGTGAACTATGAGAATTTCATGGCTAGTATAAAAAATTTATCAACTTTAAATCTAGGTGTTCTTTCCTCATAGTGCAAATAAAATATTCCTTACAACAAACTCATCTTTAAAAAACAAAGTGAAATTATATTTTTCATTGTATAATCCCAATTTTGTAGATTAACAGATCCGTGAAACATCCAGAGGATTTTACATCCAGTTCTTAATCACAGTAAATTCCTAGATGGTGGAGATAGAGTGTACTTTTTTTTTCTTTTCTTGTTTTGCTTATCTCTATTTTCTAATTTTTCACATTGAATTTTCCCCATTTTTTTGAACTAAAAAAATTAATAAAACAATGAAATGTTTTTACCTTTCAGTGCTTCCACTTTTCCAGACTTTTCTTTATATTCTTTTTTAACATTTCTAATTCTGAAAAGACAAAAGAGGTGCTCTCTTAGCCAACACAGAAATAAAAATGGTACAGATCATGAACAATCCTACAGAGATGCAGTGAACCAATTTATGTGAATAAGGGACAGCATAACCAGTCTACTCAGAAAGACAAAGACATGATTAATCATTTCCCAGGGGACAGAAAATAAAAGTCTCTCTAGAAACTTATGATTAGAAAAGTGTTTTGCTTAGAAAAGTAGAATGCTCTGTAATCATGTTCACTTTCTTCCTCTAGTCTTAGAACACTTGCTCTTCAAGATCAGCTCATTTATCTGCATTCTGTAACCATCAGCTCTCAAAGCCTCCAAGTCTCGTTGATTAATCAGACTGTCACCTGAATTTTCCTCTGACAGCGTCTATTTAACCACTAACTCTGCTTTAGATATGACTGAATTTCTCTCTCCTCCCAATCTTAAAAAAAAAAAATTCTTAAAAGTATAAACCTGACATCTCTACTTCCCCACTTCTCATTTCCTCCTCAGTCAATTGCCTTCTGGCTTCTGAACCACTATTCTAGTGAACCTCTTCATATTGAAATCATTAGTGACCTTCTAATTGCCAAATGCAACAAATATTTTCCATTCTTACTTATTGGGTATGGGTCTCTATTGATGACTTTTTCCTTGTTAAAAGTGGCGGCTTTTAAGGTGACATTTTACTTTATAAGTTTTCTTCCTATTTTTCTAAATGTTCCTTCTTTGTTTCCTTATTAGGTTCTCTTCTTTCATCAGACATACCATCTTGTGTTCCACAGGGTTCTCTATGTACATTGGATCATCTCACTCTAGACTCTGTCAATGGGTTCTCTCCTTGATTCTCATGGTTTCAACACCAGCCCAATGTGGAACCCATTCTCGTTCCTGAGCCAAAGCTTTAATGAATAAGCTTCAGATCAGATGACTTTCCTACACCTCCCCGACTCTAGTGAAGAATCCAGACTAAGAGACAGGATATCCAGAGTCAACACTGTATAGACTGGTCAGGGTTGGGCGGAGAGGGGACGGGGCTGCATGGGTGAGGACATTTCACATTTCTGTCCTTCACAGCAGAAGAACAAAGAACATTTTTCAGTCTGTAACTAACCCTATCTTAGAAGATTGGATATGACGATTATTATATTTGAATAGTAATATAATTTTATTTTTTGTGTTCTCAACTGGGAAAGTGAGGCTAATGACATTAGAATTGAGCTTTGGGGAATTATTTCTCGCTTGGCTTTGCTCTTTTGAGCAGATGTTTTCTATGGAGCTGAGGTTGGGGTGGGGCTATTGCCTCCTAGAAACCTTAACGTCAGGTTTAGGTTTCAGAATAGGGTCAGAATTAGAAGGAAGAAGCTGAGGCATGAGTGTTCACTCTCTGCTTTTTGTTTTAGAGAGAAGTATTTCACTTTCTAGCTAGCGTTTCAATTCATTTATCTTCCTTTGTCTTCTGATGTCTCTGCAATAGCTAGAGGTTAAGAGCACAGACTCTGGAGCCACCTTCGCAGTTACGAGTGTGTGACATTGGGCAAGAGCCTTAACCTTTCAGTACTTCACTGTCCTCATGTGTTAAATGGGCAAAATAAAAGTGCCTGCCTCATACACTTTCCATGAGAATTAAATGTGTGCTTGGCACATGGTAAGCATTATATGACTATCTGTTAAATAAATAAAAGGTCAATATTTAAAACTCTCTAATTCTTTAACTTTAGTGCATATTAGAAAAATCTACAGGGCTCTTTAAAAGCCACAGATACTGGGTGCAAGCCCACACCTCCTGACTTAGAATCACTGGAGGTGGGGTCTGAGAGAACAGACACTTTAAGAGCTCCTCATATCAATCTGTAACAAATAACCCTACAGAGTAGATATCGCTCTTGTTTCCTAGAGGACACTGAGACTCAGAGCAACTTCCTTGTTTCTCCAAGACCACACATTAAATGAGAGGGAAGTGTGGTATTAAAATCTAATAATTTGATCTCAAATTTCTTACTTCTTCCATCATACCATATAAGCCAAATGGAAGTATGGAGGAAGACACTTGGAGAAAGAAAAAAGCAAAAACAAAAGAAAGGTGGAGGACAAGAGACAGAAACAAGATGGAGGGTGATGAGACAATAGCATATGGAGCTAGGCAAGAGAATTCTCCTTTCGAGTTAGTTAGGAGTTAGGAGTAGAATTAGGAGGTGCTGGTGCTGGCAGTGGGAGACTTCAGAGTGATGTTCACAAAAACACACTTCTTCCTCCATGTTTTGCCTCAGGCTCATCCTACTGCTACAGTTAATAATTCATTACCCTTGCTCCCATACATTAGTATAAGTGATTACCTGATGGCCTCTTTTCCTTGGAATTCTGGAGCTATTGGTTCAAAATAATCATCAGAGGGATGCACGGGGTCTATTTCTTTCTCAGTGGTCTTATCATGAGTCCTTCGGCGTTGGAAACAAGATGATGAGTCCAAGAAAAATAATGGAGAATAACGGCGCTCATTTCCGTCTAATTAATCAAGGGGCAATAAAATATTGGATCAGTAATATTAAAATAATGATCAAAGAATCCATGTTCAGAATAGTGCAGAATGTCTCGGACTTACAAGTATCATAGAGAAATTCTTCCTTAACTTCCTATTACTAAGAAGAAAACTTGATAATTAAGTACAGAATGAAAATCCAAAGGAAATAGTACATTATCACAAAAGTTAATAGAACTTTCAACAAAGTACAAATCAAAGGTTCAAATAAAATGCAATCTAAAGGTATTTAAAAGAATGAATGAAACCAAATATTTGTGGAAAAACCAAATATTTGTGGAAAATATGGCATAAAATTAGTTGTAAACATGTCTGTAAAACTTATTAAATCATCTGACCACAGCAATATAATTGAACATAATACTGAAATCTATATGGTACATGAATTAAAAATACACGGAGAAATTATATTTGTTCAGGATGAATACATAAGCATTTCCAGATTTAAAAAAATGAGGTAGTATTTATAGTTAAGGGCCTTCAGATATAAACTAGAAGTAATAGACAAGACTACATAGAAAAATATAAGACAACCTAAAAGACAGTTAAAGTATAAGGAATATTAAAAATAAGAACATAAATAAAGAAGATGACTGTGTAAGGAAAAAAGCATTCTGATTCTAGTATGCAAAGGAATTCTAGGCTTATGTGAAATTTTTGGCTGGTAGCAAGATAAAGGAAATCTAACTGGGCAATATACTTCTGTAAATATAAACAATATATGAAAAAATTTCAGAATAATGCTGAAAATATTCTAATTTTCATTTTGGTATTATCTTTAAGGGTGGATATCTCCCCTTCTGAAATGGTCTTCCCAGAATCGGGGGAGCGAGGAAGATACTGATTATTTCACAACTGAGGTCCTTTCTAGCTGTGTTTAGTATACAAGCTGCCTTACATACTTGTAAGAAGAACAAATATTTACTAGACAGTATTTCTACTGCATGATGGCCCTACACTGTATAAGCCACAACCATCTTAAGAACTAATTTATTTTAGTTCATTATGATACAAATCCTAAATATCATTCTTTGAAAACCCTTTCAGGGACCCTTGGAAAAAAAGTAACATTATTTAATACTATATAATTATAATATGTATTAAAATGATCATTATTGTATATTTATAATGTGTATTATTATATTAAAGTCAAAGTCATTGTTTTTACTTAAAATTTTTTTAAACCATTAAAACTATGAGATAGAAATAAAACTCATTCAGTCTATGATGGGAAGTAGTTGTTATTCTTAATTTCTTAAAATATATTTATATAACCTTAAGAAAAAAACTTCAGTGTAATCTATATCTACAGATCAGAGAAAAACCCACTATTACTTACAGGGTAAGATTTTGTCAAAGTATAATGCCAATACCAAGTAGAAAAAAGCATCAAAGGCCAAGACGAAAAAAGTTGCTATCATTACATATGAGTCTCCTGAAGGGTCAGGAAAAGTTACGCCATTCATATTATAGTCCAGGTGGATAATCTAAGATTCAAACAAAAATAATAAATATTTAAATTAAACAAGTAAAAACAATTCAGTGTAGCAGCAAAAAATTATTTTAGTAAGTAGCTTTTTCAAAAGGACCTTAAAATGAAGTTATTAATGAAATCACTTCTGTTTTACAGCAATCAAAGGAATATGAGAAGAAAATACTGATTTAAAAAATAGAATCCTTGGAGGGAGGAAAAGAGGCGAAAAAATATAATGTTCTAAGAATAAGAATATAAATTATACTTCATTTGCTTGTTTTCATAAAGTCATTGTAATATTGCAAAATATCTACACTGTGCATCAAAGAACTGTACACTTGAAACCTATGTAATTTTATTAAGCAATGTCATCCTAATAAATTTAATTAAAAAAAAAGAAATACATATTTTAGGAAGAACATGAAGAATTTCTTGAAGGATCTTATTGGTATACTGATGAGAACTTACCTCTTTTTCTAGTTATTACTGAAAATAAAGATTTGTATTTATAATTTTGTCAGGTAATAATAGCTACTATGTTCTAAGCACTGTTCTAAGTGCCTTTTTTATATTATCTCATTTAATCTTCATCATAACCCTATAAGGTAGGTCTTATTACTTTTATTTGCATTTTACATATATGATGAAACTGAGGCACAGAGAAATTGCATAGCTTAACCAAATGAAGTAAAAAATCACATAGTGAGGAGTGAGAAAGCGGAAATCAGAATACAGAAAGTCCAGCCCCAAAGCTCCATTCCTTACTCTAGAAACTATATAACTAACTTCTCAATTCATTTTAAAATGTTATTTCATGACAAAGTTGAGTTTATTCTAAAAATGCAAAGTTGAGTCAACATTGGAAAATCAATCAAATTAATTTAACATAAAACAGATAAAAAGAGAAAAAGCATTTAATAAAATTGAATACCCATTTACAATAAATAAAAAAAGTCTCCTCTCAAACTAAGATATCTTCCTCAATCTGGTGAGCTAGATGTACAAAAACCAAAACCACAAATCATGTGTAATCGTGAAATGTTGAAAGCTTTTTCTTTGCCTACATTTGTATTCAACATTGTACTAGAGGTCCCAATCTGCGCAGTTAGGCAATAAATGAATGAATGAATGAATGAATGAATGAATGGCATAAGGATTGCAAAAGGAAAAACAAACTATCATTTGGAGACAACATTATTATATATAAGGAAATCCCAAGATAAAACCCTGAAAAATATTAGAATTAATAACAGAATATAGCAAGAATACTGGATACAATACCAATGTACCAAAATCAGTTGCATCGTTCTACATTAATAACATACATTTCGAAATAAGAATTTAAACAGAGATGCTATTTATGAGGCGTCAAAGAACTTGGGAATAAATCAAACAAAAATGTGTAAGACTCTATACTAAAATTAAAACAATTATGAAGGAAAAATTAATAGGAAGATATATTATATTCATGATAAAAAAAAGTGTCAATTTTCTCCAAATTGACTGAAAAATTCAACTGCATTAAAATCTCAATAGCTTTGCATTCACATACTGTGTATAACTTGATAAGTTAATTCTAAAATTTATATCATTGCAAAGAGTCTAGAATAGAAAAAGACTCTCTTGGAAAAGCAAATGAAGTGGTTGAATTGTTACTACTAGATATTAAGACATATTATAAAGCAAAAAATCAAGACAGCATAACAGTGCAAAGACAGACAGATGGGCCAAGACATGATTGCTTGAGTTGTGACAAAGGAAACGCTGCAATTCATTTGGGGAAAGGATGTCTTTTCAATAAATGGAGCTGAAGCAACTGGATATTCATGTAGAAAAATTAATATTGCCTCTACCTATAGATACGCAAAAGTCCTTTTGTAAAAGATTCTGCATCTAAATATAAAAGAATCAATCAAGCTTCTAGAATAAAAAGGTAGAATATCTCTGTAATCTTGGGATAAGCAATGATTTAAACAGACACAAAAAGTATTCTATAGTAAAGAAAAACTTGACAAACTGGACTTTATCAAAATTAAGAACTTCTGTCCAACAGAAGCACCACTAAGAGAGTAAAAATGTCAGCAACGAATAACTGAAAAATGTCTCATGTTCAGCATGTATAAAGAATTCCTACCGAGTAATAAAGAAAAAGTAGAAAACACAGTAGAAAATGGGCAAAAGAGCTAGATTGGCGGTTTTTAAAAAAGAAAATTCAACAAGACATCAATGATCAGATAAATAAGAGTTAATGCCATGATGATATATCATTATATATCTATCAGAATGGCTAAAATTTCAAAGACCGAAAATACTAAAGGTTGGTGAAGATTTGGAACAGTTGGAATTTTGAAACACTGTAGGTACAAAAGTGAACTGATGTAACCACTTTTCACTCAAAAAAAATTGAGATTTCAAAAAGAGGTTTACACAACAGTTTTAAATAAACAAATAGAATGCTTAGTTATGTGAAGTGAAAAGAAAGATAAATATTTGTATATAGAAATAAAACGAGCAGAAAATACTTCAAAGCGAAAATATATCTGAGATGTAAAAATCTGGAAGACTTTCTTACTCAAGTTTCTTTGGGAGATGACCATTTTTTCTACAATGTAATAACAACATTTTAAAATTTGGCTTTAGAGTAGAACTGTTTAGGACAAAAGTTGTTCATTGGAAAGAGTCATGAAGTATCAAATTCTTTTGAAAGGTCAATAATAAACCAATGAACTCTTCTCTCACCTGGGCCATTCCAGCAGTGAAGGCAAATGGGCTGCAGATACTCAAAATCCACTCCACAGATGTAGGAAGTTGCCTATAAAATGCAGTGAGTCCCACACCCCCCCAAAAGAGAGTGAGGAGAAACACAACCAAATTGATGAGGACAGTTTTCTTGAACAACACGCTCATCAGGAATGTTAAAGCTATCTGAAAGAGAGAGAAGACAGCCGGCTGTTATTTAGATTTAGTTTTCTGAGAATCGTTGGTAGCACAATAAAACAAGGATCTTTATATCATAACGTCTTCATCAGTGAGTCAGTGATGAAAATATTTAGGTGTAATTGTACTCAGTCCTTCTCTCAACTCCTTTATAAACAGGATCCTTATTTGCCCTATTCAAATGCTAAGCTTTTGTTGCTAAGCAAAGGGTGGGGAAAGCTGGAAGAAGAGCTGAGGAAAACAGACTTGGAAAGATTGGAAGACACTAAATTAATGTGTTAAAGTGCATTGACATACCCTCTGCAGAAAACACCCTGGAAAGTGGGAGAAATCAGAGACTCTTGTTCAGAGAAGGGAGAAGGGGTGAGAAGTCAGGACAAGGTGGACTATTAAAGGGAGAGGAGTTGCTACCATGTGATGGGGACCTCTGGGGGATAAAAGATGGGTCCACCCCTCAAGTGCATCCTCATTAATTATCTACAAAAGTCTTAGAAAATTTAGAGCCAAAATATATTTTTATTTTTGAGGCATCATTTCATTAAATCAGTTCTTCATGCAGAAGAGAAGTCCATTTTTATTTATGTTACATGATTTTATCACATTCATAGAGACACTCAAAACACACACACACACACACACACACACACACACAATGAGCATGAAAGGAGCAACGAGTAGCCTGCCGTGACATTACTTTTTTCTACAGAACACACACACACACACACTCATACACACACACACACGAAATGGGCATGAAAGGAGTGACAAGTAGCCTGCCGTGACATTACTTTTTTCTAGCTAAGGCCTAAAGCAGAGAAAGTGGTAATAAATGCGTGAACTTACCAAGGACAAGCCATATAAGAAAAAGAGTGTAAATATAACCATGAAGCCTGTCATGACTATAATTTGGGTAGATATTATGATCATTGTAATGATTATGGAAATAATGAAGATGAAGCCAGCATAGATTAAACCCCAGGAGAGCCTAAATAAAGACAAAAAGTTATTGCAATTATTTTAACTGTATTATGAATATTTCAAACATACAAAAATATCTAAAGAATAATGCAATGATTGCCCTTGTATCTGCCACCTCGATTAATTACTAAAATATTATCAATATGACATTGGCATGATGCCTACTTGCTAGGTGTCAGCTCTCTATTCACACATTGTATAAGTAGTATAAAGATTGTATAAATAGTATTATATGTATTCTTCTGCAACTCGTCGTTATCAATCAACATAAACAATAGTATACACAGCTATATATTTCATTATACGAATACATCCCAGTGTTCTGCCCATAGATATTTGTTTCCTTTTCTTATTTTTTACTAATGCATCATTTCTAAGAACATTCTTCTGTCATTTTTGGGAAAATGCACAAACATGTCTTGGAGGTAAATCTGCCGAACTTAAGGGGATAGGCATTTTGTACCCTCAGCTTGATTGTATATTACCAAAGTATTCTGATTGTAGACTTGGAAAGGAAACTTAACAGCTACTAATCAAGCAAGTAACCACAGAAGCATTGCAGGGAAGATGATAATCTGACCATTCTTGAGGCTCTCAGCCAGCACCTCCACTCTCCCTAGCAGCAGAAAATTGAAATTTCTTAACTCTACTAAGCTCACTCCATTTTTGCTATTCCTATTCATGATTCCTGAACTTATATAAATTATGGTATGCCCTTAAGAGTTCACACTGTTTTGCTTTATATGTGCTGGTGTTCACATTTTTATAAGGTAGCTATTAATAAGAAACAGTATTTACCCTGAGATCTAACAAGTCTAAAGGGGGTTTTAGTCCAAGCTTCTCATTTTACAGATGAGTGAACTGCAGTCCCTATTATTAGTTCATGGGCCTATTCAAGGTGGACAAAGTAAACCAGTTTAAAAAGATAAGATGAAGCAGCAAGCCTTCGCTCTTTCCTCTACATAAAATTGCCTTATTAAGAATTCGCTTTCTATTACTCGGTCATTAAAAAAATGAAATATTACCATTTGTAATGACATGGACGGATGTAGAGGATATCATTCTAACTGAACTAACTCAGACAGAGAAAGACAAATACCATATGATTTTGCTTATATGCTGGAATCTAAAGAACAAAATAAAATAACAAACAAAACATAAAGAGACTCATAGATACGGAAAACAAACGTGACTGCCAGATGGGCAGGAGTAGGGGGACTGGGGGAAAAAGGTAAAGGAATTAAGAAGCACAAATTGGCAGTTACAAAACAGTCACAGGGGTGTGAAGTACAGCATAAGGAATATAGTCACTAATATTGTAATAACCATGTATAGTGCCAGGTGGGTACTAGACTAATCAGGGGGATCACTTCATAAATTATATAAATGTCTAACCACTATACTGTATACCTGGAACTAATATAAAGTAATATTGAATGTAAAAAAAAAAAAAATTAAACCACTGAAAAAAATAGCAAAAGTAGTAAAACTGAGAACTTGCATCAATATGTCCCAGTACAACATGTTTACTGCTTATTTGACTTTTTTCTAAATTTCATATCATTACAATGATTCAGCCTGTGTTAGAAACGTCAGCATTTTTTAAAAAGCCTACCACATTCTGCAGAATCCATTTCCTAAGAATGGACGGGAACTACAAAGGTAGGAATTGAAAAACCACAGAGTGGGGGAATTACAAATACAGGAAATTAAAACATTATCTAAAAAAAGGAACTCATTGCAGAGAGTTTGGGGTAGGGATAAGAAAGATGTTACTAAATCCAAGAAAACTTTCATGATACAAATAAAGCAATTCAGATATCACGCTTAAAGAATAAACAGTGATTACATTTATTACCGTAAATTAAAAAAAAGGTAGTCATAAAATTTATTTGCAATAGATGTCCTGTACTTAATAAAAATGTTTCAGAATATATATATATTCTGACAGAGACTAAATCAAAAAGAACTATCTATCTATCTATCTATCTATCTATCCATCTATATTCATTTTGCTAAGTTTTAGTTACATGCATACTAAGGTTTTATCCTGAGAATGAATCCACATCTAAATATCCAGTGCCTTTCTGATCTTCCTCTAGAGTTGACTTCAGTATTTTAGGTGACTGCGCAGATGGTTCCACAAGACATGCCCTGGACTGAAAGTTCTTTTTATACAGAGCCCCCCTCTCTCCCCTCTTAACAGACTCCATTTATTCCCTTGTACTTCCCTAAGTTCTACTACAAAAACATTCTTCTTCTCCTTTCTTTTTTATTTAAAGACACAGTTTCTTCTTTTTCTTTTTCATAATTTACATATATTAAAATTATAACTCTATTAATAAAACATACTTCATAGAAAATTTATAATTTCTTAGATAATAATTTTATTTCTGGGAACATGTGGCTTGTTTCTCATCCATTCCAAATAGTTCCACATTTGTAAATAGTATTTTCTTGACATGGGGGTTATACAGAGAAATATCTCCGATTAGGTTTCTTTTGGGGTAAAATAAATTATTTTTCCTTTGTTTTTCTAGATAGCATGGATTGTGCACCTAATTATATTGCAGAAGTCTCTACTTTGGCCTCTCTGAAGCTTAGAATTTGTATGATTTGCATTTTCATGTGCTAATATTACCTATTTGTTATTTTGGTAGGTTTTTGCTTCTCCTCAATTATTTGTTTTTATTATAATACAAATACATGCACATAGACATACATATACATATACACACACACACACAAATATATTTCAAAATTTCAAAATCACTTTAAACTATTTGTGGAATGGGCCAAGATATATGTGTTGTATGTGTTGTATGTGCTGGAACCATTACACAGACTCTTTTAAATACCACCGTATGGTATTTAGTTGCTCCGAAAAATATATCTCTAGTGACCAAACCTCTGAACACAAGCTAGCCAATATAGGACTCTACTTTCTTCAACACAAGGAACTCTGAAGAAATCCGATGATAACTATGTGCAGACCAAGCCAGAGAGCTGCAGTCACGGTGCCTGGTGTGGAGTCCCAGCCCTGGCACTCAGCATCCATTTGACATCAACTAACTACTCTTATATTTTCTTTGATCTTAATGGCAGTTTCCTCCCAGCGTTAGCTGAACATACTCATGGCACAGAAAAAGTGCTCAGCAAATTATAATCACTACTGCGCGTGGCAAAATTTGACAGAGACTAAATCAAAAAGAACCAAAGAAAAAGTAGCCAGTATATCAAGTTTAAATCATGGTGTTCTGCGACTAACACTTTTCCGCTGCCTCTGCGCCTCTCTTATTCATTGGTACTGCTTGCATCCGTCACTCACCAGAATGCTGAATCTCGCAGACCCATCATTTTCATCAAATCCTTACACGTTTTTCTCTCTTTTGTAACATCGAGTGATGCAAAATATATAAATGAAGAGAAGTAAAGCAAGCAGTAGAAAATAAACATCTCATTTTGAAGGATGTCTTTAGAAATAAAGGGTAATGTCTTCATATTTGTAGCAGTGACTGACATCAAGTTTTCCATCACAGAGTGATTTGTCACGATCTAAAAAAGTGTTTAAACAAACAAAATCATTATTTAAAGTTGAGAAACTGGTGAAATCAATAAGCTATGGGGATTGTGCCAATGGCAATTTCCTGGTTTTAAAAACTGTCCTATGGTAATGTAAGCTATTAGCATCAGGAGAACCTGGGTGAAGGGAACAGAGACCACCCTGGACATTGTTTCTGCAACTTCTTGTCATTCTGTAACTCCTAGAAATTTTAAAGTTTTAAAAAAAAAAGCAATGTGTTCCTTTGCCTAAATCCAGTCTCAGCATCTGTATACCTGCTTCATTATATAAACATGTGAAAACCTGAGTATATGTCACCTTTCATCAAAATCTTGGTGCTTCTAGAATTAGTTTACATTATTAGAATTTTTCTTACTTGTATAATAGCAGCATTAATTGCAGTTTGTAAAGTCACAAATCCTGTATTCCAGTATTTGGCCAGTGAACATGCAAAGTCACTGTCTGTATTCCAGCAATGAGCTGTAAGCACAAAGAAAAGTGGAACCAACGTTATGGGATGAAGGCAGTTGGAGAATAAGAAAGAAGAATCCAAGAGAAAACAATCTAGAGGAGGCTCCCATAGTCAGAACCTTGAACCACTTGCAAATAGAATTTCTTAATAAGGCAACTTCATTCACAGAGACCACAGGATGTACGGGGAGGCTTAGAAGACAAAAAGGTGAAAGCTCCAACTGTATTGGACTCCTCGCTGTGCCTCAAAATGCCAAATGCACTCCGGCGCTCAGATGCTCTCCCTCCGGATGAATTCATGGCTCACTCTTTCTCTCGTCCGGCTCTCTTCTCAAAAGTATAAACTTCTCAAAAGTATAGAGGTCTTTCCTGGCCACCATAAATAAAAATGTCTAAAATAACTCTTTCAGTCTCTATCATCTATCTCTGTTTTATTTTTCTTGGTTGCTTTATCACCACCTGGCAGGGTGCATTGTTTTCCCCCGTTTTCTGTCCCTGGCTGTAAATAATTTGTGCAAGCAGCCTCTGCATTTTGTTCACTTCAATCTTAGGGGCCAAGAACAGTGCAGCCCACATAATAGACCCTCAGTGAATGCATGCAAAAGAACCAATTCTATTAATCGCATCAATCCTGCTCCCTAAGGGGCCCTCAAATCTGTTCACCTCTGTCCTCAGCTGCCTCCACGCTGGTCTAAGCCACCATCAGCTCACTAGGACATTTCATTGCATTCTCCCTGGCTCCTCTGTAATCCATTCTCAGGGCTATATCCAGAGAGCTATCTCAGGCTTGGAAATCTAGTCAGGCCTCTGCCCTGACTGAGGTAATGCGATGGCTCCCCATTGCCCTGGGATTAAAGGACGCCACGGGATCCAGCCCTTGAGTAAGTCCGGCCTCATCATCCCATCGTATTCCTTTGCCTATTGTCTATGCAGTTATCCTACTCTTCTTCCATGCATAATAAGAGATGCCCTTTTACACCTCAGTGCCTTCACGCTTGCCCTTCTTCTAGCGGAAACACAATGCCTCTAGCACCTCACATGTGCTATTTCTTCTGTTAGTTTAAGCATCGCTTCCCCAGATAGGACTTCTCTAATCACAAGCATATTAGGACCCCATGTCTAAGTCCCTTCAAGGACCTGCCCTTATTGTTAACTGCTCAATATATGTCTTTCTTGCTAAACTGGAATCACACCTGAGGGCTGAGACCTATCGGTCTTGATCGCCCTCGGCATCTTTCGCAGCATACACCTGTGAGCACGCTATATCTATGTTGGATGACCCCATGATCTTTTGTGTATTGTCTTCTAGTGAGATAATACATGACTTTTGAAAAAATTCATCAATGTGCTTTTGAATTTTCTCATGTACCATTGAAACCATCTCTCTCTGTTGAACATTTCAACCTGTTCCTTATATTAAAAACATAGAAAAATGCCATACTGATATTTTATATGGGAAGTCACCTGAGAAATGTTCTTCCTTCAAAAATGGAATGATATGTCCCTGAAAAAATTTTAACTTATAAGAAAAATTGTCATTAAAGACGATTCCCACTGCAGTTAGGAAATGGTCTAAAATTATTTTATCCATAGATTGTTGATTTGGTGCCCCAATGACTTCTTTTCCTGTGAATTACAAAAAAAAAAAGACACAGAAGATTGTTAAGGAGTTTCACTGCAACAGAATGTGATATCCAACTGTATCATCATATATTTTTTGTTAGAATTAAATAAAATCTTTTTCCACTTAAACAAAACAATCCAAAATGCAAGGGGAAATTTTTCATTTTAATGCTTTAGATTCTAGAATCAGGAGACATGATGAAAATTAAGTGTTTTTAATTTTTAAAAATTTTTTCCAATTCACACTTTTATTTACTTATTTATTTATTTTTAATTAAGTTTATTGGGGTAATTGTATTAACATTGGTTAATACAATTATATAATTTTCAAAACTCTCATTTGACATCTGTATATCCTATTGTGTGTTTACCAAAGTCCAGTTTCCTTCAGCTACCATATATATGACCCCCTTTATCCACTTCACCCTTCCCCTAAACCCTATATTTGACCCCCTTTACCCTATCTACCTCCCCCTTCCTCCACCACCCCACTAGTAACCACTAGTCTATAGTCCTCTGGTAACCACTAGCCTATCGTCCATGTCCATGAGTCTCTGTTTGTTTGTCCTGCTCATTTGTTGCTTTTAGGTTTATAACCCACATATAAGTGATGTCATGTGATTTTCAACTTTTTCTGTCTGGCTTATTTCACTTAGTATGATTATTTCAAGGTCCACCTATGTTGTAGCAAATGGCAGTATTTCATCTCTTCTTGTGTCTGAGTAATATTCCATTGTATATATGTACCACAGCTTCTTTAGCCAATCATCTATCGTAGGACACTTCAGTGGCTTCCATGTCCTGGCCACTGTGAATAATGCTACTATGAACACTGGTGTACAAGTATCTTTTTGGATATGGGTTCTCAAGTCTTTGGGTTAAATATCCAGTAGAAGGATTGCTGGATCATATGATAGATCAAGTCTTAGTTTTTTGAGGAACCTCCATCCTGTTTTCCATAGTGGCTGTACCAATTTGCAGTCCTACCAGCAGTGTATGAGGGTTCCTTTTTCTCCACATCGTCTCCAGCATTTGTTATTACTTGTCCTGTTGATTACGGTTATTCTAACAGGTGTGAGATGGTATCTCATTGTGGTTTTGATTTGAATTTCCCTAATAGCTAGTGATGTTGAGCATCTTTTCATATATTTGTTGGCCATTTGTATGTTCTCTAGGGAGAAGTGTCTGTTCAGGTCCTCTGCCCATTTTTTGATTGGATCATTTGTTTTGTTTTATTTTATTTTAATAATGACAAGTCTTAGGGCAATTTCTGTACATAAAAAGATTATGCCAGGATAAGGATATATAAGATAAGTGGTACGCATAAAAAATCAGAATTACTGAAGCAAAGGCACCTCATATAATCTGTGCTTTATACAGGAACCAAGAGCACAAAGTGACTCTATCTAACAGACAGCAGTTTCACCTGTTAGAAATTAAAGATGAAAAAGCTGATAGCCAGCTTGCACCCAACTCACTCATGAGTGAAATACACATTCTGGTTATCTCAGTTACATAGTGACCTCATTTAGAATGAATGAAGGCCTTTAAAGATGTTTATAAATGACATCAAACACAGATCATCTTTAGATTGTCCATCCTTACTTTTCATAATTTTAAAATATTGTTTAATAACAATGACCTAATATCTTTTTAGAATTTTTTCATGAATTATAACTCTTAATCATTGTATTTCCATATTAAAAACACCTACATCCCCCAATGGCATATTTTTCCTAGACACTATTCTGCAAATCTGGAATTAAAAATCTATTGTTTTAGTTAAATTCCAGTAGAAATGTAGGCCTCCCTAAATTGGACCCCCTCAAGCTGAAAGAGTTTTAAAGGCTAATGGGTGTTAGAGAAAGGAAAAACTAGCCAAATTTATATGCTACTTTGATACCTAAATAATTAGCATAATGAATCACTGTAACTTCAAATTAAATATATCTTACAAAAATATAAAACAAGATCAATATCTTTTTTGTCATTAGTACACTTACCGTTCAAAAAGGGAGCAAATGCCGTTTTATTCATTATCTGCTCGGTTATATTAGAGATCGGTGTATATACAACAACCATAGAGCTATTAAATTTATCTACTCTTCCCAAATCCTGAGGCGGCATTTCAGGAAACCGGCTATTTTGTCTAAAATGTGAAAAAAAGCCCATGTACAGGCCTAAAAGTACTGGAAACCCCCACTCCTATAACACAGAGGGGACAAAAAAGAACAAATTTAGACTATATTTCTTTAAAGATCTCAGTCAACAGCAAAGAACTAAAGACAAATTCAAATTTTGCCATATGGTTGGCTTCTTTCTGCTCTCCATTCTTCAGTATAAAGGGAACCCAATGAAAGACACATACCAGGATAGTTGCCACCTATATCATTTTCCAATATTAGTTCATTAAATCGTGAACTACTGTAGGAGCCATCATATAAACTAACAGGATGACTAACAGGATGACGACTTCTGTATGCATGGCATCTGGCTGACTAAAGTCTACGAGACACAGATTATCCCAGGTAGAGTTCATGGTGGCAAATAGCAATAGTCTCATCAGTTGTCATATCCTCGTATTGGAAATGAAAGAAAATGAAAAGGAGCTGAGTGGTATAGACTGTCTAGTGTTTCACCAATATCAGTAATCTCTTCCTGCTTGGCACGATGCTAGACCATATTTCCAGCCTCTGGAAATTTAGTGGGACCAAGGAATTGAGTTCTGGTCAATGGAGTGTGAGCAGAAGAGATATATGCCACTTCCAGGCCTGGCTCATGGAACCTTCCACGACCTTCTATATTCTGTCTAGGTCCCTCTACTTCTTGATTTTCTGACAGCGGGCAGTTAAGGTCTCCAAGGACTAGCAAGAAGGCAGAATCTCTAGGTGAAGAAATCTGGATCCCTGAATGACTGTGTGGAGAAGATTCCTTCACCTACTCAACTCACTTCACTTTCACTGCCAATCTTATTTAGACTGTGAAAATATTAAAAAATAAACCTCTGCTTTGTTAAGCCACTGAGATTTGGGGCTGTTACCTGCAGATAGCCCAACTACTTAATTCAAACCGACAATCAGTAGTATTACTTGGTCATAATTCTTGGAAATCATCTCTTGTAGATGATTTATGGCTTTGAAAATAAGTCCTTAAAATTAAAATCCCTTGATTTCTGCTAGGCACTGCTTTTATTGTTTCTTGACTCTAAGTGTATTACATGCAAATTACAGCAACTTAACAGTTGTTATAATTTACCATGTAATTAAATTTTCGCTTAATCTCATTTTTTAAAAAATGAGTAAATACTTTGTCTTTCCAATTCTACATTATTTTTCAAGACTGCTGTAAGTCTCTCAATTCTACAAGTACAACTAGAGACAACCTCAAAGTCAACAAATCCCATCTGTTACTTAAAATATAAGATAAGAGAATCATTAGGCAACGAAATACCAGAATAATGCTAATTGCAGAAAGAGCAAACTTACAAACATACCAATGAGCTCTCTCTTTTCATCCTCCATTTCTTAAGAAGATTTTTGCACAGAAGTGCTTGAGTTTGTTGATACACATTTTTCTGTTTCCTGTGCATTTAGCCTGTTCATTAAATGAACAAGAAGAAAGTAAACATGGTGGAGCATAAACTAGAAAAAGAAAGGTATAATAAAAACCTTGATCATATTTTTGGGGAAAATATTTCCTACCTTTAAGAACTGCAGAAAAAAATGGATTTAAAGTGTTATTTCAATAACTTATGATTATAAAATCTTACCTCAAATATACTCACTGTAAGCTATTTTGTGGGGAATGGTGAGGAGGTGAAGTGACTATTATCACAATTTTATAACAATATAGAGTATGACAATGGAAAAAGTATCATTAGATTTCAGAACCTATAAGATACTTCACATTTTTTAACCTTTTACAACAGATTCAAACTATATAAGTAGAGTAAATGAATTGAATCTCATCTGCTTAATAATTTCTTTTTTTTGTAAATAGAAGTCCCAGAATATACATTAAATTAATATCAAAACTTAACCTTATTACTTAACCTCATCTGAATAATTATGTCCATTACATGTAACCCCCAATGAGATATTTTCTTGTGGTATTTACCTTCCAAAGTGACTTGAACAACTTTTATCAAAAGAGTTAGGCCCTGGGATAAGAATCCAGACTCAAACTTTGAAATTTGATTTTGATATACAGGAAGAATAAAACAATTTATCTCAATTTTCTGAATTCAGAAGTCCCTGAATAACCAAGAAAACAATTCTGCATGTAAGAAGAAAGAAAAGAAAGAAAAGAAAGAAAAGAAAGGAAAGAAAGGAAAGAAAGGAAAGAAAGAAAGAAAGAAAGAAAATTAGTCACATGGAAAAGTAATTTTGCCCCAATGTTTGCAAATAAACAGAGACAATTTTTTTTAGTTTTAAAAATCTCAAAATTAAATTCTTTTAGATTTGCTTATCAAAATATTCAGACAATTTTCCCTCAACTAGTATAGAAGTAAAATTTACCATTTTCCTATATTTTACTGTAGTATCTACATAATATATTTGGGGAAATAATAGAAAAGCTTTTGTCATTAGGTCTTCAGTATAAAATACATAAATATTTAGAAACATCTGAAAAACAGATTGATTTTTAGCAGTATCCACCCACATATTTGGCATAGCACAACAAAACAGAACTGTACTTACTGTCAGGAAGAACAGAAAAAGTATTCTGGAAACGGTTTCAAAGCACGGTTCTCTTTTTGTCTAGGGCAATGATTAAAATTTCTTTATTGCCACTTCTTCATTTATTCTTTAAATGGGCATCTACTTCCAACAGTTCTTATCCAGGCTGGTTTCTGAAAAGAGTGTAGTCAGACCAAGCTGCACATGATGAACTTGTTTTGTTTTCTGTCTTTTCCTCCCTAAGCCAATTATTCTGCAGGGAAATGCCTGTTCTGTGGTTGGTTGGGACTAAAACAAATCCTGTGGCTGTGCACTTGGCCTTTCAACTCCAGGGATAAAGGGGACAATGGTAAAAAAGGAAAATGGAGCTAGCCCTTGAGACATGATGAGACCTACATGGGGGAAAGAACAATAAATGAGTAAAAACAGTAATTAAGCAAAGTAGTTTTATTTCTATGAAGTCTTTAGCTACTTTTTTTTTCACTACTAATGCCTAAACACAACTGTCAATGATATGCTTGACTAATTTAGACAAAAGGGGTAGAATCTGCTGGAGCTGAACTTTTTTTGCCTAATAAGGTTAAGCAACCCATTGTCTTGCCTTGAAGAAACACCTAAGTTGGACAAATGAAGGATAATACACAAATTCTTTTCTCCCATCCTGTTCAGAGTGGATAGAGGAGTTCACAAGACAACTGAACAAAATAAAAGTAAGTGGATTGCTAAGACCTAATAAAACTTATAAAAAGATCCAGGTCAATTTTTATCCATGACAACTAGGAAAAAAAACCTTGAAATTTATTCAGTTGCTATTGCATAGTTTATCTCTCTCTGTAAAGGGTTACAAACTTCCCATGACCTGCCAAAGTAAATGTCAAAACAGGAAACCAAAGTCCATGAATTGGGAAATCTCAAATATTTGACATGGCTCCCGATCCACAGATGTTAATAATCATAAAGCTGAGAGATGTTCTGGAGAAGGGGAGGTAATTTTTTTGTAATTTAACGCCATGATATTATGTATATACATTTCTCTATATTAGTAATATAGATTACAAATTGGTAAGTAGTTCTATATTTAAAAATAGCCAACAGTGAAATATTACATGTTTTTTACATTTAAAATATGGCAAAAACAAAGGTAGCAAGACGTTCTAAAAGTTTTGTGATAGGGGAAGGGTAGAAGATCACAAACATTGGTAAAATTTTGTATCAGTAATAGATCATGGCCCAAACAAAAATTCTAAGTTTCTTTTATATCACCTGAAATCTATTTCAGGCTTTTATTAATTTTGTTGTTGTTTTGTTGTTTTAGACCCAACATATTCTCTCTTAGGAATCATTTTCCCACTCTGCCTTTCTTATTTACAATTGCATTAAAATTGACAACTATGATATCAATAATTATTTAGATTAAATATCTTACTAGGTTCACTTTTTATCTTTTTTGTGTATTCTTTATGTTCATCTTTCTTGGCTTCTTCACTCCCATTTACTTCTTTTGGCGGACCGTCTTCTTTATTTAAACCTGAAGAGTTACCCTTAAACATGACCTAATTTGATGAGAAAGTACCAAACCTCCAGGCAGAAGCACATTGAAATGATGGGCAAACTATATCTAAAATAGAAGTTCAGATATGTAGCCAAACTTAAATAAGGAGGAAGATGAAGATAGTAAGAATCACCGGAAGAAACAAAGATAAAGGAAAGCACCTCTGTAGGTATTAAAAAGGAAAATTAAAGCCAGAACTGTGAGTCGTATGTCAGAAATCCAGCAGTCCAAAAGGTGTTTTCATACGCCTGTGACCTGGACTTGGTGCTTGACAGGTTATAAAGCTGGACTTCCTATCTCTGCATAAATCCAGAAGCTTTGGACTGTTCAGTGTTAGAGACTAGAAAAACTTCACCTACTGCCCCACAGAAAAGTAAGGATATATACTACCTTTGCCCAATCTCTGGGGTAAAAAATATATATCCTCCAAAGAAAATGAAAATCTCAAGTTTACACAGCACATGTCAGACACAGGACACAGGAGCAGGATCTGAATTTATTCTCCCTGCATAGCAACGTGTTTAAGTACAATAGCACAGCAGTTAAATGTATGCACTCTGGAGCCAAACTGGGGTTCGAATTCTGGCTCTGCTACAGCTGAATAACCTTGCAAAACTATTTAACTTTGCCCCCAGTTTTTTCATCCATGAAGATGGAGATAATAACAGTTCATACACATACACATACACACACACACACACACACACACACACACACGGATAGTTGGAGGATTAAATTCATTAATATAAGTAAAGTTCATAGAACAATGTCTGAAAATTTGTAAAAGCTCGAAAATATTATTTGTTGTTGCTGATACTCCTACTTCTCCTCCTCCTCTTATTATTATTATTATTATCCTGGAGCCCCACAGACAAGACACAAATAAATCTATAGAAATATGTCAGGGGTACAGGGTATAAAGCAATAGAGTTAAATATACATAGATATATTCCTCCTAGCAACTAAGCTCATAATCAAAAGTCTACCGTGAAAAGGAATCAGCAGATCAAAATAATGGGACTATTAGCTACTTCAAGAACTAAATAATAATAAAAATTATGACAGAGACTATAAAATACGTAAATAAAATATTAAAAAAGTAATATGCTAGTAAAAACAGGAGACAATGAAAAGGAAGACTAATAGGAAAACAACTCATCAAAATTTACAGCCACTTAAAGGGATTAATAAAAATTAAGTTTTAAAAACTTGATGGATAAGTTTTATAACAGATTAGACACAGCCAAAAAGGAAATTAATAAACTGAAATGCATCTGAAGAAATCATATGAAATTTAGTGCAAGAGAGAACAAGATGGAAAAATATTTGAGAGGTTAAAAGACATTAAAGATAAAATGAGGGTGTTTGGCAAACGTCTAATAGGCATTTTTTTTCATGAGAAAAATAAAGGGAATAAGTAAGAAGAATGTTCAAAAATAAAATATGTTAAGAATTTTCCAGAACTGAAGACATGAGCGCTCAGATTAGAAAAACAAACAAAAATCCAACAATTAACTATTTTACAGTAAGCTTTCAAAATATGAAAGAGGAAGAGGGGAGAGAGGAGAGACAGGAAAATATTTTTAAAAAAACAATAAAATAGAAAAGACATATTATCAACTAAGGATCAACAGTTAGCCAAAAACATCATAAAATAGAATAATGTCCTCAAAGAGCTGAGAGAAAATGAACTGTTAATCTCAAATTCTATATCCAGCTAAACATACCTGAAATAATCTTTAGAGAGAATTTACCTCTTATAAAGCCAGGCTTGAAGAATACTAAAGAATGCACTTCGTAGTAAAAAAATAATAATTATTTAAAAGTAAACTGAACTCAGACAGAAAAATATGCATGTCAGAGGATTTGGTGAATCAGTTGCCAAAACTAAATATTCATTGACTGTAAGCAATAATTTTGTAGGAGAAGTAGCAAACTTCCCATCAACTAAGCATTTTTGAGTCTGTGATGATAGAATCTCAGGAGTTTCTATGAGTTTGGAGAGCTTAAATTGCTAGAAAAAAGACAGAGTTGGTATGAGAGTCCATGTGAATCATGGCATTGTGTTTCTCAGAGTGTTGTAAGGGCCTGACATTACCTGAATTACTGTCTTTTTCATCAACTGGCTATTAGAAATTCTCCCTTTCCACTTGAAAAAGCAGCCCTTCTCAACTACAGTCTTAAAGATAATGCAGGCTGGTGGGGGAGGCATTTGACAGAATATGTTCTTGAATAAGGGAGATGATGAGAATAATTGATGGGATCAGGTGCACAGGTATGGACATCGATCTCATAAAAGAATGCTGTGCGTTCTTGCTAATAGGAAGAAAGAGGGTATGGGTATAGTGAAACTTGGTTGGTTTGCTGAGGTTGTGAAACTTAGGAAGATATTCTCATCTAATTGCTTCCATGTTCACAGTCAAATGGGAAGCGAGGTCTTCTGATGAGAGTGAGGGTAAAGAGATATTAGACTCTGAGAAGCAAGAAGATGTGATTAAGTCATTTAGTTAGTTATCTAATTCAGTGAAAGAGTGAATAGGTTAGGGCAGTGTAGTGAAGTTGGAAGACAGAACTCAGGCTTCCCTTGAAGGCAGTAATCATTCATTTAAAGTGAGACTTGTCGTTTTGCTCATGTGTATCTTCTACCAATGTTTATCTCATTAGGGGTTTAGATTAGGGGTTTTCCAGGCAATTATGATGAAGGGTGAGAGGGTAAAGCATTTATGGTGTCTGTAATGGAGTCGCTGCTGGCTGAGGTAAGCCTCTCCCTTTAAAGGCTGAGGACTGCTAAGTGGAGATGGTAGAAGCCTCTTCTTTCTTGCCAACTTCATTTGGTCCACTGGCTCCCAAATTATGCTTTCAAGCACATAACAGAGAGCTGGCTCACTGTGTCCAGGAAGGTAGGGAACTTTGAGCTTGGCATCTAAGATTAAATCAAGGCTTTATTGAAGTAAAACAAAATATGTGGTCATGATTCAGTTTCTAAATAAAGAAACTTCCCAAGTAAACTAGAACTTAGCAGCACATTACAGCAAACCACAAGTTTTCCAGAATTTGAGTGCAGCGCTAACATTAGCCATCCATTTTTCTCCTTTTGCACGTTTTTCTCTTAAAAGCTTCAATATCTTGCTTATCTGCTTTATGAAGAACACGTACAGACAATCGTTTATGGCCAGAGGAACTAGGAACAACTACCAAGATTACACCAGCATCGCCCTAGACCAAAATCTCAGCTCCAAGAGTCTGCAGACCGCTCTATAGCAATGACCACAGCTGCCAGCATCTTGGTACCTACTCAGACCTCTGGGACAGAATGAACCCTGCCTGGCATTGGCACTGCTCCAGATCCAATCCTTGTTATCCCCAGTTTGGAGTCACATGACATGGGTGCAGTTGCTAGAGGCCTATCCCTGTGAGCTTGCCAAAAGGAGATAAAGCTGTCCCCAGAAAAGGGGAAATTGCTGTAACCTCAGTAAACACTTCCAAATGTGACCAATACAGAATTTTAAATAGTATTTATAAGGTCTTCTCTGTTTCTAGAATTAACTGTGTTTCTTTCTTTAGAGAACTTTGCTGATTATTCTATTTAGGTTTGATCTTTCTGTAAACTAATTCTCCTCACCTGGACAATGATTTTTTTTCATAAACAGCCCATATAATAGAGGTCTAGGTTGCCTGGCACGGTGGTTGGTTGTTTGTAGTCTTTCTTAGCAACTGATTAGGTCAACTGTTTTTTTTTTTCAAGTTTCATAATGAACTGTGTGGTCACCACAATGATGCTGTTATCCAGGCAACAGGGTATGGTGACACTCTTTTTTCTCTGCTACAGAAATAAACCTCCCAAGCTGATAGCACAGACATAATATAGACCTAACAGTTTCTCCCCAGGTGTGGAAGAGAAACATGGCTAAGTTCTTACACTCCGAGCACCCATTTTCCATGACCACTACCAACCTGCTCACTCATGTTATCATCTTTTTCATCTCAATATCTTTTCATTATAATTTAATTACAGGCTGAAGTTTACAGATTGGCATATACTAAATGCATTTCAGGTTAGCTGTTCCTTAATGACATGGATAAGCAGAATAATCAGATGAATAAGCTGCCTCCAAAGCCAACTTCTAAGAAGTCTGCCTGTAGACTAAAATGCCATGGATGGAATTTAAGCTCTAATGACTTTTAATTCCAAAGGGCCTGGATATCCTTGACCTTATCTATCTTCTTGACCTTTTTCTCGCATCACCACAGGGACTCATCTTAGTGGAGTTTGTAGCATTGTCCACTAAACACAAAAATTAGAATGAACATTTTTTATTTTCATTATGTGCCTAGCAAAGAGAATCATATAGTAGGTGGTTAAATATTTGCTGAAGTAAATTTTACAATATATATGCTTTATCAAAAAAGTTTTATATGAAACAAAAATAAAATGAAAAAGCTAAAGCAGTTATATATATGGAAATTATAGGGATAGCTTCTAAAGCTAAACCTCACTGTTGGTGGTTTAAAAGCTACAAGGGCCACAGATTATAATCTACTAGGTAATTCTCCCCATCAAATCTCTGAGAGCCTTCTGCAGTGTCATAAAACATTCAGTATTGCATGAAATCTCTTGTCAATTTTCACAGCTGTGAAATTTTTTGGTCTGCTTCTATAAAATACTGACTTTTGCTATTCTTTATTTCTTCATCAATAAATCTGTGGTAAAGATTCCTGGCCATAAAACTCATAGACTTGAGTCTATGCTAGTAGTCGTATGCTTACTAACTACTGCCTTGTTGATTTCTTTAATAACACCATTAATTTGACAACAGGTTAACTGAGATTTCAAATACGCAGAAATACTACTGAACTCATTAGAAGTTATAAATGGCATTTAAGTATTTCTTTGTGGGTACAATTTCCTCAAACTTGACTGGTTCTTCAGGGTCAAGATCTGATCTCTTAAAAAAACAAACCTCTGGGTTACTGTTACTTGGAGCAAATGGGAGGACATTTTGTTTTGAAATGTTCCAAATCCTTATAATCTTCAAGCAATTCACAGAGTTCCTTGGGTGAATGGAGTTTGTTCTTGATACTGAATATCTAAGTCCAGTTTATTTAGAAGTTCATTTACTGCAATGATCTCATCACTTATTTTATTTAACATAGTTCTCAAGGTAGGTTCTTGGCCATAGGTGCCCTGTTGTTTTTTTGTTGTTGCTTTTTTTTTTGACATTACCAATCTTTTCATTAATGTGAGAGCATAATTGTTCCTGATGTGGGCAGGTCTCTCTCGCCAGTCCAGCAGCAAAAGCCAATGCTTTCTTTTTTTAAATTGCTTTTCTTTTTCTTTTCTTCCTATTTTTTGGGGGTGAGGGGTAAGCTAACCCTTTCTCTCTGTAAAATGAGTAAATACAAGATTCTTCAGAATAAAGGCCCTCTTCATTTAAATTGCTATCACAGCCAAAGGATGGCTTTAGCTGAGTATCCAAAGTCCTTCCTAGTATTTTTTTTCCAGCCACATCATCCTCAAGCTGGCTGCGGGGGGCGGGGGAGGGGGTCGGTGTGGGGACAAAGAGAACAGTATGGCAGTGCTTGGTAGAATGAGCATTCGGCTGAGCATTTTCTCCATCGGCCTAACCCCTTGCACCTGTTCAGTGAGAGAACAGGCCTTCCCTTAGCTTGAGCGTGCTTTCAGGCCTCTCCAACGAGAGGGCGAACATCATCGGTGTTTTCAGATTCCACTTCACCTTCCACCAATCACATTGCTCACAGATTGGAGATACAGCTGGCGCCTGGCGTCTTCCTTCGGTAAATAATTGTTTGGGATGCAAACAAAATTAGTGGGGGTTACAATAAGAGTCTGAGACCTCTCTTAGTTCTACCTCTGACATCTTTTCGTTTGTTTGTTTTAGTAAATAGTATGGGCATTATAGAAATAGCACTTCACTTGTCATCACTGCTAGCAGTTTCGAATTCCTTGTTTTCTTGGGAAATTTCTGCTTCAGAGGAGCCACCTGTCATAAAGTCAGGGAACGGGCAGGAATGTACAGGCAAAAGCTGGAAGCTTAGACACACACAGAGCCTCTGACTCAGGCATTCTAGGAATGTATTCCAAGTGAATAATTGCCAGAGGTCTACACACGACATTCTTAGCTGCAGCACCACTTACAACAGGGAAATTCAGAAACAACCTATATATCTTGCAATTGATTTTCAAATAAAATTTTTTAGTACATTCAAACATTGATATAATGCATAGACACTATAAAAATAACATAAATCTATAATAAACAGGAAAGGTATAATATCATATTATGTTGCTAAATAAGACAATTATAAAACAGTAGATATAATAACGTTATCCTATGTGTATATATGATAGAAAAATGTATTATTTATGCAAGAAACATCTTCTACCTGTATAAATTGCATAATTTTTTTACAGAGAATATGTATTATGTCAGAACTGTTTAAAATTATATTTTCAAAAATTAAATAGACCAAACTTGCCATTTTAACCATTTTAAGTGTACAATTCGGTGACATTCATGACATTCACAATATTAACAACCATCATCACTATCGAGTTCCAAATCCTTCCCCTTCCCCTAAAGAGGAAATGTGTAAGCATTAAGCAATAACTTCCCCATTTACTCCTTCCCCTTGTCCCCTTGACCGTGGTGATCGCTAATCCACTCTCTGTCACCATGAATTTCCCTATTCTAGATATTTCATATGAATTCATATTAATACAATATTTGTGCCTAGTTTATGTCAAGCAAATTTTATTTTATATTTTACCATAATTGAAAAAAATCAAATGGATTGAGACATTGAGAATTTCTGGGCAATAAATGCCCATTCATTTTATTTGCAACCACCAGTATTTTATATGTAAGCCAGAGCAATCTGCTAGATCTTCTCAGGCACATGCTTCTGTATCCATCCCATTGAGATTCTGCGCTGCTCTGTTTCACACACTGCACGTTGCGAAGATCTGTAAGTTAGCAACTGCACATGACCTCTGCCTCCACCAAACCTATCATCTCACTGCTGCTTGTGACTGCTCTCAAGATGGCTTCCATGGCAGCTGGTTCTCCTGACACTACCAAAACAAGCTACATTTTGCATAGACATTGCTGCTTCCCTGACCTCCTCATCTCCTAAGTGTCCCATGGGTCACTTTTAGGCTAATTTTTTTCCAGCTTTATTGACATATAATTGACATTAAATGGCATGTAAGTTTGAGGTATATGACTCTCACTTGATACATTTACATGTTGCAAAATGATAACCACCATGTCCTTAGCTAACCCTGCCATCATGTCACATAATTATCATTTTTGTGGTGAGAACATTTAAGATTTACTCTTAGAAACTTTCAAGTATGTAATACAATATTATTAATTATAATCACCATGCTGTACCTTCGATCCCTAGGATTTATTCACCTTATGACTGGAATTTCATGCCCTCTGACCGACATCTCTCCATTTCCTCCGCCCGCTGGCCTTGGTAAACACCATCTTACTCTTTGTCTTCGTGAATTTGTCTTTTTCATATTCCATATATAAGTGATATCATACAGCATATCTTTTGCTAACTTATTTCACTTAGCATAATGCCCTCAAGGCCCATCATGCTGTCACAAATGGCAGGATTTCCTTCTTTCTCATGGCTGAATAATATTCCAGTATATATATGCATATATATAAAATGTATATAGTCTATCTTTACCCATTCATCTACCAAAGGACACAGGTTGTTTTCACATCTTAGCTACTATGAATAAAGCTAAAATGAACATTGGAGTACAGATACCTTTTCAATATCCTACTTTCACTTTTTTGAGATATATACCCAGTAGTGGGGTCGCTGGATCACATGGTAGTTCTATATTCGTTTTTTTGAGGACCCTCCATACTGTTTTCAATATGTACCAATTTGCGTTCCCATAACACTGCACAAGAGTTCCCCTTTCTCCATATCCTCACTGACACTTATCATCTCTTATCTGTTTGATGATATAGGCTGACTTTTTGAGTGATTCCTGAACGATGTTAAATTAGTGTAAGTTCTAGTCCTCACCACATGAGTATAGCTCAGACTCTTTTGAAGTCCAGTGTCCGAGACAGCTTTTCTAGGTAGCGAACCCTGCATATCATATCCACAGTCCTAGCCTGGGCTGCCTGAATTAGAAGCTGGCTTTATGTAGCATTCATGGTTCGAAGTCCTCATTTCTCACTGACTTTAGATCCCTTCTCTGACCCACATGTAGGCACACAAATCCCAATCTCAGCCTTTGGGATTTATATTCAAGATCAGTATCATGCTGGGTCACAACACAATGCAAGCTGAAGCTGCTTTGGTGGTATTTAAGTGATTTTGTTACATTTTATTCAGAACTTCATGTATTTGCAGTAAGAGGAGGATGTGTGTTAAAAGACATGAACTCCATGGGTTATATATAGGTTTTATTGACTTTGACGAGCATGGTGTTTACTAGCTTCATAGCTGCTTCATAAGAAACTGCCCTCCTGAGGGATGAAGGCCCAGGCTGTTGTTACTGTAAGGCTGACCATAATTTTTATCATGGAAACAAGACCATATGCACATTCGGCCTATAAAAAGCTCAGTTGAAAGAGAGAGAAAGCCAATCACAAGCTTTGGCTCTCGGAAAAACTAAACTGAGAAATACAAAGGATGCAAAAATATGCAGAGAGAGAGGCAATGAGGCAGAGGGACAATGTAGGCTATGGGGTACGTTAAAGCCAGAAGTAAACAAAAGCTTTAAGTAAGCAGAAGGAGTAGGCAGAGAAAAGATGTACGAAACAGTGGGTGCTGCAGGCATTTAACTGAGGGAAGAAGTAAGACTATAATGATGAGCACAGCAGAGCAAGAAGCTGAGTCTATTGCTGGTGGAGTACTCTACCGAAGTTTCACGATCTCTGGTTATGAAGATTCCTGTGGCTCTCTTGAATCCACATGGACCTTCAAGCTATCTCTTTCAGTCCTATCTTTATTCTCAGATATGCCAAGGATTACAACAAGCCTCTCATTTCCTGGGTTAGCTCAGGTGAGCCTATTTCTAGCAACCAGAGAAACTCAAAGAACACAGAAATTACTACCAGGAATAGTGATTTAGAAATAAGAAATCACCAAGATTGTGGAGATTTTGCAGTTCGTTAAGACATCATGGCTGGAAAGCATTGAGAATGTTCTACCTTCTCTAAACCTGTGTTTCTTTGGTAGTCATACCCTGTGGCTAAAGATGATGAGGCTATGGGCAACAACTGCAAAGCAACAATTTTAAGAGTGTAAAGAATGAAAGAGAGCAGAGTTTTACAATTTTAATTTATAGAAATAGGAAATCTATGAAGTTTAAGTCCAAAATGTCCTAGTCAAGGCAGCTAAAAAATCTGTTAGAGGAAGTTCTTTTATCTGATAGCTGACAGTGTCCACTGCCAAATAGTTACATCAGAAGAAACCACAAAACCTTGCTGCATCTTTTTTAGATCAAGGCAAATCCCCGTTTGACAGGAATGAGAACATTTGTGGAAAGTGGAAGGCATTAGTTTTTCCTGAACTCTTTTTGACCAATTGAGATAATCTATCACAAATATAAAGCAAACCCTAAAACTAACACTTTCTTCACTGGCTGAGCTATGAGGACCTAGAAGAAAAGACTCATTAAAAAAAAGTCCTTGAGATCACAATAGGGATGTGAGATAATCTCAAATGATAGATGTTGAGTAATCAAAGCTTAGAGGATGTGCTCTAATCAGGGTGTCACAATACGGGCACCACTGACATTTTGAGCAGGATAATTCTTTGATGTAGGGGGCTGTCCTGTGGACTATAGAATGCTTAGCAGTATCCCTAGCTTCTACCCACTAGATACTAGTAATAACTCCAAATTGAGATAACCAAAAACATCTCCAGATAATGTCAAACATCCCTAGGAAGGGGGACCGACTGCCCCCAGGTGAGAACCATTAAACTAAAGCAACCAGACAGGTGTGGTTATCCATGGATAGAAAATGTCTCACATATGAAATCATAAATATATTTCTTTATTGGTTATAATTATGCAATTAATACATAATGGAGTTTTCTTTTAAAGAAAATCAGAACATTGCAGATAAAATTAAAGTTCTCTTTGATTGTCTATCTCCCTCCCTAGGGTAACCACTCTTTTCAACTTGATTATACATATATACACGTACATACATATACATATATACACAACAGAGGCAATATATTTACTGGACCAGACAGAAATTAATATATGATACTATCTCACCCTAGCCTGCTCTTGAAATCAAGGAGTGGAAATTTCCTTTCACTTTCCTTGAAGAAGAGTTATTTTTCATTATTGCCATTGCTGTATATCGAGTGGGAATGATGGTTCGATTTGTGTTTCATTGCAGAATATTATATTTGCTGAGAAGGCCAGTATTTCATAACACAGTAGCTGGAAACTGTTTTCTCCATCCACATGGAGGAAAGAGTAAGTGGATCTTCAGTGTGAATGTGACAGCTGGATCATGTTAGGCAAAAATAGTACTGGTATGACACATATAGGAAAGAGGACATGACACAGAGACATGAGTGTCGTGGAGTGGGATATACAAGATATGTCAATCATGATGTCTGCCACCACAAAAGCCCCTTCTGAGAGTAAATATTCTCCCCATACCCCTTCCAGAAGCAAAATTCACAGACTAGGCTGTTCGTTGGGTAGGAAAGATTGTATCTTTCATTCTCTAATTTACAATTAATTGCACCTTAGCCCAACTACATCATTTTATTGCCTGGGATGGTGGCCATTTAGGTGTCTTCAAAAGGAAAGCTCTGAGCAAAGTGATATGAACCGAGGTGGCTTATGTTAAGGAATTTAAACTAGAATAGGTTGAAAGAAGCTGGCAGTTTGCAGCAGTGGCTGAAGTGAAAAGAATGCACAAAGACAGGCTGCAATGCCAATGGAACCATGAAGAAGTCAACTTTCTCAGGAGTAAAATCTATGAGTAAGCATACGGCTGAAGGAAGAGTAAGTACCTTACAGAGAAGAGAGAGGAGAAGTTTGTCATGGTAGGAAAAGCAGCAGAGCACAGAAGTGCATCAAGACAAGAGATCCGTATTGGGCCACCAGGGTAGCAATCCAAGGGATTCTGTTGCTGTTTCCTAGAATTACATGGCTGAAGATCACGCTTCAAGAGGAGATAATAGCTGAGTAAACCCTAAAGCCATCTCTCTTCTTAGATTCTTCTTTCTTTTCTAACTATGTGTCCTTACTCTAAAGACTCCACACTTGAGCTAGCCTGACTTTACCATCTATTCCTTGTAGTCAAAAAACAAAAACAAAAACACCTAACAGATGCCATGTGGTTAGTAGATGGGCAATTCGTGGTTGTCTACTGGCTGATAAAACATAATTAATGTGCATCAGAGACCAAGGACATAATTATCCAGACAACATGAGTTGATTCAACTGCAACTGTCAATGGTCGTGGGCCCTCTGCTAGGGACACCAGGTTCTAAAGCCCCTCATACCCAGTTTCAATCATAGCAGTTCCTTCTGCTTTACCTACTTTTCTGAGGTAGACCAGTCCCCAGACTTTTCCCTCTGTCCTTACGTAAGGATATGGGAAAGACAACAATCTCACTATTCAACTGGCATCTATTTTTTGAGCTAGGATGGAGTGGTGAACACATAAATGTTGCTAAGGTAGTCAGAAATCAAATAATCCAAATCCTGAATAATGAAGCACTAACTATAATTTTTTTTTTAACCTTAAGTTTGGGTTCTCTGTAGATTTTCTCCCTCTGCCTAATATCCTCCCACCCCACTTCTTCCTGCACTTGCATTAATTAATCTGTATTAATGTGGAATTGTAAATGTAAGCTATTTTTTATTTTCATTTCTGTTCATTGATGGTCTTATTATATAAATTTATTCAGTATTTCAAGGGCTACTAAGGATAACATCAAGTTAGTTCTTTAAGTCTTCAGGGCATGCTCTATTCATGAGAAAACAGATAATGTATCTGAAATGATATTTGGCTTCATATGAAATACATCAATTTTTTACTCACATTTTAAGCATTCTTCCAAGTAAAGAGAATTTTCCTCTTTTAAAAATTACCCATGAAAATAGCTATTTGTAGAAATCAAAGTGAGGAGCCAAGTCCTACCTTTAAGTCAATGTCAAGGTAGAGGTAAAAGAACTGACACGAACCACAGAGGGGAGCCAGAGTCAGGGAGAAGCATGAGATTATAGTTCCTGTGGGGTTTTTCAGAAGCTCAGGACGGGCACTGACATTTCTACAGGTCAGAGAACAAAGCTCCATAAATTTCATGGTTGATAGCTAAACAACTTACCTTAAAACTATAATAAAGAAGACTTGAGAAGTTCAATGCAGCTTTATTTATGAGATAAACTTGCATATGACAAAAAATGTCAGAAAAAAAAATAGTAAAAAGTTTAAGTAAAACCCATGATAGTACACCAAGGAAATGCAATGCAGCCATTATACAACACAAAAGTGTTAAAATGACATGGGAAATATTCATGATGTGAGGTGAAAAAATATAGAAAGTTACTATGCTCACTGATGTCAGCTTTGAAAAAGTACTCATAAAAAGCACACTGAATTCAGGTAGGCCAAAATAATACTTACTGTGGTGTTTTATTACAGATTACTATTATCCTCATCCATATAATACTACATGTCCATGAATTTATTTTATAATTAGAATATCTAATGTATGTTATATAACACTGCATAACTTTAGTCATTAACTTATTAGATCTTCCTATAGTCAATGTCACATTAAATGGGTACTTTAATAAATAATACTTAAAATAACTGATATAATTAGAGTCTAGGTAAAAAAAACCTACAATCTTTCATTTGTAAAATGTGCTCAGCCTTCAGCCTTACTGATAAAAATAAAACACTAGTCTAATATTATGTAATTTTTGAATATTAAGCAAATTAATATTAATTAATTAAAATAGATTAGTGATCAATATAATGTTTATGTTAATTTTGCCTATAACTTTTCTTCTCCATTAAAAATTTTGAAAAACCATTTAAAATCTTCATCATTATTGAATGTTTAAACTACTAAATGTTTCATTTTGTTGACTGTAGTAATATGAAATATTCTTCTAGAATTATGGAAATTAATGTAGTAAGACTTAAAATCTAAAGTTAGGAGGTTTGGGATTTTAAGGCTCTTCCTGTGGGAGGAGTTTCCATTTAACTGTTGTATCAACTTCATCATCAAAATTTCCCATCTCCTGCTCTTTAGAGAGTTCTAAGAATACCTAAGTAGGAGAAAATAAATAAGGAAACAAAAATGTCAGGGTGTTTGTTTCATCTGAAAGATGAATGCACAGAGAAATGTACATAAAGGTTACTCGGATGGTGCTTGCTAGTTTAAAGAAAACTAACCTGTTCCAAGGTAGCTTGAGAGAGGCTGTATTCTTCCAGGTCGAAGGTCTGTTTCACTGCATTTCAAGGGACTGACATTAGTGGCTTACATATGTTTCACCAAAAGTGTTTTCAAGGCATCAACATAAACAGCAACCTCAAATCCATGTCTAAACTTACCTGCCTCTAATTTGAAAAAGGCCTGAGACAGAGGGTGAACATCTTCCACAGGTAATTTATATGCCATCATGGAGGAATACCTGGGAGGAGGGAAGAGTTTTATCAGTGTGTTTCAGTGTTATTATATTGGGGAGAAATTGACAGTCAAAATAAAAGAATTTTTCAAAGTTTTTTTTAAAATAAAAAGGCAAGTTTGACTTGATAGAACATGAATCCGAGCCAAATAACTTAAGTCATAAAAATTCGATAACAACAAAAATCTGCTTGTCCCTAATTTAGTATTCAAGACAAATTCTGAAAAACTGTTTTCATAAAGAATCTTTCATACTCAGCCTGTGCTACCTTTCTTACTGTGCTAACATATTTCTTACTCTCGAAAGCCTTCAACATCCTTCAACATGCTCCATGGAACATAAATTTGGCTATCAAATTTTCCCCTCTGCTGTATTTTAATCTCATAAGAATTAAAACCTGTTGAACTCTTTCCTACTGAAAAAAGTTATTTCTTGGCCACCAGCTCTGCCCTCCCGAAAAATGTTCATCCGCGACCTCCATGTTGCACAATCGATGAATTCGTCCTTCCTTCTTCTTAGACTTCTTGAAAGCATTAAATAAAATTGTACACATCCCTCTTAAAAGTCTCTCCCCCTCCCTCCCCCACCCTTCCCCTCTCAGCTTCTAAGATAACCACTTTTACAACTTTCCTTCTCTTTAGACCTGCTGTTTAATATATTTGCTACTAGCTACATGTGGCTATGTCAATTAATTAAAATAAAATTACGAAATCAATTTTGTAGGGCTCAGTAGCCATCTGTGGGCATTGTATTAGACAGCATGGATGTAAACATTTCCATCATCGCAGATATTCTATTGGACAGTGGTGTTCTTTACGCACTTCGGTATTTGTCATTACGGCTGTTGCTGTGGTGCTGGTAATTCCCCCCACAAGCTTTTCTTCTTCGATCCAATCTGAATACTAAGAGTTCCTGGGGTCCAGCCTAGACCCTCTCCCCTTTCCATCTCCCTTGTGACCTCACCCCTTCTCCTAGCCTAGTGGTGTCCCATATGGTAAAATTGAGCTGCTTGGTTTATTGCCAGGCCGGGTCTCTCAATTGATCCTTCACTCTTCCTCTGAGCAGCAGGCCTACATGTCCCTGGATATCCCTCTACACACCAACTATATGAGCTTTCTTTCCATCTTTTGCATGTACAAAGTTCATTCTTGACTTAAATTCTTTATACATTCTTTTTTCTAAAAAGAGTGGCTCATCCCCATTCTCGAGTTGACCGAACCCTACTTAGTCTTAAAGTCCTACCATAATGTCATTTCCTCATTTATTCATATCTTCGTTTGCTTAATATTCTTGCCCCTAAAAGGCTGCAAGCACCATAACAACTTTGTCTAGTTATGGACTACTCTATATATAGTCTCTGGCACACAGTAAGTGCTCAATATGTATTATTTTTAAAAATAAATAGAAGTAGTATATAAGAAAATCCTGTATATCTTTCAATTAAATTTAACCTCATTCTGCTAGTCACATAGGTTGGGTTATCCTTGCTTGTAATTCAGATGACCATACACAAATCTGAAAGAACCATAGAAAGGATAAATGATTTATATTCAATTAATTTAGGATAGAGTCAATCCTTCTCAAGTATGTACATCTGGGTTATTGAGCACTTGATGCAATTTTATATTTGGTAAAATGCTATAGGTTGATGCAGAATTTTATTGTCTATTAAAAAAACATTAAGTTCATGGTTAAGTTTGCACTTTATTCCTAACCTCTAAGCTATTCCACCACTTAAACACACGCGCACGCACACACACACACTCCATCCATCTTTTCTGAGGTATAAAACACTCACTGAAAATAACTTTTCAACTGCTGCCTTTTTTCTATACATACCAAATCTTGTTTTGTAGTAAGCCAGCTCAGCCTTTCTCTTCCTGTCCAGCCTAGTTCAAGACTAAATAATGTGTGTGTGCTGGAAAATCCTTGTACTTGTCACACAAGCAAAAAATGTCCTTTACCTCTCCTGCCGAGCAGCCTGTGGGAAAAGCTTCAGAATCTCTGTGTGGAGAAGCTCTGTCTGAGTGGGTTCCTTTATTTTTACTTCTAGTAAATAATCTTTGCCAAATTTGCTTTTCAGATGTTGAATGGAACCGATACACATAGTCCAGAGAAGAGAAAGAAGAGTCGAAAGAAAAAATACTTGTCTGTTAATTTCTTCCTCAATTACAAATGTGGAGAAAGGTGTTTGATCATAAATCCAGGAGCAAAACAGCACTAGCTGTTTACAGTGAACTGAAATTCTCTCTACGAGAACTTGGGGTCAACTGCTGGTGCTACACAGGCACCCACCTCAGCCTTCCGGACACCATGATGGCCACACGGTCACACACAGCCTCGGCCTCTGCCATGTGATGGGTGGTCAGGAGGGCGCCTCTCCCCGTGTTTTTAACAATGGTCTGAATTGCCTGCCTAAAGATAAAGTAAAGGATTGTTTGCATTTAGAAAGCAATTTGGAAAAATAGATCAATGAGGATAAGTGTGAGGCTTAAATAGAAAATTTTATATTAGGTTACACAAGAAAAAAATCTTTGCTCTAGAGAGAAAGAATAAAAATTGTTGCATTATGCAATTACATTAGTACATTAACTGGCTTCATAAAATCAAAAGTAGAAGATTGGTAAATAGTGAGTAAAATAATATTTGTTTAAAAAAAAGTTGAAGTATAGAGAAACACTACATTGTAGGATTTTTAATAACTGAAAATAAAATAGAAGAAGAGAGAGGGGCAGGGAGAAGAGAAGACAAAGAAAATCCAATCAAATACATTCAAGAGTTCATTTGCTTCTTAACATGTTTATTTTTCTTTCCTTGAAGAATTTTGAAAACTATATTGAATTTCACAGAATTAAATAATAGAGGATGTGAGCCTCAAAGACGAATTGAGCAAACGTTAACAAACAATTAACTGTAGACTCATACTATTGACCCTGACACGTCTTACAACTCTCCTCACCACATCCGCTGCTGCCCCTCGGGGTCCATCCCGGTGGACGGCTCGTCCAGCAGCACCACCGGCGGGTTGCCCAGGATGCTCAGCGCGAAGCACAGCTGCAACCAGAGGAACAGCGCGTCTGGCACCGACCCGCGGGGGGCGCGGAGGAAGCCCGGGCCCCGGCCCTACCTTCCTCTTTATTCCCTCCGACAAGGCCTTCACCGGCCGCTTCTGCTGGTCCTGCAGCTGGAGCGCACCCACCAACCTGACAAAAAAACACTGTGATTATACACGAAGCACGTGTCCCTACTGAAAACAACACAGAAAATCCTGGCACTATCAATCTAAAAAGAGTACACTTAAGGACCATTAACATTGTCACAAACACTAAATCTTATCATTTGGTTCTTATTCAGATTTTCAATCATTTTATTGGCATGATAATTTAAAGATGCTGTTTATGACGTCCTTTCCATTGTTAATGAGGAAATAATATATTTATCCCTTCCTCCAGCTACACAGTGAGAGTGAGGCTTCTCTCTGTACCTTGAAATACTAAGAGCAGCATCGTCTTTGCCCAATCCCTTCACTGCCGCATACAACTCCAGATGGTCTTTCACTGTAAGACTGGGCCACAATGAGTTCTCCTGGGGACAGTACCCCAAAAATGTGGAAATGTCATCTTTCTGTTTCCCCAGTGATGCTGTGCAGCCTTGTGAAACCACCTGCATGGAACAACAAGTGTCAGATCTACATCTGGCTTTTGATCCACATCTGGCTTTTCCTCCTTCTACTTCTAAAGGAGATAATGGTGCCCATTAAGCTGCAATGTTTTCTGAGCATGCAAGGGGTATCTATAATTTCTTTCATCAATTTATTCATTTTTTAAAAAAATCATTTACTGATAGGAATAATTTAAGGATGCTATTGATACTCAAAATGAAATTTCCCTTGGCGATGAGCTTGGTTCCTTCACATATCACATACCACTCCAGCAGTGGGCTTTGTGTCTCCAGTTATCATTTTAATAGAAGTACTTTTACCAGCTCCATTGTGTCCCAGCAACCCCAAAACTTCACCTGGAAGAAAGACCCACCATCGATATCTGCACTTTAAAAATTCACTAACCTAAAATCATTTATCTCAGTAACAATTTGAAACAAAATAACACTACCTTTTCAAACAGTACCTTTGTAATTTTCTATATTGCAATGTTAATGGAAAGTCTTTAGATTTACAGTAGAATAATTTGGTCTTCCTGATCCAAGATCACATTTCCTGTCATTTGACTTGGGATAGGTAATTAAAGCAGAATAGGTTTTTCGGCTGACATGTCAAGTGTTTTTATAATTACATGTTAACCAAAATAAATGAGAGATCTCAAAGGATGCAAAATGATCCCTTTCAGAGTCCCAGACCTAGAGAATATGAAACATTCTAATAAACGGAACATTAGCCAAACCTTTGTTAACACAGAAGGAAACATTCCTAATGGCTATTTTCTTCTTTCTTGTCAAAAAGCAACTTTTCTTTTTCCCTTTATATTCCTTGTGTAAACAGCTGGCCATTATGACTGGTTTCTGGAAAACATGGCAAAGCATGATTTTCCTGTTAGATTTCACATATTTTGTGCACTCACATTTTACCTTTTGTTTCCTAGGCTATGAGTACCCAAATGTATGGTCATGAATAAAGACTACTTTATCAACTAATTACAAAACTGATTCCTAATCAAGTACATTCCCTGCATATTACGCTGACTGAGAATCTACCTTGCCCTTTGCACTAACTCATGTTTAGTTCATTTCTTACTGATTGTCATACAGTGTAAATTTACTTGTTCTTTCTTATATTGCAACTTTCTTATATTGCTCTTTCTTATCTTGCAAAGGATGTGAAATTTTGTTAAAGTTGATTAACAGAACTTCTTAAATTGCACTGACAAATGAAGATCTAAGATTAAGAACCATGAAAAACTGAAGAAGAGAAAATTGAAAGAGTGAAAACGGGATAAATATTCCAAAAGATAATGATTTGAATATGACCTATAAGTGGAAGTATTACAGAAACAAAAGCAAATTTTCAGTCTAACAACTAACAGTTCATCAGTTCGACAGGACAAGTGAAGTATCTCAGTATTTTGTTAAGGGTCTAGTCACTTGTTTTCACCTCCTCCGAGTTTGCAGAAGTGAGTGCATTTGCTGTTTTCACTCTTTCAGTTTGAACATCTTCATCTTCTTCTTCAGGCTCTTCTGGATTTGGACGATTTTCCCTACTTCTTGGAGAGATTCTACAGAGAAAATAAAATAATATAAAAATGCAATTCTAGCTGTACAACTATCGAGAGAACGTAAGCCTTGATCATTAAATTATTATACTTTGCTTTAAAAGAATATAAATGATTCATTTACTACCTGCAAGATTCCCCTGGACAATAATAATCCTTCCAGTAGCCAAGTCCCTTGAAATTCTTTTGGGCTAGTTCTTCTCTTTAAAACGTCTGTCCCCTCTGTCAGCTAGCCCTCTAACTTCTCTCAAATATAGACTTATTAGTCTTTTCAGTCTGTTGCCCTCCAGATCACCATGCTATTTCATCATAAATGATCATCATCATTGGCTTCTCTGGCCTTTTCAAAACATTTCATACACTTACGTTGAACACCAGTTCATTATTATGTCTTCTACTCAGAGACCTATACTTGCCATAAGCAGGAGAGAAACAAGCTTTGGTGCTTACTCACTGCTCGCAGAGATACACAAGACAAAAGCTCAACTTGCCAAAAATTAGTAAGACCCAAGACTTAGAAATTATGTATCCCTGCATTCAATCTAAACCTATTCTTTTTATTTTTTCCCCCAGAATAATGCTGTTCAATGGGCCTAGTCAAGAGTTGGATAGTAAATCTGTCCTAATAAATGGATGTTAAATGTACTGCCATAAACATTAAATATTTAAATTATATTCATATGTTCTTCTAACCTGAAAACTGGATCTTTCTTCATTGTTTCTTTTCCATACTTCATTTCCAGACACCTTATAATGAAAAGGAAAATGGCACTCTGAAGGTATGGCTAAAGGCAAAGAGAGATAATTAGAGTTAGCATCATCACGGGACTCAAATGATGTGTAATGTTTCCCTTTTGTCATAAAAGAATTGACCATTTTTTAAATAAATTTGATGAAAATCTTATAAAGTACTTCTCATACGGAGAAGTTTATCCAAACCAAACTGCACACTGAAACAAAAATAAAAATCTGGATTAAAAAATTTTAAAATACTTCTTTAAAGCAGAGAAAAGTTGACAAGACATTAAAGACTTTAAGCCACATCTAAGAGAATGTAAGAGGGAGGCTTAGCACCAAAGCGACTTTTAAATTTCAATTTTCATGGCATGTCCAGGAGCAGAAGACATAAGAAAGTAGATAAATACAGCGTTTTCTCAAAGCAAAGACTAGAATAGACAATCTTTTCCCTAATAAAGCCTGGCCCTCCAAGAGTTACATCCTTAGTGAAGGGTGAACACCCAGTAGATTTCTAAGATAGTTGCCTTGGGAGCTGACCATGGGGAGTAAAGGTGGAAAGAGAAGCCAGCCTTGCACAGATTGGTAGTCCAGTTCACATCACTTGAATGATCCTTAGAACTCCAAGCATAGAACATGGTTTAAAGTAGTTATCAGAATAGTAGTCTCCCTAAGAACTGGACAGAAGCAAACAAAATGGAATGGATATCCCAGAAACAGACCCTGCGTATATGGACATCTTATAAATAGACAGCGGTAGCTTCGAATATCAATGGGAAAACCACAGACTTTTCAAAAAATAGTGTTGGGACAACTGGGTACTCTTAAAGACTGAAGTGAAATAGGACCGTTACCTCATAACACATTAAAACAATCAACTTTAAATAATTAGGAGACATGAATATGAAAAGAGAATATAAAGCTTTTAGAATACAATATAAAAAAATTTTCATGGCCTCTCGGGGAAGGAAAGAATTCTTAAACATTATAAAATATGAAATAAAATTATTAGTTATTAATAAAAATTTATTTAAAACTTTTTATTATTCTTAATGTGTACAGTCTTTGATAAAATTCAAGATTCATTCTTGATAAATACTAAAAGCAAAAAAATAGAAGACTAAAATGTCTAGTAAACTAGAAATTGAGAGAATTAATAAAATAAATAGTTGATATTTTAAACAAACAGTTAATATAATGCTAGTGGTTAAGCACTAAGAACATTGTCAGTAAAATCATAACCAATGGAAGGATGTCTGCTAGTAAGAGTATTAGTTGATATTTTTTCAGAGATTCAAGCTAATGTTATGAAGTAAGAATATATAGTACATTATATATTTTCAAATATATATATAATTATTTCTAGATAATGTTTAACTAGAAGATGCAAGATAAGTATCTGAAAAAAGATTAGAAATAAGAAAATTCAGGAAGGCAAACAAATATAAGATAATTACACAAAAATATTATATTTCATCAAGAACTAATTAGAATGTATAGTGAAAAACATTTTAACAGCTAAAGATATAAAAAAAAATGTAGACAGGAAAAACTTAGCCACAAATGTGTAAAAGTGAAATAAAATAAAAATAGAAAATAAAAGTTTTAATGTATATATAATAAGTCTTAAATACAAATATTTAAAAATCATTATTTTGAACTCACAAATTCTGCTCTAATAAATTGGACATTTAAAATAATGTCCACAAAACTCCACATACACTTTTTGGCACTTGACTACTCAATTCTAATTTTCACTAGAAAAAATGAATATGAAAGCAGAACATTTTTTAAAAATGACGAGAGGTTACTTATGATTTCAGATTAAGCAAAATATACAAAGCTACAGTGATTAAAACAAGGTAGTCCTGGCACTGATATAAACAAATGGATAAATGGGGTAAAGGAGAATAACAAGAGGACTATATCTAAATATGCATACGAATTCAATACTGATGAAGATGCTTTTTTATTTCAGAAAGCATAACATGGAGTATTCAGAAATGGTATTGAGATAACTGAATACTCCTTTTGGGAAAATATTAAAGTAAAATTATTAGTGACTATCTCATAGCAAAACATAAAAAAGTCCAGAGAATTAAACATTTATTTTTAAATGTATATATTTTAAAAAAGAGCAAGACATTAGGAAACAGGAAGGGGTGAGCCATACTCAGGAAAATAATCCAGTCAACAGAAATTATCTCTATCACCAGATGTTAGATTTAGTAGTCAAAGAATTTTTTAAAGCTATTGTATATTCATTGAATTAAAGAAAACCATGTTTAAAAACTTAAAGTAAAATATGACTCAAAGATAGACTTTCCATAACTGATCTGAAAAACAGAGAAAAAATATGAAAGATAAATGAACCGAGCCTTAAAGAACCATGGGATATCAAACATGCCAAAGTACATGTAATAGGAGTCTCAGAAAGATATGACAGAAAGGGCAGAAAAAATAATTTAAAAAATAATGGCCAAAAACTTTCAAAATGTGATGAAAAACCATATACACATTCGAGAAGTTCAACAAACCTTAAGTAGGATAACCACAAAAAGACAATTACAGTCAAACTATTGAAAACCAAAGAAAAAGTCTTGAAAGCAGTAAGAGAAAAAGAACTCATCACTTAGAGAGGAGCATCAATACAATTAATGGATGACTTCTCTTCAGAAACAATGCAAGCCAGGAGAAAGTGGAATTACACATTCAAAGAGCTTTCAAAGAGCTGGGAAAAAATCTGCAAGAATTCTACATCCAACAAAACTATCCTTCAATGTTATGGATAAAATAAAAACATGCCCCAATTGTATTGTTCCTGATTGATTTAAGGTGGTCATCATTACATTGTGTGTGTGTGTATGTGTGTGACACAGAGAGAGAGAGAGAGAATAAATACATCAGGTTCCAAACTTGTATCTGCAAACAGAACTATAGAATAGAATAAAGAGTCCAGAAATAAATCCTCATACATATGGTCAAATAACCTTCAATGAGGATGCCGAAACCATGCAATTGGGAAAGGACAATCTCTTCAATGAATAGAATTAGGCAAACTGGACATCCATGTGCAAAAGAATGAAGTTGGACCCTTATTTTACACTATGTACAAAAATTAACTCTATTAAGGTTCTAAATATAAGGTCAAAAAGTATAAAACTCCTAGGAAAAAAAAACAGGGGAAAAGCTTCATGACATTTGACTTGGCAATGATTTCTTGAATATGACACCAAAAGCATAAGCAACAAAAGCAAAAATAAACAAATAAGACTACATTAAACTTAAAAACTTTTGTGAATCAAAGGACACATCAACAGAGTAAAAAGGCATAAAAAATAAATAAAAAATAAAAAATAAAAAAATAAATAAATGAAAAAATTAGAAAATTTAAAAATTAAAAAAATAAATTAAAAAGAAAAAAGTAATAAAATAAAATAAAATAAAATAAAGGTAGCCTACACAATGGAAGAAATAGCTGCAAATCATATATCTGATAAGGGGTTAATAACTAGAAAATATAAAGAACTCCTCAACTGAACAACAAAAAATCAAATAACCCAGTTTAAAAATGGGCAAAGGACTTGAACACACATTTTTCAAAAAATGATATACAAAGAGCCAACAAACATATAAAAAGATGTTCATTACTAATCATCAGAGAAATGTAAATCAAAACCATAATGAGATACCACTTCACACCCATTCGAATGGCTATTATCCAAAAAATCGGAAAATAACAAGTGTTAGCAAGGATGTGTAGAAATTGGAATTCTTGTGCACTGTTGGCAGAAATGTAAAATGGTGCAACCACTATGAAAAACAGAATGAAGACTCCTCAAAAAATAAAAAATAGAACTACCATATGATTCAGCAATCCTATACATGTCCAAAAGAACTGGAAGCAGGGTCTTGAAAAGATACTTGCACACCCACATTTATTTAGTAGAACTATTCACAATAGCCAAGAGGTATAAGCAACCCAAAAGTCCACGAACAGATGAATGGATATATAAAATGTACATATAATGGAATACAATTCAGTCTTAAAAAGGAAGGAAATCCTGTCATATGTTTCAACATGGGTGAACTTTGAAGACATTATGTTAAGTAAAAGAAGCGAGTTACAAAAAGACAACTCTATGTAATTCCACTTATATGTGTACTAGAGTAGTCAGGTTTATGGAAACAGAGTAGAATAGTGTTACAAGGGGCAAGGGGGAGGGAGAAAAGGAGAGTGGTTGTTTAATAGATATAGAGCTTCAGATTTTCATGATAAAAAATTCTGGAGATCCGTTTCACAAAAATGTAAATATATTTAAGGCTACTGAACTATACACTTAAAAAATGGTTGTCATGGCAAATTTTATGTCATTTTTAATCACATTTTAAAAAGCTGAAAGGAAAACTTACATCTGAAAAAAATACATGTGGTTTTTACAACCACATATATAACTGACTAAAAACAAGTAGACAAGGAACGATGAAGCATATACCGTAGGAAGTCATGCACACCACTTCTGGCCTGACCTCTAACATCCTATGCAGTGTTCTAACCTCGTCCCCTGCAGTGGCAACTGGAGGTTAAGAGTTTCAGATGACAGAGCTACGAAATGGAGGAGGGCCACATAATCCACATTGGACTTTATGAGAGTGAAGAATTAATCTCTATTATCTTTAGGCTTGGAGGTTTCAGAGTTTGTTTGTAACATTAGGCAGAGTTGCACATTTTGAATATTTGACTATCAAACAATTAATTATATAACTTTACTATTTATTAATGTTCACTTCAAAATGACTATATATGGACCATCTCCACATACATTGACAAAATAGGAAGAATATACATTCATTATACAAAGACCCATGTAAAAATGTATATAACTTTATAAATTTATAAACTTACAAAAAAGTTAGGAAATTTTCTCCCTTGATAAACTACTCTCCTGCCATTAAGCGAAAACAAAAGGCCTGTAATCCATGTGCTTCTCTTTTCTGCCTCAGTTACCACAATACATAGAAGTATATTTTACCTCAGTATCTTTTCTCAGTATAAAATTCCACTTAATTTTTCCTCTTTCTTCTTCATTATTCAAATTAGCTTATTTTTTAATCCCTATTGAAATGATTTTTAGTCACACAGCATCTGTGGTATTTCTTATAAAGCAGTTCAAATTGTCTTTGGATACATATATCAACAATCTATATCAATTAATCCATATCAACAATAGCAATTAAGACTTTAGAATTTCTGGTATATATATTACTGTCAACGACTACATAGAAAAATACCCTTAGATTTTACTGCCATTATATTTGAATGTACAATGTAGTAAGAGCAGATACTTTTAGGATATTTAAATTTCCCATTCTTTGAATAAGATCAAGTATATCACATGGTTTTGAATGTTGTACAATATATATAGTCAAGAAGAAAATTTTTCTTACTATTAATAATGATAAAAACATGGTGTTTTGAGTACTAATTATTTCATCATCCAGATTTTTGGGGCTTCTCAAATACATCAAGGACAGCTGTTGAAGAAAAACAAGGGTTACATAAAGTTTCTCTGCTTTATGAATATAAAACTTATAAATATGCCTCCATTGTTCTTGATGTTCCATGGGCCACTGGGGAATATTCTATGAGTTGGGACAAGACTTGTTCTCTAATACTAAAATCTGCTGATGAGCCGACATCCTTCCTTGGTTACAATTTCCGAATCTTTTTGTTTTTTAATTCTATGTAGTGGGGATTTACAAGTGTCTTTTCAGTGGGAGAGACAAAATATAGAACTGTGACGAAGGTGATGGCGTCGGCAGTTCCTCAGAATTCTCAGTAGTGCTTGGTTTCTCCCAGAAGTTCTTAGTAACATCATGCTTTCCTTCCCTCATCAATTCACACACTCTAAAAGCAACTTATGGACACTAAGTGGTATGAAATCAAAAAGCACAATATGTCACATCTCCAATAATTTAGGAAAACCTATATTTAAGCACAATAAGAATTTCAGATTGTCACCAAAACTGAAATGGGAATCTTCCACATCATGCTCAGACTGAGTCTCTTCCCGCTGCATTGTTAGATGGATTTGTCTGCTTCTCTATGAGTATGAATACTGGTCTCAGTGAATTTGACAACTTTCAACTTTATACAGTTTTAAAATCTTATTTTCAGAGCTTATAAACATTAAATAATTTCTAAGTTTTACAAAATGAATCTATTCCAACACTACATAAAGAGTTTTTAATGGGATACATGGTCAAGGCTCACTAGGTGATATTGCTTACTTACCTGTATCACAAATATGATAAATCCAACTAAAGTGTAAAAAGGCATTAAAATCATGGATAAAATCAAGCTGGAGTCTCCAGAAAAAGTTAACAGCAGGATGATAACTGCAAGTATTGAGATCTAGAATAAAAAAAATCCAGGGGTATTATAATTTTGTCGTATTTAATATTTTATGATATTTTCTATGAATAATCTGTTTTCCTAGGAGACATTCCTATTTGCGATTTCCATCTCATTTACCACAATATTGTTAGGCTTTCCTCTTTAAGAAGCATCAAACTATCATTACAAATGAAACACAGGATTTCAATGAAGTCTGACATAAATACTTAAAAGATTTACCACGACCTATAATAATAAAAGAAGGATTCAAACCTGGGGCTGTCTGACTTTAGAGCCCACACATTCAACCACTATTACTTTTACAAGAAGATATTGCATAAGTCAACTGACCATACATCAAGTCAAGGCATAATGTATTAGGTACCAAAACCTCCACATATGAAACAGATAATACAAAAAAAAAACATAAAAAACATTTTCTGAAGGAAAATAACAACAATATAAATTAAAATAATCTAGGGGTTCATTAGCTTATTTTATAACCTTTTATCAGAATCTCCTCAAATATTTACTGGCCATAGCACTTATATTAAAGATATTGCTTGAATTAGTCCATTTATCTTGTCTCACCCATCAGAAAAATAAAAGAAATCCTTTCATTAACTCTTCCTTTTGGCAAGCAACAATAGCAACGATACGTTTTAAGGAATAGTGAAACGCTTCTCGTTTCCACTTCCCCATTCTATATTTACTCTTCCATCTGCTAGAAACTAGTCTATATTCACTGCTTTATACCACTGCAGTGTTAAAAGTCAGCTGTGGACTCCTATATGTTAAAATATGGAAGAATAGGTACCCTAGTGGACCCACACCATACAAATAAATAGGGAAGTTAACAAAAGTCCTTTAAATGAAGGGCTAGTCTCAGAAAAAAAGTGAGGGAATTCTTCAAGGGCACATACAAAGCTCGAAACCTGACGTGGATCATTAAACTACTGGTCCATTACTTGGACCAGTAAACACTAAATCTGAGCAGCATGAGATGCCTACTCCGGCGCAGGGGTAAGGAGGCTAGGACTGAGGCCCTCCTTAAGGCCTCCTTAAGGCCTTTCCCTGCAAATACCTCCAGGGAAACATGACAAAACCCTCTTTATGCGTGTTTCTTACAAATCTCATATTAAGGCATGGTACTTTAAAAATGGCTTATGCAATCCTAGTTAATTCTATACTGTCAATTCTTATAAAAGTAACTGAAAACTCTTTGGGGATGAAAACATCTCCAATTTAGGATCTGGGAAGTTCCATACTTAACGGTCAACCAAATATGAGCTACCAATAAGAAATATATATATCAAACATACAAGGTAAAAAGCCACAATAAATGTGAATCAGGCGTGGGAAAAAATAACAAAGTAAAACTATTGAAGACTTTAGATATTAGATTGTCAAATAACAAATACAAATATTATTTTCAATTAAATGTATAAGGAAACCGAATGTGGAGTGAAAAACACAAGCAAGTAACAAAAAACTAAGAGGAACAACTGGGCATATTTTAAATAGAACCAGATATAGTTTTGGAAAATAAAACTGAAATTTCAAAAATCAGTCAAAGACTAAAGATAATTTAGACACAGCTTAAGCTTAATAAAAAACAAGTGAATTGGGAAGAAAGTCTGAAACATTTCTCAGAATGCAGCAAGGACATGAAAAATTTTAACAAAATGTTAAAAGATATGGAGAATAGACTTCATTAACAAAATGAAATTATTTTAATATCTGAAATGGTCAGAAAGCTATGGTATCTGGTCGAGATGTCAAAAAGGCATGGGGAAGGAAATACAATAGAGAATTTGGCTTAAAGTAATAAATTCATTTATTGTTTAAACTTTTCCACGCTTATTTGCTTATGTTATTAGTCAATATGGCCACCTAACACTTTTTTTTTTTAAATAAGGAGAATTATTCAGGAAGAAAATCTCACTGAGTTGAAAGGCTTGGGTTCAAATCTGATTCTCAGTTTTGCCCACTCTGTAAAACGAGGGACTGTCGAAAATGGCCTAGTCTTTCAGCTGTAACACACCAAGATATCTATAGATATTTTGTCTCTTTACAAAGAAACAAAGGTGGAAAAGAGAAACCATAAAGAACAGATGGAAAATAGGAGAACACCTGAAACCATGAACATAGCCCAATAATGGAAGTAGAAAAGAAGTAACTCCGTTCTAAGAATTCGTACTTAATTTTGCATTTTTAAAAACAAACTTTAAGAAATTTAATATAAATGTGTATATGTCTATATGTTGATACTTACGATAAAAAAACTAAGAGACCAAAAGCCATTATTTTTTCTCCACTTGCGAAAGATGAATGAAATCAGGTATGTGAGGAATATAAGAGACCCTGCACAACCAATTATGCCAACCACCTGCAAACAAGATTAATAGCAAGATTAGAGATGGCAGGTCATGTGTGGGTCGGGTTGTGGGGGGAGGGGGAAAGAGAGAACCAGATTACAAAGCTGTCTAAAGCAATCTTCTCGCATATCTCTTTTGTTAATGATAAAATGTTAATGAAAATGAATTTTTGTTTTGATTCTACTATTTTATTTAACCTGGGGGTGGGGCGGAGTATCACTTACCAGAGCAAATATGAGTCCCAATGAAAGTCTGAGTTCAAAAACCATGAAGCAGTAAATGAAATATATGGAAAGAAGAATCAAGCTGTATAATGGAATGTCCACCAGAGCCTGTCCACACCAGTATGCTGAAGGACAGAGGCCTGAAATCCACAGCTGAGACTGAGCTTTTAGCTGACAAAGAAATAGAAGGGACACAGGAGGGATTGAAATCTTTCATAGAAAAAGAATTCTGATTTTTTTTGTGTGAAAATGTTAATTTTTAATAAATTTTAGAAATCATATGTTGTTGGGAAGTTAGGGTTTTTTTTTCCAGTCTGTTACTTTATACAATGAATCTGAGCTTCAGTGAATTTCTAGCCCAGGTTTAAGGAAGCAGGCCTCAGGTAAACTAACACACTAATACTGTCCCAGTGTCTTTGACTAAATAAGTGACACCCAATGTGGGACTGTACAGCTATTGCAACAGGAAAGTCTGGCCTATTTGTAAAGCTGATTTACCCTTTAGTATAGATAAATAAAAATGACTATATCATAAATTTTTAAAGGCCAATTTATAAAAGCCTAGTTAAAAGTTTGCAAATATACTCCATGTTATACTTAAAAACACAAATTCTCTTTGGAATTGTGAAGTAACAACATGTAGTCAAAAAGTAGATTTTCATTTCTTAAGTCATTTTGTATGAGGCAATTTTACTGTGTTAAGTAGTGACCTTGCTGACCTCTTTGACGCCATGATTAAGCATTTGCTAGACTCTATAAGGAGATTAAATGACATGATTTATGTGGAAACACATTTTTCTTGAGGGCAATCCTGTGTTTGTAAAACAATGAAATTGTAATTACTAAAGTCAGATAAAATCATTCATTCATTCTCCCCTCCTTACTCCCTGCCTCTATCTCTCCCCTTTCATTCTCAATTTCCTTCACCCTCTCCCTTCTCATTCTCCCTGTCCATCTCCTTTTCCCCTCTTACTTTATAATCGCTGATGCTGCTCATGCCGATGTAAGGAGAAATGCAGTTTGCAAAGAGCAGCATAAGTAAGGGCACGCCCAAAAAACCATGTCTCAGTACTAGGTCATCCTGGAAATTCAAAACACATCTGTAAGCTATTGAAATTGTTATAAATTGTACAATTATACATTGATATAAGTTTTTTTTGTTTTGTTTTGTTTTGTTTTTTAGGGAGGGAGTTGGGAAATGGTGAAAAACTCAGAATGGAAGCATACTCCTGATTTAAGAAGGAAAGAGAGAAGCAGATATGTTTTGTTACCCTGTACAGCAGGTGCCATTCCCTGGAACTGCACATCAAAAAACTTCACAATCTGAATTTTATATGCACATATTTAGAGGGCATGAGCAGTTTCTCTTTCATATTTGCATTTAGTCATTGTTAAATGATGACAGATACTATTTGGAGCTACACTTAAAAGTCTCTGAAGCATTGAGCTAAATAAGCTGACATATGTTCCAGTTCTCTATGTCCAAGCAGATGAATTATAAACAAGAGCATCTAAAACTCTAACAGTAATTGTCTTGAAGCTGTTCTTATGTTCCTGTTCCTACACACAAGATATAATTAGAAGAGAGACAATCCTGTATAATTTCTTGACTTCTAGAAATGTTTAAATTAAATAATCTTTAAGGCACGGAGGGGGCTTACTATAAATCTAAGTTGTTTTCCAGACCGAGTATTTATTACTGTTATAACAAGAGACTAAAACACAATAGACTAAAAACTAAAGTTGGCATTAATCTTATTGTGAAATCTTCCAGTAAAATTTTATTCTCCACAACTATTATGCATGTACTTGCAAAAATCTATCCAATTTTTATAATTTTTCTTTTTTAAATCTACCATAATCAAACATACTTATTAGCAGTTATTTTTGAAGGCCGAGAAATGGTTATTAAAATTATGTATGATCAAAAATTACATTGCAACCCACAAGATGTAAAACATATAAAAGCCAAGACCCAAAAAGGCAATATAGATTTTAAAATGATAGAGAAAACACTATAGAACTATTAAATAATCTTAATTTTAGGGCTGGACCATACATTCACATAAGTATTACTGCAGTGCATAAATACACCTTCCACACTTGCTTTGATTACTGTATACGACATATTCAGCAAATTCCTCCAGGAAAACTGACATAAAATTAAGGATTTGAGTTTAAGCCTTCTCTGGTGTTCTACATTTCCAAGCAAATTCATTCAACCACTGATTTCAGCAAATGTGTATTGGGTACCCAGCAAATGTGAAGAACTATTCTAGACAGTGAACCAAACAAAGCTAAAATTATGATTCTTCAACAGCCCTTTGGTTTTTCTCTGTCATTTACAATTTTTCAGTGTCCTTTTGGATCTTGGCTCTTAATATTCTATGCTTTAAGGAGGTAGGTGTAATTTTTGGTCAGACAAGACTTTAAACCAGAGGGGTGAGGCCAATGATAAAATACAACACTATCGTCTATCAAGTAGCAATAAATGTAATCGAAAAATATATATCAGCATAAAGAATAGAAGATAATAGGTTACATTAATGTACTAAGGTAAAAAATTTTATTATACATTTAAATTTTTTCCATTAAAGTTTTTAATTTAAAAAATTTATTGAGTCTAAACATAAAATTAAAAATTCTTGATCTTTCAGAATAGTAATAGCAAACATGTATTGAATGCTTACTCTCCCCGCTTACAAGAATGTAAGCTCCAAAGGATGGGATTCTTGTCTGTTCTGTTTATGCTCTTTCCCCAGCACCTAGAAGTACCAGGACATGGTAGACACTCAAGAAGTATGTGTAGAATGAATGAAAAAAGTATGTCAGGCTTTGTTCTAGGCACTTAGTAAATTCACCTAATCCTCGTAATAATCATGTAAAGTAGATACTACTATATTTCTTATTTTACAAATGAGGACACTGAGGCAAAGAGTGGCTAAGAAATTTGCTAATAAATAGCAGAAGCAGGATTCAAACTCAAGTAGTAGGCTCTAGAGTCTTTGCCCTTTATCCCTCTGCTATATTGCCTCTTATTTAAGTCAATGTGATACTTACCACAGGAAATGTGCTTCTCTCTGTTTTAATAAGCTCTGTATAGTTAAAAATTCCTAGAAGGGCATTGCTAACAATTCCCATAAGAACGGGAAAACAATTCATTCTCTTGGTATTACATGCAACTGAAAATCTGTAATCCTTTAAAAAAAAAAAAAAGGCACACAGATATAAGTTCTAAATTCTTAGAGTAAATGTATTTTTGTATATTTTACATATTACCTGGGTGAGAAGGAGACTATTAATTTTTCCATGACACTCTGCCTTTTTGAATTGCTATAAGAATGCATTACTTTTGTAATCATAGTAACTTATTCTGTTAATGAAATAGACTAACATTCACTAACATGGAAAGATGTCAAAAATTTAGATTTTATGTGACAAAGAAAGTTGCAGGACTCCTCTAATACTATTCTAATTTAGGAAATATGTATTATTTTCTAACTAATAAATATATTTTATTATTCATTCTACATATAGTAAGTTTGTTTTCATAAAGGAAAAGAGTGTAGAAGATTTTTACCAAACTATTAACAGAAATATCATATGGAAAAATAAATGAATGAAATTATGGAGAAAATTTTATTGTCTTTATTATAAACCCTAGTAATGTTGGAATTTATTAAATACGCATTGCTTTTTTTAGCTTTATTGAGGTATAACTGATAAATAAAATTGTAAGCTATTTAAAGTACATCATGAAGACTTGATACACATACGTATACATTGCAAAAGGATTCCTCCCATCTAATCAATTAACACATTCATCACCTCACGTGTGTGTGTATATATACATACAAATATATATGAGAACATTTTTGTTCTGATCTCTAGCAAATTTTAATTATACAAGTGTTATCAACTATAGTCACCATATTTTATATTAGATCCTCTGACCTTATTCATCTTATAGCTGACAGTTTGTATGCTTTTACCAACCTCTCCCTATTTCCCCCATTCCCCAGCCCCTGGCAACCACTTTTCTACTGTTTGACTTTTTTTTTTAAGATTCTTCATATAAATGATACCATGCAGTATTAGTTTTCTCTGTCTGGTTTAGTTCACTTAGCATAATGCCCTCAAAGTCCAACCAGTTGTCACAAAACATGCACTGCTTTTAAAATAAATGAATTCACTAACAAAAAATGATGCCTTTAATTACTGAGGATAAAAATGTGTCCTTTAAAGGATTAAAATTTCATGCCTTACTCAAAAAGGGCCAAGGTGGCATTCTGAGTTATGCTGATACAGAATAGTTGAGTTGCTTTCCTTATTTTTAAAGTATAAAAATGTGGCAAAAACCCACTCATGATAAAACAGTACGTGGAGGCAAACATACCTTCTGGTCACCAGACACTATGATGGCTCCATTGTAGGATGGATCGTCTGAGCCATTTCTATTTCTAAAGTCATCTATATCCAAAACTATATCCTGATGCTTCAGTGACTGTATGAAATCTTCAATATCCGAGTCTAATGTAGTCAGTGAAGGAAGGCAGTGTTAAGGCAAAAAAAATCAACATCAAAGTTTTAAAATAAGCATGATTTCCTCTCACGTTAAGGAATACCCAGAACGACATGGTAAAGACTCTCACTCTGTAAGAATATAATGAAATTCATTCTGATCCTGAGATATTGGAATCCAGTCTACCATCTTCAGTGTAAGAGACTCTTTTCAGAAAATGTTAATTTACCTTGTAAATCTTATAAAGTAAAAAAAGAGTTAATTCCTGAGAGTTAGATTTGCAATTGTTCTTGCTTTGGTAGCACATATACTAAAATTAGATTTGCAATTGTCACAGATATAACGCATTTTACAAGTGACTTTTATAAACATTGCAAAGCCTTATAATATTTGTAATTACAAACAGTACATACAAAATACATATCTCATGACCCAGGCCTGTTCTAGTGATACACATCAGTCCTGCTCATTAAGTAATCTGCTAAATCTCACCAACTTTGCAATAACGTTTATGAAATCAAGTAAACTTGATATTTTCCATTATGTGCACTATTTTTCTTGATTTGAAAATAAAGAGTGCTGGACACACACCATTTTTTCCCTATTTTCCCTCAAGTTGTTTTTAACAGGCCTTTTTGTGTCTCAGGTTTGTGCTTTCTAAAGGTCTTTGATGATAAAAATTAAGACTAAATGTCAGGCCTATTTCTCACCTGTATTATTGATGACCAACAGACTGGTAAGAGGAGTATGCGGGAGTTGTTCCAGAGAAAGGAAATACATACTGGATGAAAGCTCCCAAGAATGAATTTGGTAAATTATCATTTGCATTATCTTCTCGAAAATAGTGGGGATAAAAGCAATTACAAGTACCAGTAATCTAAATAAAAGAAAATTAAAATGTGAGTCTAAAATATTTTCTCTCTGATTATTTAAGTCATAAGCCTGCTATATAAAAGGCAACTTATGGAAATTCAACATACAAATATGGTGTTTAGTTACATAAAATAAAACTGAAAGTAAGACTAATCTAAAGATGGACTCAAACTTCTGCATCATCATTCATATCATAGTGCAAGGCATCCAAGAATAACAGAACATCAAGAGAAGGTAAAATCCAGGGTGTCCCTCTGTGGGCTTGCTGGTTAACCAGGACAACGTGGGAAGTGGTTTCATGGTAGACCAGGAGCCTCAAACAGCCTGCCTATGCAACTTTAAGGGGAAAGAAACCCTGTTTCACACTGTGACCTCAAGCTTGCAAAGAACACAATTTTAAGTAAAATTTTAACTCTCATTAGCTGTTAAAATACATACATTTTAATTTTTGTGAAACTAGAGGCAATATTTAAAACATTATTTTCAGACTTGAGAACTCATTCCACTGATTCAAACTACAAGTGAAATACTTTCAAGCAATCCTTTGTTTCTCTAATAAGTCTGTGAATTCACTCTGCTATGACTACTTTCTCCCTCACTCAGCCTCACATAGGCAACCTTCCTCTCGTTCCTTCTTTCCATTATAACCAATGACACCTCTGTTCCAGTCAAGACCAGTCCTTCCCAGTACTGCTCTGAATCCAGTCCCTTGCCACCCTCCTTCAGACATTGCTAAGTTAGCTCATCTTCAATTATTTTCATTCTACTGGCTTATTCCCATCCTCACTGAAACATGTTCTAATATCTCCCGCTCACTAAAAAAAAATGAAATTCCTCCTACTTTCACTCTCCCTTCAGCTATGCTCCCATCTTTCTACTTCCCTTCATCGTCAAGTTCCTCGAAAGCCTTGGCTGCCTTTGGACCGTCTCTTCATAAAACCTTCACGACCTCCCTTTTGCCAAGTAGGAAGATTTGGCAAAATAATACATGACTTCTGTTCTGAGCTGTTATTCTCTCCTCTTACTTCATGTTTTCTAATCTTGACCATGTCAATGTGGCTAGCACTGACCACTCTACTCAGAATTGTAATGAACTCCCGAATCCCACCAGCAATCCCCATCCCCTTACTCTACTTTGTATAACCTACTATATAATTCGGTTTTTATATTTACTTTTTTTTTTTATCTTTCCCCTAACCAGAAGGTAAATACTACGAGGGCATGGATTTGTGCCTTTTATGCTCACTAATATAACCAAAGCACCTGGAACAATGCCTAGCACATAACAGGCTTCAATAAAGACTGTGATATAATTAATAATTAACATATTTAATGGATAATTATTTAATTGGTATTTTTCTTCCCCACAGATGGTAGGCCTAAAGGCCGTGTCAGTTGTGTTCACTACTGTAGGATAGTACTATAAGCACTCAAATTTATTAAATAAGTGAATAAATTATCAGACTTATTTTCTTATTTGAATCTTTTTTGCAATATATTGACTAAAGAGATTTAAAGTAGTCTGATACTTACAAGGACAAAAGAACTTCGCTCTCGTGTGTTAACTTTAAGAAGCGAAGCTTTGCCACTCCGCAGACCTGCCGTATCCAGAGAGTTCCATTACTCACATCAGTTCTCAACCCAGGAAGAGAACAAAGAGCCTGTTGCATTTCTGACTCAATGCCAGTATCTCTTGTCACATCGATTTTCTCCTGTTTCTGAATGCCAAAATCTATAATCATGTAATAAACCATTATAATAAGCTATGTTATTTGTATTTTCTCTTTAGACATTTTGAAAATTCTGTTAGAATATTTGTAACAACACCTCTAATAAGTTATTGATATTCATAAGTCTTATATTCCTGCAAATGTAATGGATCTGATTTTAATGAGTAAAATAATTTCTGAGCATGGTTTACGTCTCTTGGGAAGCATTTATTCTACCACACCAATAGCAGCAGCTCCCCATCCAAGGGAATTTTGCAGAGTGTTATATAAAAGTACCAGCATAAATTTCTGCAGTCAAGTTCTAAAAGCTGAGTTTCTCTGTCCTCTGAAACCTCCACTGGATTAGTTTGTCACTGATGACTGCCATCCCAGTGACCACTTCAAGACACTGTGGTTTTAAGTAACAGGAAGCTGGAAGATCCCCTGCTCAATTCCAACATATACCACACATTAGCTGTGTGGTTTCGGCTAATCACTCAATTTCTCTAAATGTAAGTTTCGTCTCCTACATCATGAAGTTACTATGGGAACCAAGAACAATATAACCCAACAGCTGAGTACAATGGTTGACACATAATAGACTCCTACATTCTTCTAATTATTATTACAAAGTAAACTAAGGGAAGATAATATCTTATTTATCTGTTAATACATTAACTAGAATTAGTTCATTAGCTAAGTAAGAATATATTTTTTGTAAGGAATGGACAAAGCCAGAATTCATGCCATTCTCAGACAGCTATTGATGATAAGGAGAAGTGGGCATTGCAAAGGGATGTAACTGTCACTGACATGAGAGGTAAACAGATATCATAAAGTAATATCCCTAGCAATAAGCCTGATTATATTAGGTATAAAATAATTATGATTCTTTAAAAGTGGAAAATCCTACTTTAGATCTACATAAAAATCTACAAATATCAATTCATACATGGTCATTTTCTCTTTTTCTTTTTTTAAATTTTCTGCTAGACACACATTTTTATACCTGGCTTCTCAATTGCTGAATTGCCTTTTAGGTTCAAAAATACTTCATTCAGAGTTGTCATGGAAACACCATAATTCATTATCCCTTGGTCAGAACATTTATCAAGGTCATTGTAGAGATCTAAAACACAGAAAAGAATAATGTGATGCAATTAAAATTGGTAATGAGTACACTAAAACACTAATTCTTAAAAATTACTCAGGATAAATCTAAAAATATTTTCATATTAGAGCTGCCATAATAATTCAAGAAAAGCCTTCTCATAAAATGTTTTCTTGCCCTTCAAATCAATTTTATTATTTTACATCTCTATTTTCTCTCACAAACTTTAAAATTACTTGTATCACTAAGGCCACATGTGTGTTTTGTATAAACATGTATCTGTATGTCTATTTAAAAATTCATTAGGCATGGGTAAATTATATATTTTCTTCTCTGTCTTTTCTAATATTTTTATACCTAGCATATTACATTTATAACTAAATTATAATTTACAAAGACCCTATTAAAGTGTTTAACCAATAAGGACTTATTTAATCTGTATCTCTATCGAAATTAAGGTTTTGCTATTTCAGAAAAAAGATGTTTCAAAGAATCATTTAATGCTAATGAAGAGCAAATCTGGGTTTCCTAGCGAAATACATTTGTAGGAATTTTAGTTGCTCTTACTAAGATCTGTTAACACACTTCATCACATTGGCAACGGGAGACAGCATATTTATGAATAATTATTTTCCTGAGTATAAGCTTTAAAACCTACTGATAGAAAATGAATTAGCACAGTCTTGGACTTTTAGCTGTATTCTATATGGTCATACAGTAAGTTACCTGAAAATCTGTTTGTTCTTTCCAAGGGCAAACTATACACAAGTTTTTCTTCACTTTTTGCTGTTAGCTTGGCATCGGGGATGTGCTGTCTAATGAGGGATGTGATTCTCTCTGGATTACACATTTCATTCCTGTGCAAACTAATGTTTCAAAAGAAGCATAAGCCTTTGAATTCTTCTCCAACACCACTGCTCATGAAAAGACAGCTTTTGATTAAATAATTTGTATATATTACAGGCATATCCTGCTAACTTCAATAATTACTTCCCACAAATCAGATGTTCCACTTCAAAGTGCTAAGTGGTAGTCTCTTTTCCATTATTTCAGATGAGAAAAAAATACAGTGTCAACCCCAAACTCTCAGCCAACTTCCTAAAAGGTAACTAGAGCAAGCTGAAATTTCATTTACTGTATATACATACATGTGTGCATGTGTGCATGTGTGTGTGTGTAATATGTGTAGATAGGTTAGCATGTAAACAAATATATAAAATCATAATTGGATATAAAGTACATGAAATATTGCTCCTGGATCACTGAAAAATTAATAAGTATTTTAATAAACAGTTGCTTTCTATGCAGCAAATGGCTTCTCTTAATGCCAACAACTCGTTTCTTAATATGTCATGCTTTCTACAATATTCCACGTGATATTCTGACATTGAGCAGACTGAGAAATGTAAGTAGATTCGGAGTACAATTTCATATTCTTAGGGCAAACTATTTCATTTAAAATAATCACTTTCTTTTTTGGGGACATAAATATAAATTTTTCTTATATAAATATTGGCCAGAAAATGTTATACTGAAAGAAGCATCTACTTTTAGAAATTTGCATGCTTAAAACCAAGATATAACCCACAAGGAAAATGTTAATGAAGGAGATATTTTGCACTGTTTATTGGAAATCAATTTCTACCAAATACTAAGTTGACTTTCTTAATATCTCTAAAAGATTGCATGAAATGTCACCCTACATATTGATACGCTCATATTAAAAACAGCTACTGCCAGAATACATTACCTTAAATGATATCCGATACCCCATTTTCGCTTCAGAAACAAAGATGACCCTGCACATTTCAATTTCCCTTTAGACAGAAACACTTTCCTGTCTGAGCAGAAAAAAAGAAGTAAATTGTGAATTCCTTCTATGGGTTTATCCTGTACCCTGGAGACCAAAGCACTGAATGAATTTTTCAATACAAATGCGATCACGATATAGAGCTCCTGTGTGCAACATCAGCTCTCCTTCCCGTGCCTACCTTGAGGCAGGACATGAGTTCACTGCATCTCTTGCAGCTGATCCAATGGCATAAAACACTGCAAGAATGGCCCAATTCTTCAGCTCTCCTTTATCCACACACTTTGTTATGTAATAAGCAGTGTCCTCTCACTATGGGCACAGTTACCCACTCCACCCCTTGATATCACTATGTGAATTGCTTTGGCCAACGGAGTGTTAGCAGACACTGAGAGGCAGAGGTTTGAAAAGGGCTTATGCATTGAGACTTGCTCTCTTGAGCCCCAGTCACAGCCATGAGAATGCCTGGGAAAACAAAACATAGCTAGAGCGGGGCTCAGTCACCTGATTCATCCTAGCCAGCAGCTACTTGACCACCAGACATGTAAATGAACCCAGTCAAATACCTGAAAATCTCTGTAGGTGAGCCGATCTAAATTGCCGACTCTGTAACTCCTGCACTAAGTAAATGCTCACTGATATAAGGTGCTGAGTTTGGGGGGTTTATTATATAGCATTACTGAGGTGGGAAATTACTGGCACAAGAAGTGAAGTATGCTTTACCTCAGTTCCTGGAAGAAACTTAGAATAGTATTATATTGCACATCAAACAGCAAAAATTTCTCTTCTTTTCCCTGAGTCCCTTTCTATTTTTTCCAGATATATCCTTCACACACTCTCCTGGCTTACTGAAACTAGTCTCCCCCACCTGCCACTATTCCCTAGGCAAAAACATTTGTTCTATTACTAATTCCCCAATCCTGCGTCTTCGCACTCAACACCTCACTCAATGGACAAAGAATCCTCCTAAGAAGGCAACAAAGGGTTGTAAATTTTAAAACATTTTTTTCCCAGCTAAAAGTTTTCTGTCCAACAAAAAACTATACATGAAAGGTAATATTTGAGTTTCAAAATTTTAAAAATATACTTGTGGTTAATGTAGACAGTCAAGAAAGTTACAGACAAGAAGATATATGAAGTATGGGTCTAAAGAGCTCACTGGGAGCTTAGAATTTTTCTGAGGCTAAGTGCATCTTTAGCATAAAGTCACTCAAATGGATAGCAAACAAGATTCTCTTCTTTTAAAAACAGATCACTGAGATTATCTCTATAGTAAAGCCTTATGCAACTAGTTAGAATAAGGAAACCAAGAATCACCAGCCAAGATGTCAGCCTCATCCATGAACTGGGTACTAAACAGGATCATATGGTTTGTTTTACGCTCCCTCAGGAGGTTCCAAACTTGGTGCCTTGAAAAAGGATCCAATCCAGCAGTTGGTTCATCTAGTAGCAAAACCTACAGAGGAAGAAATGTATAAAAGCATCTTCTACTTCAAAGTGAGGATCTTCCAAAAGTAGCATGGAAATCAATATGATTTCTAGATTCAAATATAATCCTCCACCATAACCCTAACAGGCTTGCACAGTCCTTTATTATAAACTCTCACATTTGGTAATTAGAGTTTAAACTTTAATAATAGTTTTATATCCTTCAATCCAAATTAATCTCAAAAAATGTATTTTCTCTCACCTGAGGATCTCCTAAAATGGCAATCCCAAATGTTAGTTTTCTCTTCTGTCCACCACTTAATTTTTTAGCAATGACATCTTGAATGTTTTGTATGTCTAATTCCATTATAACTCTTTTTACCTATTAAAAAAAAGAACCCTACGTTAATACAAAACATTTTACTTTAAGCAGTCTTAATTCTCTAACGAATTTGAAAAAAACTCTTCTAGAACTTCGTTAAGATTTATTTATGAAAGAGTAAAATAATAGTTAAACAAAAATATGGTCAGGAGTAAATTAAGCAAATTACTTCCAAAGCTATCAGTTCTAACATCTTCACCTACCTCTTGTTCCACTTCCTTTGGCTGAATCCCTTTTATTTTAGCAAAGAGCCTGAGGTTTTCTCTCACAGTAAGAAATTCAAACTGAATATTGCATTGTGGACAAAATCCAACTTTCTTTCTTATTTCTTCCATTTTAGTTATTTCAGAAAGTGTGGTATTATAAATAGCAGCTGATCCTGTAAACAGAAATTTTAGAGTATTTAACAATTGGATAGTAACTCTAGCAGAGTGGTAATACAGGATATTAGCTGAAGAAACTTCACATTTAATAATTGCATAATTAATACAGAGAAAATTCATAATTAATACACAGAGAAAAAACATAGTGTCCACAGCAAAAGTACATATGGAATGACAAATAGTGAAATAAAAATACAAGCTTTCTCATGAATTTATATAAATATAAAATATTTCCTTTTCTAAATTGCTTGATTGTATAAAAGTCCTGCTTTAAAGAAACATTTCTCTTTTATATAATTAGATTGTGAGTCTGCTTTATCAGCCAACTTGTTTGTAAAATTATTTTCTCACCTTCTGTAGAAACAGAAAACCCACTGAGAATGTTTAGCAGTGTTGATTTACCAGCTCCACTATGTCCAAGAATTGCAGTGACTTGTCCTTCATAAATGTCAAGATATATGCCTGTTTTAGAATAAAATGTGAAAATCAGACTTTGGACTATATTCAGATCAAATGGACTTTCAAAAACTTGGAAGACTAAAATGTAACTCAGCATTTCATTTCATTGGTGTTTGAATACATCCCCCATAAAACTGTAATTTAATTTTGTCTATTTATAAAGACAAAGCATCAGTTTCCCTGAAGAAATTGAATCAAGACTGGGAATGTACTTTCTACCCTCCTTCCTACCCCAAATCCTTCAAATGTCAAGGGATATATATATTTATTATTCAAGAATTGAACAAAGGCTACCAGGAATTAAAACGGTAAACAGAGTACTTGCATCCTGGGCAAAGGAAAGCAGTGCAACTAAAGAAACAGTCTCTCAGAAACTTCCAGAGCTGAAGACATAGGTGCCAGGCACAGAGTCAAAGGGGAGTTTATTCCATCTTAGGAGGGACGGAGGGTGGGTTAAGGAGAGGATGATACATTTCTCCTGGCATTGGCCATTGTTCTGTTTTGCATCACAAAAGTGTGGGCATGGTCCCTACAGAGATCTGCTGTGATCCAGGACATGTCACAGGTATTTTTATATATGGGTGCTTAGTAATTAATAACTTTTTCTTTAATACATGAAAAATTATCTAATGTCATTGGAAAACAACAAACAGTTCTATTAGCATCCCAGAAATTTTAAGAGATTCTTGAAGACAGACAATATGAACTTATATTATCAGAGAACAAAAAATAAGGCCCAAAACAGGTAATGAAAAGTTCTATGAAAGCAAAAACAATTCCAGTGATACTCCAAGCTCAGTATGACAAATTTAGGTTAATGATTATAAACTAGCAGAAGTAGTAACATCCTATTTTTTTAAAAGTATTTTATATACGTACATATATAGAAAAAATAATATATTATTGGTGACTATCTTTCATAATGAAAATTTTTCCTTTTTATCGCTATTCATTCTCTAATTTTCACTATGACTATCTGTATTTTCAGACAACAACAAAAAAATTAATTAAAAACATCATTGAAACAATGTTTTTTCTTTACCTTGCAACGCTTCTACTTTTCCATGCTTTCCATTATATTCTTTTTTAATATTTCTGATTCTGAAAGAAGAGTAAGCAACTTTGAGTAAACACATTTCCTAATAACATCGATTATGTTAAGTGCCAGCACTGCCAGTCATGACGGAACCGAAACTTCACAAGGTGGGGTGTCGCCCTCTTGATGGGATCCAGGAGGGCAGCAGTGAGAGCCCAAACCGCCCCCCGAAGAGGTCTGCACAGACCTGCTGATACCCTTATCAAGCTTGGCTTTTCCTATTTTCCCGTGATTTCTCTAAGTTAGCAAATGAAGGGAAAGTTACAATTGAAAGGATAAAAGGAGCGAAGGAGGAAGGGAAGGTGACAGGCTTTCCCTCAGTCCTGCACCCTTCTCTAGTTATCGTTCAATTAGTCTTCTCTTTCACAGGCAAATTTATCAAAATAACAGTCTCTACTCTTTGTTTCCAGTGATTAATGAGAAAAATTTAGGATGATGGCAGCGGAATACCTGAAAGAAATGAACTTTCAAAAAACACATCATCTATAACGATATTTGACCTGTGGCTGACCCTGTGGCAGCTTACTTTCTTAAGCTTTTATCTCTAAATGTACATATAAAGTCACATAATTTGTTGGTTACCTTATGGCTTCTTTTCCATGGAACTCTGGAGACACAGGTTCGAAAGAGTCATCAGAGGAATGCTCGGGACTTATTTCATCCTCGAAGTCTTCGTGATGAGTATTTTGATGTCGGGACCAAAACGAAGACTTTAGGAAAAACAATGGTGAATGCCAATGGCCATCTTCATCTAATCAATCAAGACACAATTATATATTGAATCAATAATACTACATCAGTAAAGAATGACTTCTGTCCTAGTGTGGCTTGATATCAATTTTAAATTTAAGTTATTCTATGGGAATTTATGTTTATAATGTTAAAAGTAAAGTATTACAGGAATATTAAAGTGAAGACAGTGTTTGACCTTTGATAAATTCTCAGCTCTGCTTCATAAAAATAAGAGCTTATCAAAGAAGATAAAGTTTAGCTCTAGGAAACTGTATCAAATAAGAACTTCTCACTCTTGGGATTTCCAGACATTTGGATGCTTAAAAAGAGAAGTTGTGTAAGCTGATTTCTGCAACTGTGTATAAAGAAAAAAAAATTTGATAATACAGGAAAAAATTTTGGGAATAAGCAGTATAGCAATCAGTACAAATCGAAAGTCAAACTTTTTCAAAGCTCTAAGAATAAATTAATAAAAGTAGAAAAATTAAGTTCCTAATACCAGAAAGGTAGACGTAAGGCCGAATTACTGTTGGCATCTAGTAAAAGATTTTAAAAAGGAAAAAGATTAAAATTAAGGGATCAGAGTGAGAAACACAGGAAATTTTAAAATTCAAAAGAAAAATGAAAGAAACACAAATCAAGCTGTTTCTGCCATGTCTTTGTTATATTTTATGTATTTTTTTCAACCAGATACCCAGATAATTCTTTAATTTTCTATGACCTCATGAAATTATTCAAGGATTTTATTAAGAGATAGTTCATAGCATTCCAAAGCAGAATGGACTGTACATATATAATCAGTTAAAAATTGTTTTGAAAGTTAAATGAACTTCCATTTTAATGGTAAGAAAAGAGAATAGAAAGTTCAGCTATGGATCTATAGAATCGAAGAAAATGAGATGTTATTTTAAAGATGTATCCACAAAACATGAATTTATTAGTGATAAGTGGAGGAAATTTAATAGATTTTTAAGAGACTATAGGATAATTGAAACAACAGGGAGTTTTCACATGTAATATTACATTACAAACTGTTACTGAAAGCTAACATAAGGGAATAAACAAGTGAAAAATGTCACTCCAAAAGAACTATGCTGTTTCCCACTGCTGGGCATACGTGCTGCTCCTTTTGACTTATCACACTTCCTACACTATATTTAAATACTAATTTACATAATCATTTCCAATGCTACCCACGAAAGCCTTTAAGACACAGACTGTTGACCCACACTGACTTCAATGAGCAGCTATGTGCTAAATAGGTAGATGAAAACTGATATCTTATAAGTATCCATTTCATAGGAAATTCTTGGTGTTTTGGTTCTGAAAAAGAATTATAAATGCAAAAACATTTATATGTAAAGGTAAAATGTTCTAAAAATGTCATTTTGAAAGATGTTTATAAAACTTTGGATTAAAGAATACATATTGTACCCAAATAAAGGGAAGTGAGATTGAATAAAATTTATGGACCTAAAAAAAAAAAGAAGGAGGAAGAGTTGTTTAATTTGAAGCTGAGGGAAAATAAAGAGTTCATTCTTGCAGTCCTTCAGCAAATCTTTATTGAGAGCCTCTTATGTACCAGGTAGTGTCTAGATGGGAAAACATACATCATTTATCCTGAAGAAAATTGAAATATGAAGACTAATATATGCATTTATGTAATTCACCAGGAATTTACTGAATACCTACTAAGTGCCAAACTGTCCTAGATGCTTGAAGATATCAGTGTAATAAAAAGCAAACATCTCTTCCCTCATGGGGACTAACATTCTAGAAACAAAGACGAGAAATGAGTAATAAATATAACAAATATTGAATTGTATGTAAAAAAAAAGTAAGAGAGCATTAGTTCAGAATTTTATTTAAAGTTTTGGTCCAAATTCTGCTGTGTTCTTGGCCCTGACACATAACCTCTCCAGATCCCTGTTTTGGCATTTACAAGATGCGAGGCCCTTACTAAACACTGAACTCAATACTGATTGGTAAAATTGTATAATTATATGAATACACAGGAACTGAAAGGAAAAATTTGATTTCCAATTTCTCAGATTTGAATATACTTATTGTGCCTTCCCATAAGGAGGGAAGTATTTGGAAAAGAAGAGCAACCTAATTATGAATGAGTGGAAGACTTAACAAGAGAAACTGGAAATTTTGCCTATTACAATACAAATTAAATCCTAGATGTAACTATTGGAGAAAAAAGTTACTTTTAATGTAGAACACCAAAAATTTAGGCAAGGACAAATGTCATATGGCACAGAGTTGTTACAGGGAAAAACTTACTTTGGAGTATTACAAGTTTATGACATCCTCTACTAATTAGAAAGAATTCTGATTTTCCCTACTAGGTTCCTCAGCCTGGAGGCTAAAAACAAATTAATTTGATTTATACTACAAAGGGTAATACATGATGTGGTAAGAGAGAAAACAAGAAATTTCAAAAGGATGAAGACGATGAGAAAATGGAGAATAGTCTAGCCCCAGTTTAGTTGGGGGACACTTGTAAAGATTTAGAGAAAAGAAGTGTTTAAGACCACTGCCATGTGTGTGAATGGGAGTGAGTGTATACACAAGAGATAAGGTCTGGGATTTTAATTTCCATTTTGCATGTCTGAGAAATAACAGAGAAGTAAATTTTTCAATTATTCAGATACCAGAGCACTGATTATTTGACTGTGACCTGTGACCAAGACAAGGACATATGTTAACTTGGTTTTATATGGGTTACATACATTATATGAAACTTTTTGGTTCAAAGAAGAAATTTCATTTAATTTTGAGAAAATCATTCATTCACAATAATTTTGCAAAATAATATTGAAGGCAATTTGCTAAATGCAAAAGAAATTACTTATTTCAAAATGTTATAAAATTAAAAATAAAATTATATTAATGGAACCAAGAGGCATAATTTATATTATATTAAAATAATAGTATAATAGACATAAAGAACATAAAACAAAGTCTAGAGGAAAACTATGAATATTTTTTAAATATAATGCCTGAATTAGAAAACAGATAAAGGAAGAGACCACAATAAATAGAGTTTGAAAAGGATGGAAATATTTAGATTCTGCTATATAAGAAGAATTATGTATGAGTAAAATTTGTGGATTTTATATGGGCAAAATAAAATGTAAGTATACTAGTTCCTGGAATTCTATGTGTATGCTACACATGAATTTTATTATAATTATTTAAGTCATTTGTGGAGCTTATTTTATTAATTTTTATAACACTATATAATACATTCCCATTAGGTTGATCTTCCCACAAAAAGGAAGGAAATAAGAGGTCATCCATTCACTTTATAATGTGTTCCCTTCTTCATATTTTTGAGATTCAGAAGAACAAGTATACTAGAGCCAAATATTAGCAAGAACTATTTAATGAACTATCTTGTCAGTGAGTTGAATTCAAGCACTAAAAAGCATCATTATCCAATAGCTTCCCTCTCCTCAGCTAAAATATAAACGCATGCACACACACACTCACACGCTCATACGCACACATCCTACCTTTATAAAAGATGAAAACCAAAAGAAATGTTATTTTTAATTAAAATGTTTTTACAAAATAAAGCCATTCAGACCATTAAATAGCAACATGAAAATGAAAAATTTCTATTGTTTTCCAAACTTTCTCCTTTCCTTGGCAATCAGAAATGTTTCCCAAATTACAAATATTAAGACATTACTTAAGAAACAGAATTTCTTTAAATGCAACTTTAACCACACTATTACTTACCAGGCAAAACTCGCTCAAAATATAATGTTAAAATCAAATAGAGAAGAGTATCAAATGCCAAAAGGAAGAAAGTAAGTATCATTACATATGACTCTCCAGAGGGATCAGGAAAAATAACACCATTCAGGTAATAATCCAGGTGTGTAATCTGAGATTTAAAATAAATTCAAAGTTGGATGAATCCACTAAACAAAAGTTTTTTAAACTAGTGCTGCCTAGACAAATGTAATTTATATTTTAAAATTCCTTTCTTCAAAAATTCACAGTGAAGTTATTAGTCATAGTGTTGCTGTATATGAAGAGAATTGTTGTAAAAGTGAGAAATGCTACATGAGAAAGCAAAACAATTGAAGAATAGACGTCTAAGTAACTGATTTTCACAGAAGTGTTAAAGAAGGGAATTTGGAGAAGTGGACAAGCAACCAAAAATTACATTCTGGGAAGAGAAACTCAGAGTGGGCAGTGAAATCAGAGGCCATTTAAAAGAAATATAAAAATGCTAAGTATAAGAAAGGTAACTGCAGAAATGTTAAAATATTAAATTAGTATTAAAAACTTGAATAAATTATTTTTAAATATAATAAAGATAATAGAAAATAGAGAGATAATAAAGATAATAGCTGACATTCACATAGCATGTATCAGGCACTGTTCTAGTGATATATACATATATACATATATATGTATATAAATATATATATAAATAAAAAACAACACAGTTTGTCTTCACAATTACCCCCATTAGGTGAGCTCTGCTGACATCCTCATTCTTCAGATGAAGAAGTGAGGCCACAAAAGTCGTGACTTGCTCAAGGTCACCTGGCTGGTAAATGGCAGAGGTGAGACTGACTCATGCCATCTATAACCTCCACATTTTACTTATAACCTCTACATTTTACTGCCTCTTGAAATGGGATCATAAACCAGATATTTCTAAGTGGTCAGATAATGGGCGATTATTTTTCTTCTTTAAATTTTATAAGATTTTACAAATGACATATCTGTTTTATTACTTTGATAAGATTTTTTTGTCCATTCAGCTTTTCAACAGCGAAATTTCTTAAACTACAGCATAACTTGTCATTAAGTTTCATGCAACACTAAATTAAGAGTTTTGAAAATGTTGTAAATAAAATCATGAAATCGTTGTGTTCTAACCTGGGCCATTCCAGCAGAGAAGGCAAAAGGGCTAAAAAGACCTAAAATCCATTCCAAAGATGAAGGAAGTTCTTGATATAAGGCAGTGAATCCCAGACATCCCCAAAATACAGTGAATAGAAACCCAACCAAACCGGTTAGGACAGGTTTCTTTATCAACACACTCAGGAGGAAAGCCAATGCTACCTGAAAGAAGAAAGAGGAGTTCCAATTGGTATAATTTTTCCTTTGAGAATCATAAATAGCAACAGTCATCAATCTCTCACATTGTCAAAAGCTTCTTCAAAGCATATAGAAAACAGGATACAAAGTTAGTGACCATACCAATGGAGGAAGCATTATTCACTCATATATCTGAAACCTGAAACAGATTAAGAGATACATGTTTTGCCAACTCACCAAAGATAGGCCATATAGGATAAAGAGTGTGAATATCACCATGAAGCCAGTAATTATTATAATTTGGATAGATGTTATGATCAGAGCCATAAAAATTGACATAGCAAAGATGAAGCCAGCATATATCAATCCCCAGGAGAGCCTATGGTAGAAATGAAATGTTAATTCAAAATGTCATACACACACACACACACACACACACACACAAATGTTTCGATAGGTAATATGCAAAACATTTAAGAATGTAAGTTCTGAAAGCAAACATATTAGGGTCAAATTTACTACTATGCACATTCTAGCTGTAAGGTCATGGTCAAGTTACTTATCCTTTCTCACCCTCATCTGTAAAATGAGGTTAGTCATGGTAGCTATCTCATGGTTGTTCTAAGGATTAAATGAGATAATGCACATAAAGACGTTAGCTTAGCGATTATTACAATTATCTTTCCAAATGTAAAATGAATTTTAAAATTAACATTGGATATAATCTTATTATTTTAGTTAAGTGACTATCAATGAAAAAGTAGTAATCTCACCTTGTGTAGTAAATAAATGTAACTTGCTTTTACTACTCTTGTGTAGTAAATAAATGTAAGTTGCTTTTATTGTAGTAATCTCACCTTGTGTAGTAATTTTTATTGTACTAATCTCACCTTGTGTAGTAAATAAATGTAAGTTGCTTTTACTACTCTTGTGTAGTAAATAAATGTAAGTTGCTTTTATTGCCACAAATAGCATTTTCATGAATCCTGTAACAGTAAAGCTACGTGATTACAGTTTTCCTATCTCTTTCATGCTTTCCTTACTTAATTTGACATTTTAAAAATCTTTTACTAATTCAAATACCGAACAATCTATTCAGTTGGTTTTTGAAGATAGGGTAAATCTTTCATCTATGAAAAATACTGACTCCTAATAGTTAAAGATATTTTTTGAGAGAGCTGGCCATAGATTGAGTAGGGAGAGTATGGAATATTAAGATTTAAAAAGAAAGGAAATAAGAAAAAAATGCCCATCTTTTATGTTCAATGAATTAATAAGAACATCAGACATAGATAAATTCCAATGGAAGCATAAAAGCATAAACCAAATCAAATACAATTATTTTCTATAATCCATGCTTCTGTCACTTATACACTGCTGGTGGGAATATAAAATGGTATGTCTACTCTGGAAAACAGTTCAGCAGTTTCTTATAAAACTAAACCACCATACAGTCTAGCAATCATGTTGTCGGACATTTTTCCCAGAGAAATAAAAACTTATGTTCATATAAATACCCAAACATGAAAGTTTATAGCAGCTTTATCTGTAACACCTAAAAACTGGAAACAACTCATATCTCCTTGGGTTGAAGGGTTAAAAAACTGAGGTGCACCCATACCATGGACTAGTACTCAGCAATAAAAAGGAACAAACTGTTAATAAATGCAACAACTTGGATGAAGTGCCAGGGAACTATGCTGAGTGGGGGAAAAAAAACAACCCCAAAAGGTTACGTACTATATATGATTGCATTTATATACCATTTTTATAAAATGTCTAAATTATAGAAAAGGTGAACAGATTCATGGTTCCCAGGGGTTAGGGATGGGGAACAGGGAAAGAAGCGTTGAATGTGGTGATAGAACTATTCCGTATCTTAACTGTAACAGTGTCAATAGTGTGATGTGATATCATATGAACATTTTTCAAGACGTTATCATTGGGGGAAATTGGGTAAAGTATACAGAGAATCTAAGTATTTCTTACAACTAAACATGAATCTACTCAAAATAATGTTTTATTAAAAAATTATACTTCCTTGTATAACTAAGACTAAACGATGTTTAAAAAGGAGAGAACGACATATACTCTGTCCGTGAAGATACAACTACAAAAAAATGGGGAATTTAAGGAGAACATAAGGAAAAAAGTATTTTAACTGCTGTCAGTTATCATATTGAAGTAATATTATTAGTACTGTTAGACTTCGTATGTATATTTCTGGATAAAACAAATGAATAATTAGAAATATTCTGATAGTCTCTGTATTTCTCCTAGAGAACGAGAATTCTCAGTGTGTGCAAAAGGAGATACAGTTGTAATATGGGAGAGGTTAAGTAAAAGCCCTAATGTACTACATGAATTTATACTTATGAGTATAAACTCATAAGACATTTATCTTTAATGTATGTATGTTATTTATAAAGTGTAGCACATATGTCATTATTCTATCTCTGTCAGCTGAAAAAGACTAGAAACAATGACCAATGCAATACTAAAGAATATTTCTAGCATACAATGGTCTTTTCCCAATGAAATAGAACTAGAGTATCTTGTCAGACAAAAATAGCAAAGAACCTACCCTCTCCTCCCCACCTCAAAAAAAAAAAACCACTTAGAATCTCATCAAAAGGAATCAGAAACCAACCTTAAGTGGCTTCTTTTGGCCAAAAATGGGACAATTTAAATTTCAATAATAATAATTACAGTGGATTGAAACCTATTAGACATGTTAAGTTAAGGTCCATGAGTTTATAACTGTATTTAAGGAACTGGTCATTTTTGGAGTATGTTAGGAAAACAATTATCTTGAAGACTAATAAAGAGAAAAAAAATCAAGTAAAAAATTCTGGTTTTAACCATTTGTTTTATTTCTAGTTTTTTCTATTCCACCCTCTTAAAAAATATTAGCCCCAGTGGGAGTTAATCCTGGTTCATGAATACTTAAATCAAATCATCTCAATTAAAAGGATAATTATGATTCGTAGAGCTAATATTACTAGACTTTCATATGAGAGAAATGTACAGTTGGAAAAAGATTATTATAAATAATTTTCATGATCTATTCAAAGGTTTTATATAAGAAATTACCCTCAAGATTCTATGGGAATTCTGCATTCTTGAGCTCTATTTGGGTTACGTAGATTACAGCAAAATTTGTGCCTGCTAAAGAAAGAAGTGGAAGAGGGTAAAATATTCAATAACTGTGGGGGCTTTGTAAGAAACATACCAGTTTTAACTCAATACCTGGGATGCCTGCACCTGGTAATGGGGTTCTCTTGGAAGTTAACTTGTCAAAACCATGCTTTTGTGCACATTATTTCAGTTTAAAAATTTATTGTGTTTTAAAATTGCCTTGTGTTTGAAGAGAAAAAGGGGTAAAGAGCATACATGCACATTCTCCCCAGTAACTGATGCAATATCAACTAATTTTTTAAAAATCTCTGGCCAATGCAAACCCTGCTACCTTGGACAGTGCTCTATCAGGAAAACTTTCTGCTGTGTTGTACCTCAGTTTGGGGCACTTACAAAATTGGAACCAAATGTAATGTTTACCTCAAAAACAGTAAGGACAATACAGTGTGTGTTACTGTCAGCTCATTTCACCAACAGCTTTTTCTATCAGGGGAAACTATCCCCTTATCACTAATTTTATTTTATTAATATTTCCAAGTTATATAGCACAGTGGCTAAAAAGTGGGGTTTTCCTGGGCAAATAATTTGTCTGTGCCTCTGTTGTCTTATCTGTAAACTGAGAATAACAGCACCATGGGCTGAGTGACCCCTTGCATATAGCAAGTTCAATGTTCACTATTTTTACTGTTGCTACAGTAAACTACCCCAAAGTCTATGAGGAAAAGGACAACAGATAAATGGATACGACAATGGAGAGAGAGAAATAGTGAGTGAGCAAGAGAGAGATTGACTTGTTTTACTTGTACTTTAAGGGGACCGGGCACTCTCTGTGCTAGGAGTTGAAACGCATTATCTCATTTAATCCTTAATCCCACCCAGAGAACATCTAGATTGACTAACTACAAGAACTGGCTTCAATAACATTGTGACAAATTAGTTTACTGTTCGAACTTTTCACTCCCTTCTCCCCGCTTCTCTTCCATGAGGGGAGTATAATCCCCACACCACTATCTTGGGCTTGGCTGTCTGACTTGCTTTGGCTTCACAGTGGGCAGAATGTACTGCTTTGCCCTTTGACTTGGGGTTGGTCCACATCGATTGCTTTCACCAATGGGATGTTATCAGACATGGCATGAGCATGAGCCTGAAATGTGCTTGTATAGCAAGATTTGCCCTCTCGCACTTCTGTGACTGAATGAGAAGAACATGCTCAGAGAGCTTGCTGATCCAAGGAGATCAGCAGACACACGGGACTGACGTGGCTGCAAACGGCACCTCGGATATGAGCCCAGCTAAGCCTAGACTAGATCTGCCAAACTCCACCCAATGCCACCCATAAATGAGGAAGAATAAACAATTTTTGTTTGAGGTCACTGGGTTTGGGGGTGCTTTTTTTATGCAGCATTTTTCTGGCAATAGTTAACTGATACAGGCATCATTTTTTTTTTCTCCCACTCAGGGAAGCATAAGCACAATCTTACTTATTTTCTACTGCCAGCATCTTAAAATCTAATACAGGTAAGCTAATTAAATTGAATGCATGTGGAGGAGTGGGGAGGGAGGAGGTAGACAGGGGAAAAAGAAGAAAAAGAAAGAAAAAAAAAGCATAAAGAAGAAAAAAGAAAAAAAGGAAGAAAAATATTTAAATAATTTCTTTAATTAAAATAAATAATTAATTTTAAAAAATGTAAATGCTTATCACAAAAAAAAAATTGAATGCATGCAAGAAAATCTTGTGAATTAATCTAATTTCCCTTAAATACAATGAGCTTCTCTATTAATTCACGTGTGATATGATACACAGGTAAAGTAAACTTAACTTACCAGAATGCTGACTCTCGGAGACCCATCACCATCATCAGTTTCTTAAATTGTTTTCTTTCTTTTGTAACATTTAATGATGCAAAATATATAAAAGGGGAGAAATAAACTATACAAATAAAAATAAACCATTCATTTACAGTTTCTCCCCTAGAAATGAAAGGTAGCGTCCTCATATTTATTCCAATAACTGATGTCAGTTCCTCCATCACAGAATGATTTGTTGTGACCTAAATTGGGATGTTAACAAAAAAAGTTTATGATGTTAACCATAGAAAAAATATATTAGAAAACCATACTTTTTGTTCCTTTTCATTTTCAATATTTACATAGTTCCATTATTTTAAAATATGGTGAACTATTATCAGAACAATTTTGATGGCCTTTGGTATTAACTGACATTAAATACGAGTCATCTGATAAATTACTGGGGGTCTAGCACACACAATATACTGTGATAGGTGATGGAGAGAGCAGCGATACACACAGAAACATTTCTTGCTTTCATGGAGTTTTACATTTTGTGGTAGAGCTAGAGGAGGAAGGAGAGACATTAAACAATTCATTGCACTAGCAGCTGTTTGATTATAATTGAGCAATTGCACTAAAGGAGAAGTAGAGAGTGCTAACAAAGCAAAATCAGGGAAGACTTCCCTGTAGAAATGACATTTATACTGTCACAGCTGAAGGCTGTGATCTCACCTAAACGAAGATTATGTGGGAGGAACTGAGAATGGAGAAGAAAACTCTGGGCAGAGCGAACAGCACGTGCAAAGGAAAAAAGGAGCACAGTATATTATAGGCACAGAAAAGAGGTCCCTGAGCAAAGATAGATAGATAGATAGATAGATGATAGGTAGGTAGGTGGGTGAGAAAGAAAGATAGATAGATAAGATTAGATTAGATAGATAGATGATAGAGAGGTGGGTGGGTAGATAGATAGATAGATAGGTAGGTAGGTAGGTAGGTAGGTAGGTAGATGGACGGACGGACACACAGACAGAGAGACAGACAGACGGACAGATGATAGATTGATACAGTATAGATGAAACTGGAGAAATAAACTACTTCCATGGTACAGGCTAGAGATAATGGCTTGGACTAGTGCTGGTGGCAGTGTTAATGAGGAGTACATAGATTTGAGCTTAGAATTAACAAGGCCAGATGAGAGATGGGATGTAATGAGTGAGGCAGAGAAAATTATCTCTGATGATTCCCCAGTTTCTATTTGGGCCACTAGGTGAGTGGCTTTGGCAATTACTAACAAAGAGAAAAAATTTTAACTTAGCCACTTTTAGAGGAAAACACCCATATTGTTTTAAATATATTAGTTTTAATTGCTTATGAGGCATCAAAGTAGAGATATCCAGTAAACGATCAGATACTTGGGACTATAGCAGAGGTCAGTGAACTGTGGTCCACAGACCAAATCTGATCGATCCCCTGTTTTTGTAATAAAGTTTTACTGGGGCACAGTCACACTCATTTGTTTATGTATTGTCTAATGGCTGTTTTCGAGGTACAATGGCAGAGTTAAATAGTTGCCATAGAGATGGTTTGCCCCTCCCCTACCCGAGAGCCTAAAATATTCATTATGTGGCCTTTGCTGATCTATAAGTTAAAGTAGAATTCTTGGAGTTAATCAGCTTTAAATTATAATTAACATTATAGAAATAAATGACATTGCCTAAAGGATGGAGAAAGATGCCTAGGATAGAACCTTGTGGAATTACAGACTTAAGGAAGTGGGAGTATAAAGTTGGAAAAGCTGGCAAGACGACTGGGAAGAAATGGATAGAAATGTGAAGAAAAATGAAGTGAATGTTGTTATTTAGTTAAAAAATCAAGTAAGACAAGGAGTGAAAAAGGTCAGTTGTTCATTGACATGGGATGTTGTTATTGACCTTAGAAGAAGCCATTTTGGTGGTGTGGTGAGGACGAAAATCATGTTGAGTAGGGTTGGGTCTAAGTGAAGACAACTCTTTCAAGAAGTTTAGCTGTTAAGGAAAGGGAGCTAGAGTATCTGGGGAGGAAATGTGCATAAGGGAAGGTCTTGATAATAGGAGAAGAAATTCACAACTTTTAAGTCCTGAAGAGAAGTATCTAGTTGAAAGGGGGAAGTTGAAGGAAGAGGAAACAGAAGGGAAAATCCGTGGTGCGGCTAACCTGGTAAGGGTGGAAGAGTTGGGATCCGGCCTGTGAACTGAGGAAAATCATTAGGGATGAGAGAAGGGACAAGATGGGTGTCGTGTATAGGTGGCCTGCAGCTTTACAGGAATTGTGTTGTGAAGTCAGGGGATATCCTCACCTGACAGCTTCTAATTTCTCTCAGGAGAGGCAAAGTATCATCTCCTAAGAGCGTTGGGCAGGGTGGAGGATGAGGTAGAGAATGGAAAACAGGGATAAATAAAACAGATGTTTGAAATCGGGCACTTACTTCTATAATCGCAGCATTAATTGCAGCTTGAAAAGCCGCAAACCCTCTTTGCCAGTATGTTGTCAAGGAACAATAAATTCCATCTTGCAGAGCCCAACAGTGTTCTTTAAGGAAGAAAAATATGCCCATAATTATGCAATGGAATCTATTAATGGAATTAAAACCTTAACTTTGGCTCTAAAGTAAAATATCTAAACATCTTCTCAGAGCCTATGATCACACAATCTAGAGCACTTTTAAACCACTCAGCAAAACTGGAAGAAAGATTATTACTGAATGGTTGCCAAAATAATGAGACTCATCGTATAGTACAGACTGATCAAGTTCAGGAATAAAAAGTATATTACTTCTTTTCTTGACTTTATTAATTTTTCTATCAGTCATTCCCAACTGGGGATTTGGTAGCAAACAGATTGGAATCAATTCTTAAGTGTTTACCTGAGTATTGAAAGTGTTCTTTTATCATTTGGATTCTGTATTCCCAACTGAGCTTCAGCTTATATGAGAAAGTATTATTAAACACAATCCCCACCATGTCAAAGTGGCTTTGTGGAAGTACTGTATCCATGGTTTCCTCATCAGGAGTCCCAATAATTGTCCTTCCTGCCACGGATGAAAAATATAAATGATAAACTTGTTACAAAACCAAACTGCAATTGTTTACGTTTTCCATAAAATTATTGATGTCACAGATTATCCTTAAATAGGTACCTCTAAGGTAAGGGCTGAAACTCTTTTCTATTGTCTTAAGTTCAATGTAAATATGTGCAATCATGTGAATGATATATTAAGGTCTATATATGTGACCATGTGTATGTATGTGTACATATCACTCTTAAAAAGACACAAATACATTTACATGGGAGATATGGTACTAATCATACGAGTCTGTATTGATTAGGTTTTTTTTAGGGTGGCTAGTACCTTGGTGATTAAAATAATTAAAAATTTAAAAGAAAAGTATTTAAAATAATCAATAGATATGCTTGAGAATTTGGTGTTTTCCCTACCAAGATCATAAATTGATTTCTATCATAGGAAAATAGTTTGCTGATAGAAGCAAGCTGCATGCAAAGAATCAGAATACAAAAATATTTAGAAGTAGATGGACCTAGAGAGTATTATTATGCTAAGTGAAATAAGTCAGACAGAAAAAGACAAATACCATGATTTCACTTATTCGTAGAATCTAAAAAAATGAACAAACAAAATAAACTCATAGATATGGAGAACAAATTTATGGTTGCCAGATAGGAGAGGGGTCTGGCGGGGAAGGGTGAAAAGGGGAAGAAATTAAGATGTACAAATCACCAGTTATAAAAACAATCATGGGGATGCAAAGTACAGCATAGCGAATATAGTCAATAATGTTGTAAAAACTATGTATGGTGTCAGATGGGCACTAGAATGATCGGGGTGATCACTTCATAAGTTACATAAATGTCTGATCGCTATATTGTATACCTGAAACTAATATAATATTGTATGTCAACTGTAATTTAAAATTTAAAAATAAATTTTTAAACCAAAAAAATCAGAAGTTACAGCCCACCTACAGATTTTTTGGATATGATAACACTAAGAATCATAATATACATAATAGACAAGTTTACGGTTTGCAGAAGTAATCCAACCGATAGGTGGTTAATAAAACCATTACTTATGGAAGCTTTGGAAACCTCTAAAGTCTAACTTATGGACTCCTTTTTTTGAATACTTTCTTATATTTTCATGTATTATGTTGTAAAAGAAATTATTAATTTTAACGCACTTAATTTTAATCTCACTTAGGGCGATATCTACAAAAAGAAAAAGGTATTGATTTTTACAGTGTGGCCATATCTTTCAAAACTACTCATTCTTCACAGAGTAAGGCTGTGAAATTTTTAGGGGGCAATGCTAATTTCACTGATTTTCTCCAGCGGTATACAAATCCTGCCAAAGTCAGATCTCACATGACAACTTGGGGCGAATAGCAAGACTTAGATAAACACAGAACGAAATGGCGAGAGAGGAGCTGTGATTGGGATAGGCTGGCACGGTAGTAGGAATGGGGTGTTTGTGCAAGAAAAGGATCGATTCCAATGAGCCATGAGACTCTAAGGTTGAAAGCAGCAGGGCGCTAGCACTGTACAAGCAGGGAGACTAGGTCCTGAGGCTTTTGCATATGCTTCCTGAGTTAAAAAGAGATGAGGTAAGTGACCAAATGGAGGAAGCACGAAGAGCCAGAGCAGCGTAGGATCAACACTGTCAAGCAGACCACGTGGCCAGTGACGGTAAGGGAGGCAGGCAGGAGTCAGAGTTCCAGAAGCAGGAACAAGGAATCACCAAACAGGAGAGGGGGACACCAGGAATAAAAAGTGAAATCAGCTAGAAAAGGGTCCAACCTTTTTTTCTTACTCCAAACTTACCTTATGGAGTACACATCATACTCCCAATAATAATGACTCATAACAGCATGCGTTTCAAGGATGAGAGGAGTGAATGGTGTGTATGCTGTTTAAAAAGCCCCCAACTAAGTCTTTTGCATCTTATCTACCTACCCTCACCTGTAGCTCCACGCCAACCCCTGCAATGCATACAGAATGAGGATTCTTGCTGCAGGAAAGAACCACTGACCCCATAGGCTGGGTAAATAAACTCCATTTGCAAAACAAATTTCAAATTAAACATGTGTATGTTGCATAATAATGAAACATTGGTCATTGAACAACAAACCTTTCATACAGGAAGCCAAAGCCATCTTATCCATTATCCTCTGTGTCATGTTAGTGACTGGGGTATATGCCACCACTAGATCAGAGTCATTAAATTGATCCGCACGTCCCAGGACATGAGGAGGATGCTCAGGGAAATGGACAGCACTGAAGAATTCCGAAAAGATGCAGAGAGACAGCCCCAGAAGCAATGCTACTGTCCACTCCTTCAGTGCACAAAAGAAACATGAGCCAAGTTAAAATGTGGTCCAGAACCGTGAGAAATATTCAAATACATCTGAGGACAGGAAGTACTGACATTGAGCATGGCTTCATTTCACTCTCCATTTTTATCTTTCCCAATCACTATCCTTTAAAGAAAATACCATTTCAAAAATGTATAACTTTGATATAATGTCAAAAATGTTCACTGGTCTTAACCCAATAATAGAGCACCCCTAACAGTAGGGACCGCTATTGACTAGATGACCTTATTTATGTGATGTAATATAAGTTCACAGCACCACATGAGATATTCTTGCCATAAATGTTTAAACTGAAGTTAATCACATTTTTACATCTAACTTTCTGTTTCCCAGAAATGTAGATGATAAAAAAAATGAGTTAAATGACAGCATGAATTATAATCGGCTAAATATAGAACATGGATATTCGACAAGATAACTGCTTCATCAACATAAAAACTAAAACAATAGAATTGAATTGCTTCAAGAGCTCTTGTAGAGAATGAAAAAAAATGATGTGAACTCTGCTAGCTCCCACTGAAACATTACTCACTATTTTTAAACAGAATGCAGTCTCTATGTGGCCAAGGCAACCCCAGATACGTCTCATGTTAACATACAGCAAATCTCTTCGTCCTAATGTCAATGTCCTTATACTAGAAACTCAAAAGAATGCAAATATATTGACGAGCAGTGATCTGGCTCCATGAAACCATTCTATGTTTACAAAAAGTAGAGCCTTAAAAAAAGACCCTATAAAGTTCCCTAATTTTTGCTCAGATTTCTTTCCAGCACTGCCAATTAATAGAATCTTAACCAAGATGTCCTTAGTAGAGTGTTAATGGCTTATTCATTTTAAAATCTATTTCATTTTGTCTAGCTTATTTTCTTTTTCCCCTAACACCAAAGTTAGCCCAGGATAAATCAGAATGACTCTACAAGATTCAAGTGGATCAATTATTTGGAGAATAGCTAGTTTAACTTAATAAAATGTTACTTTATTTTTCAGGAGCTGTCATGTGACTCTTTCAGTTAATTTCACCTTTTGCCATACATATTATTTTATTCTGCAATATATCTTATTCTGCAACATTTGCAAAGTATTATATTGAGAACTCTAAAACAACTAGCCCATAGAATTTGTGAACCTAAAAAAGCAGTAAAAATAGCATAATACTAAGTGATAGATTATCATTCACTAAATATGGAAAAATATATGTTGTGAACCATACCAATAAGCTCTCACTTTTCAGTCTCCATTTTTTAAGAAAATTCTTGTACAGAAGGGCCTGAGTTTGTTGGAACACACTTCTTTCTTTTTTAATCATTTTGCCTTGTTCACTGAAAGAGAGGGTAAATGTCGTACAACAGTAACTAGGAGAGACAAAGATAAAAAAAAAAAAGTCCAGTTACGAAAAAACTTCTGAACACTTTGAAAACATAGTTAAAGATGCACGAATTTAATGCCTTATTTGACATCATAGTAACACATTCAACAGGGTTTTTGTTTTTGTTTTGATAGCATAAAGTATTAATGAGTGTAAAATACCCTGCCAGCTGGTCTATCTCTCCAGGCTCTCACCGCTGAGAGAGGTGAGGGTAATGGTATGGAGAGTCTTTCCCCTTTTGTCTGAAAAGTCACTTTTTTCTGCCAAATCTTAACATTACAACAATCTAAAGTAAATTAATGAATAAGGTGTCAGTAATGTTTAGAACCCCTCAAAAAAACTTTGTCCTTCAGTTTTTAAAAAAAAAAAAATAACAAGAATAAAACCATCTCAATTTCTTTGTTAAATAAGAGATATGCCCACAAGCAATCTGTACTTTGAATGGCTTGCTTTAATATGTTTATTTAATATCTAGGTAACCAGCAAGTAAAGGAAAGTAGAATAACATTATAGTCATTCTTAGAATCTCAAAGAGCTAATTTTTCTTCTTTAAATTCATGGTCCCATTTTATGAAGTAAGATATATACAGATGAAAACCAAAACCTTGTTAGCTAATATGACTACATTAATTGATTCGTAGAATTCAAAAAAGTGTACATCTGACCAAAAAAATTAATGTTTATACACATTTCTGAATCTATCTTCCATTTTGCTATCACATTAAAATAAAAATAAACTGAGTTTAAAAAAATAAATCACTCATGAGGTTTATAGTATGAAATATAATAATTTAGAAATATCAGAATATAATAATTTGACAATGTCAATCAAGATGCTTGGCATTGGCTATATACTTTATGCCTTAATTACTTCCATGCAAAGCAAAATGTAAAAACAAACTTCACTTACTGTCAGGAAAAGAGGAGGAAATTAGAAGCACCTTTGATTCACTGGTCTCTTTTTGTCCAGGAGAACAGATAAGAATCCTTCAAGGACTCTTCTACAAATGTTTGTCTCTCTTAAAACTTCTTATTCAGTTTGGCTTCTGAAAACAGGCCATAGTCTCTGTGTAAAAAGACTGCCACACATTCTCTGCTTGATAGTTTTTTTTTCCTGTGCCTTTCTTCTTCTCCAGTTACTCTGAAGGGAGTGTGGAGTTATAGATGGTTGGCTAAGTGTGTCACATGATATTTGTTTATTGCTCTATCTTTCTGGCATACTCAAAAAGTGATCCGATTCAAAAAGAAGAAAAAAACTCACAGTCCTGGATAAGTCTATATTAGCTTTTAATGATTAAAAATTTGAGAGACAGGCCAAAATAGAGCAGATTATAAAGAAAGGAAGTTGACAGATAGAAGGAAAATGAGGATCAATCATCTCAGAAATCAGAATAATTAGATGCTTCATCCAAGGCTTAACTGCACTTCCATTAAATGGCTCCTTGCACTGATTGACTCCTATGTGCTAAAAAGTATGCTAAGAGTTTAAAGTGAATGATCTCATTTAATACTCAAAGCAAGTCTATGAAGCTGGCACAGTATTTACATGCATTTTATAGACTTGAAACGTGAGAGTAAAGGTGTAGTTATCTGCAGATGCTCAAATAAAGGCAAAGCCAACATGTGAGGCCAAAACAGTACCTGGACTCCAAGCCCCCTCACTATTCACCACCCCTATGAAAATTATGCTGATCAGAACAGTGATATGTAATATCCATTTTAATAGTTTAGACTAGATGGGCAAAATTTTTTTCAGCTACAAATAAATTGGACATTCTCAGAATTGTAAATAACCTCTGTTTATCAACCCTGAAAATCTCAATACATGATTTTTACAGTGACACATTTCTTGAGATGAATACACAGGTTAATAACCATTCATGAAAATGAAAGACAAAGAAAGGGTGAAGCATTCTGAGACTGTTCGAATGATTGCAGTTTTCACTAAGAACATGGAAATAAACATTTCCTCTGACTTTAACTGAATCCCTTCCTTTGTTGTTAGTCACATTTCTCTTATTCTGCCAGGTTTTACGAGAGGTAAGTCCATGAACTAGAAAACACCAGATACTAACTTGGTTCCAATCCCAGACTTTAATGATAATATTTATTTTAATAGGTGAGGAAAAAAACCAACTAAGATCATAATATACACATACACTTTCTTAGTAACCAAATTTAAAAAATTATTTCCATAATTTTAGGGATTTTAATCTTCAATATGGTACATGAAGCTGTTATAGGGTTATGAGTGTAAGACCTACATTTTAAATCTGTATGCCTTGGACAGGTGACATAAAATCCCTAGGCCTCTGTTCCACATTCGTAACAGAGGTTGGACCTTCTGTGTTCCATGAACTTGTGCTGTTCTGCTACAGGGTCACAATGCGGAAGTCCTCCAAACTTGGATTTATGGGGGGCCGTGCAATATAATGCCAACCCAGCCCTCCTCATCACACTTTTTATAGATCTCTTTTAATTCTTCCTTGGTCTCTTAGGTCCTTAACCCTGCTTCTTCACTTTTGCTTTCAGCCGACAAATGTACTTGTTTTATTGAAAAATCAGAGACTGTTTGGTGGCAACTTCCCTCCATGCCTCCAGTTAGTGCTAACTGCCCAGGGGAAACTCGGTCAATCCTTTCCAAACTCAACCCCACTGAACGATCTCTCAATCCAGTGTCATGACCTACTCTAAAACCTGGCTCATCTTCTCACATCCACTGCCCAGAACTCCCATGGTATTAGTTTCTCATGGCTCTTGTAACAAGGGAGCGCAAACCGGTTGTGTTAGAAGAATAGAAATTCATTCCCTCACAGTTCCAAGGGCTAGAAGTCCGAAATCAAGGTGTCAACAGGGCCGTGCTTCCTCCTAGCTTCTGGTGGTTGCCAGCCATCCTTCCCATTCCTTGACTGGCTGCTGTATAACTCCTCTGCCTCCCTCATCACACAGCATTCCCTCTGCGTGTGTCTGTTTCTGCCCCTCTTCTTACAAGGACACCAGTCATCCTGGTTTCAGGGCTCACCCTACTGCAGTAGGATCTTATCTTAACTTACATAATAATCTATAAAGGCCCTGTTTCCAAGTAAGGTCACATTCACAGGTGCTAGGAGTTGGGACTTCGACACATCTTTCTGAGGGATACAATTTAAGCCACATCAACCACACACACGGTTCACAGTCGGCACCTCAGTGTTCACATCCAATGGCTATTCAGTTTTCCTTACCCTTGCATCCAGTCCAAGGAAATCAAGCTCTCAAAACCTGCCAACGACTGACATTTGATACCAACATTTCGGTAGCTCTCATTTTTTTTAAAGCCTCTCTAGAAACTCACTGATAAAATTTACTATTTTCTCTCATGACTTCTCTGCTTCTAAAAGTCCTCATTTTAGGTCCCGTGGCACTTTTTATTTGAAATTATAACCTTTCTATTAAAAA